ACTGCGGATGAAGGGAGGAAGGAAAGGAACGAGGGAGCGCGGAAGGAAGCGTCCTCCTCCGTCTAGCTGAGCTCCTGTCAATCAAAACTTCACTTAATGATGTCACAGAGACGCTGTGATGTCGTTTGCGTCGGCCAATGACAGCAGCCGTTGCCTTAACGGTGAGCAGCTGGGTGTGGTCACATCTCTGTGAGCTGAGATAAACGCCTGCCAACACACACACACACACACACACACACACACACACACACACACACACACACATAGACACTCACACACACACACACACACACACACAACACACACACACACACACACACACACACACAAAGACACACACACACACACACACACATAGACACTCACACACGTTGCTGTAACTGTTGCGTTGTGAGATTTCCTGTAACTGAGTGAGAACGAAACCAAAGGTGACAGGCCGCCATGTTAGACGGCATCAGCTCTGTCTGATCAATACATTACTGATCAGTCTGATTGATAATTCATCAATCAGGACCTTCAGTAATCAAATGAAGTGAAAAAGGAGGGAAAAGTATATGAATGTGTAGCCTGCTAGTTTATTAGTATGCAACCGTTGATAGTGACACATGAGTTTATATGTTTTATATTCCAGTTCCGTAATGTCCTCATCAATATTATTAATAGTTAGTTAATTACTTTCAAATCTTTATTATTAAAAATTATTAAGTTGAGTTGTTGTTGAGTCTGGCGCCCCCTGTGGACAAAAGCAGGACTGTTTCTACTTTCGTTTCATTGATTTCAAGGGGAATCCGGCTCAGCGGCAAACATGAATAATATCTATATAGAAATATAAAATCTTCTCTCTGATGTTTGTTTATGTTTTGGTCATATTGAGTGCTGAAGTTCCACTTAAAATCTATAAATATGATTAAATATAAATAATATATTATCAAAATGATTCATTTTGATAATATATATTTAAATTCTCATTAATTACAGTTGCATGCATAATTATTTGTAGTACATTACATAAATAAAAAACTTTTAGTTCCTTGTTGTCTGAAAACAGATCTGTGAATCAGAACTTTACTTTATCTGACGACCCCTCAGATTTATCTGGTGACCCTTTGGAGGGGCCCTGAGCCCTATGTTGGGAACCTCTGGACTAAAGCTTTGATTCTCTGCCCCAATTCGGGTTTGGGCCAAAAACTGCTGCCGTGAAAATAATCTGCAACGAAGCAGGAAACAGCCACCGTCCGCTGACATGTAACCGATGATGAAGCTCCGTCGATGTTTCAGGCGGAGGATCGGAGGAATCAGTCCGAGCTGAATGTGAAGCAGTGACTCAGCAGCTTTCAGTCTCTGACCCACTTACAGCTTCAGGCGATGTTTTACATCTTACTGCATCACGACGCAACAAACAGCGCGAGGCCCGTTCAGAGGAGGCGAGTGTGTGCAGCTCTGAACATGAAGACGGAAAATAACTGCAGATAAACAGAAAATGATGTTAATGTTTGATACAGAGCTGATTCAGTTTCTGCTGCCTCGGGCTGAACAACTGATCTGAAATCTGTCCTTGTTCATCAACTGCTGAACAGAAACAGTTTTAAAGCTCCAGTGTGTCACATTAATATAACATTAATGTTTTCATCAGTGTTTAATCACCTGAATATAAGAATCATTGTGTTACCTTACAATGAGACGTTTTTATCTACAGAGGGAGCGGGTCCTCTTCTGGCGGAGTCCGCCATGTTGAACCGCCATGTTTCTCCTTTTGAAGGGGAGGGTGAAGCGAGGGAGTTGCAAACTGCAACTACACCACTAGATGCAACTAAATAGCAGTTACAGGCAGCTACATTAGCAGTTGGCTAACAGCAGCTACATTAGCAGTTAGCGGAGTCGAGGCAGAGCAGCCGGAGGACGTCAGAGAGAAAACCAGATTATATTCTCTCCATAAAATCTGATCCAGTTTCACCAGAATCTCTGATTAAGTTGTGTGTTTGTACAGTAATCAGTGAGCTCTGCTTCGCTCTGCATCGCTAAAAGTTGAGGATTGATTGACGGGTGAATGTCAGGATATTATTGGTTGAAATCAGTTAGTTCATGCTGACGTAAGCCTGCGTCACATTTAGTTTTACAGGAAGACACAAAGATTGGATTCTGATATAAAGATACAAAGAAATGTGAATGTTTGTCATAAATTGTTAAATAAATGAACAATATAACGGAGGATTTGATTTTAAAGGGTAAACATGTTGACTTTGCTGGCTAACTGGATTATTAGTTAAACAGTGTGTGAGTTATAAATCTGAAAGGAAGGTCTGCACGTTCTCAGGACCTCACTGTGAGTTTCCTGTGTACAGATGCAGTGACCGGTACTAACGACCCCCTCGGCGATATTAACGAGATAATTTACGTCTCTTCATCCGAACACAAAGACAGACTGACGCCCACAAGTCAACCAGTTAACCCAGTTCCTCCGCTGCCGCCAGCGCTGGAGAATAAGTACAGATCTGAGGTAGTTGAGTATTTCCAGTTTTCTTCTTATTGTTCTATTAAAATTCACATCTTCAAAGTTAGATCTTAAATTATAATATACACTTTAAAATGAGTAAAACCATATTGTTAACTTGCTTTAGTAATTTAAATAAGTGAGAATGACTTAATTTTGTAAATTTTAATAATAATAATTAATAATATTTAAAGTTAGTTCCACTTAACTTAAGAAATTTAGTTTATGTGACTTAAAGGTTTTCATTTTTGATTAATTTATCTGGTTTTACAGTGTAAGTTAATTAGGCTACTCATGAAAATTAACTGGTTCCAACTAGTCTTTCCACATTATTTATGTCAACACAATTCATCAAAAATAATGTTTGCAACTTAAAAGGTTTATTTAAAATCAGTATATTAATAGTTTTATCTTGCAATGTACTTTTATTTATTTTCAGTGCAGGACTTCTTTGTGTTATATTGACTGAAAGTTAGTTAATTGACAGATACCTTGAATAAATATGGAAGTTTTCACAACAGAAACGTTGAATAAATGTTGTTTATCAGTGTAAACAGCAATAATTACTGTAATTTCACAGATAATGACTATTATTACAGTTCTATAACTTTTAATATTCAGATTAAAATAATAACAATCCAATAATAACAGCACTCTTCTGTAAATGTAAGTCTGATTATTTGTACTATAGCAGAGTTCACCTGTATTTATAGGTCATTGTTTTACACTGTAAATATCTTTAATTAAACATTAAAAAGACAAAGAATTACACAAGGTTTTATGTAAAATTAATATAAAAACTGTATTTTAATTATAAAAAATTGTATAATTAAAAGAGTCTTTTCTGTTATTTCACTGTATTTTTTATATTAATATTACTGTGTATTTTACTTTAGCTTTACAGTGAATTTCTGGCTCCATTTGTTTGTTTCTTCTGCAGCAAACAGTTTGTGTTGTTCAGTCCGGAGTGAGACTCACACTTTATTCACAATCTGCTCCCACACACAACCAGCAGCTGAAATGATGGACGAGCTTCAGCTTGTTTAAAAGAACTCTGGGTAATAACGGCCCGACGTAGACGAGCCGGATTCACCAAAAAAACACTAAATCACAACGAGGAACTTGAGTTTGATTTCAACTCCCAGGCGTGGCAGCTGGGTGGGGTTTACCTGAATGTGTGTGTGTATGTGTGTGTGTGGTCTGATGGTGGGAGGTCTATTTCAGTGTCTCTCTCTCTCTCTCTCTCTCTCTCTCTCTCTCTCTCACTCTCTCTCTCTCCCTCTCTCTTTGTCTCTCCCACATTCCTGCCAGCTGATTGGACGGCTGGGCTCGGTAACCTAGCAACCTTCAGATATCTCCCAGCATTCCTCTGGAGTTATCTCCTCTCCCAGCAGACGGACCGATCTGCTGGACGAGGACCTGAACCAATCAGATCAACAGATTCAAACAAACAAACAAATAAATAAATAAATAACCAGAGAGGCACAACCAGTCAGCTTTAGTCAGGATTCCTTCAGAGTTCATCAATCATTTAAAACCACTAAAAACACTGAATAAAGCAGTTCCACCTTAAAAATCACTACTTCTCCCTCACTGGATCACTTTCATCTCATAATTTTGACATTTAATTTCATAATTTTGACTTTTTATTTCAGAATTGTGACTTTTTATCTCATAATATGTAACATATCTCTCAACTCTATCTCGTGCACAAAGATGGGTAAAAGTTTTGGCCGTCAGCTGAGGATCAGATGTGACAAATGCCAGTTTTGGCCCATAAATGGCTGCCATGTGTCTCATTTGAGAGCCTGGGTGATATTCTGATGACTGTACAGACTCACTCAGACATTCATATTCAGTGTTAAAGCAGTGGTTCAGTGCCTGAATGGGACCAAAAAGGGTGCCAGTACCTTGTGGGTAACTGTGGCTTAGGAGGTAGAGCAGCAGGTTGTCCTTTAATCAGAAGTTTGGTGGTTCAATCCCTGGTTCCTCCTGCTGCATGTTGAAGTGTCCTTGAGCAAGACACTTAACCCCAAACTGCTCCTGATGGATGTGTGAATGTAAAGTGCTTTAAGCGTCTATAAAGATGCATCATACCTGCAGTTTATTCACCTTAATGCTGTTTTTAAAGAGCTCATCCAGACAGCTGATCAAAATCTAGTCAAAGATGGACGTCAGTTTAATGTGGAGTTGGTTTTTTGGTCAGATGGAGCAGATTTCATTTTCAGCATCGTCGCTTAGCAACAGCGTCGACTTCCTGGAAATAAAAAGTGAATCTGAAAATAGACGCAGAGCAAACAGGAGGAGGACTCATCCTCTGTTCGGGCAGAACTCCATTCAGATATCTGCTGATTGTAGCAGAGAGCAGTTTAATCCACTCTGACACACAAACTGCTCGTCATCTGTCTCTGCGCGGCACCTGAACGCACCTGAACTCACCTGAACTCACCTGGGTGATGTTTAAACTCTCTTTGTACTCTTAATTCCTCTGTGTTTGGTTTTCTTTCAGCAGACTGAAGAATCTGAGCCGCGGAGAGAAACTCTACTTTAAAGATGTAAGTCGACCTGTTTTCAGTCTGATTTGAATATTTTGGACGATTTACTTCACAGCAAGAAACATTGTTTTATTTTATAAGCTCTTTAATATTTATTGTTTGCATCAGATAGTTTCATAGAGTGATAGATTTTACCCCAACGTCTACTATAACATAACATAACTAAGTATTAATACTGTTGTTTTTGTTTGTTATAATGTGATTAATAACCTTTTAGAGGGTTACTATCTATCACTGATTCAGTGATTATGGATGGAAATTAATAAGAGTTTATTGAGATTGATACCAATGTGCATTCTGTGTATCTGTCTGATTCTTCAGCGATTCCTTTACTGATTCCTGATCAATTTCCCGTGTGGATGAAAAGTAGATTAGAATAGAAACAATTTCCGTTTTCCTTTAAAGTTTTCTTTTTTAAAGAACTGTTTTCAGCAGTGTATTATATCGTCTGTGTGTAGCACTAATGTCATTGGCATTGGCCAGGTGCCAAACATGCTAGCATTGATAAACAAAACCGACCGTTATCTGAGGCGAACAGTTCTGATGGATCGGCCAATTTGGAACCAATTTCCCATCAGTGGTGATTCACTGTTACTGAGTAACGACACTTCTCATTTTTGTCCACGAGTACCTTAGTTCTAATTCTGTACCTTCCTGGTGAGTCTTGGTTGTTGTAAAGTTGTAGAATTAATTTCTGTAAAATAAAATTTATTAAATAAGTAGTTCCCTTCATGTTGACATAATCCATAATAATTTAATTTATTAGTTGATTATATTTTAATCTTTAAAGTAAGTAAAGCTTTAAAACATATGCAGTTGACTAAAAAGTACATTTACCTCTGAGCAGCATAAAATGGAAATACTTACATACTTTGAGTAAATGTGTTAAATTCCACCACTGAAGCTGAACAGTGAACCGTACACAAACTGCCTGAAGAGGAGGAACTTAACACCTGAATCCTCCAGATTATTGATCAGGTTATTGATCAGCAGGGGCCATCAGATTGTAATTGATCTGTCTCCAGAGACAGACAGAGATCTCTGGAGTTTACTGGAGTCCAAGAACACGATGAAGTAAGGCGACTACTGCTCTGGTTTATAAGACTAAAGAGCATTTTGGCGTCAGTCTGTCAGAGAGCAGCCGCCATTTTGAAATAATCATACAGGAAGAAACACATCAACCCTGTTTCCTAAAAAGTATCAGTGATGTTCTCTGGATTACGTTTTCTATTGACATAACAAATAAATGCTGTCAAATTCCTGCATAAATGTTTCACTGACAACATATTTCAGTGCTTTACGAGATATTTCACAAAGGAAGATGTTAAACGGACTCGACTCTAGAAATAAATCTACATTAGTTACTAAAACTGGTACAAAATTATAACAAAATATAAAACAAAAGACTTTATAAACTAGCCAAATATTTGTGAGCTGACCCTGAGACTGAAAGCAAGAAAGAAAACATTTCAGGTAATATTATATTTCTTTTGTTAGTGAATCTGGATTTTGTTTTATCTGAATAAAAAACACAACCGTGAAGAAAAAAACATTAAATTTGCACCTTTTTATACAATATGAACAACTGAGTTCTTGAAATAAAAAATAAAAGATCATTACTTTGCCTTGATGGCCCAAAACTGTTTCTAGTTTCATTAGTTAACTACAGAGAATATATGGCAAAAAAGTAATTTAACTACTTAAATCAATAACTGTAAACAATTTCCTTGAATATTTACAATGTAAAATACTGTAATTGTACTGTAAAGTTTATAAAACAATACTGTATCAATACTGTATCAAACAGTATTTTACTGCATTTTATTATATTGTACTCTAATATATTAGTTATATTAATATTGATATATTACTGCCAACTCTAATTATTTCACTGTCAAAAATTGTAATAAAAAGAGTCAATATTCCAGAGGCGCCAAAAAATACAGTAAAATAACAGAAAATAACTGACTCGTAAAAATACAGTAATTTTCTATAATTAAAATCATTAAATTTTTTAGCTTCAAGTTCAGTTTTTTGTGGCTTTTTTATGTGTAATTAAAGATATTCACACATGTAAAAACAATAAAATTACTAATAAATAATAATTCTATATAATATTCAGTTATTAATCTTGTAATATTACAATACTAAAATATATTCAAGGCACTATAAACTAAGGTATTTTACTGTAATGAAGAAATAAGATATTTTACAGTTGTTTTTTACCGTACGGTTCAGAAAGATCTGCAGCTGCTGGAAGAAGAATAAAGAAGTATTTACTTGAGTAAAAGTCACACCATCACAGTGTAGAGATACTCTCCAGTTCCTGCTGGAGAAAGTGACCACAGCTCCCAATCAATCACATATTAACACATTATTTATTCAGTGACATCAGACACCAGCACCGATCAATACAGGAGGGGTTGGGGGGGGGGGCAGTCAGACCAGAATCTGTCAAATCTGCAGAAAATCTAAACATCAGCAGACAATCAGCAATGTGCTACTCGGATACTCCTGAATATTTTATTACACTGTGAAACATGACAACATTCACATTAATTAAACTCAAAACTTATTGAAATCAGTTGGTTTTTTTTTGTTGAACACAATCAGGAAAGTTACTGTAAAGTCACTTAAAATTACTAATAAAATCTGTTTAATCAAGAATCCTTTTTAACTTGAGTTTGTGTTACTTACAATTTTCGAGGTAATCCGTGTCAACAATTAAAATTTTTAAAGTGCATGTACATTTATAAATAAAACAATAAAGTGCTAAAATTAGAAAGGAAGTTTGTAAACTTAAGTAATTACAGTTAAACATACTGTGTACAGTGAATAAACCTGTACACATGTATTGTGTATAGCAGTTACAGTTATATAACTTTTAAAAAGGTTCTCAGGGCGAAGAACAACAGGAAGTATTTATTATTATTAAAAAATATATATTTATATTGAATCTGTAACACAAGAATCACTTTCTAATGTGTTATTATTTTTCTAAACGACTTTATAAAATCTGCAGCAGCTCAGTTGGTATTTTTGTTGAGAACTGATTTATTAATGTATTAATGTTTCAGGTACTGATCGGGGGGGAAACAGCCCTACAGACAAACAGATACAGACATGATCCCTTATTCTCCCTGAGGTATTAAACACACACACACACACTCCATAATGCATCCCATAACCTTAACAATCACTTACCCCTGACCCCGGGTTCAGACAGATATACTTGCTGTTAACAGCGTATATTTCTGTGTGTTTGGAGCGTTTGTTGTTCACAACCTCAGAAATCAACATGGTTAAATATAATAATAGTATATTTCCTACTTTATAATGTGAATTTCTCTCCATAGATCAATCTAAACAGCCCTTTAAAGAGTAACTAAACCCAGAAACCCCTTTTATTTTCTGCTAAAACCCTCTGTATAACCTCTGTATCTGGGTATTTACTAGTGTTGTTGATTGATTCAGGTCCAAATATGGACGTTTTACTTTTATTTTGCTATAAAAATGCACAGCGACCGCCCTCTACTGATTGCTATTGCAATTGAATGTTGCTATTGGCTGATCTGGAGTCATGTGACGTCACCAACCAACCTGATATCAGCTGATATAAAACCAACGTCTCCACTCTGCAGACTGCGGCCTGCTACGTAGCCGTTAGCCACAGACTCTGGAGAGTTAGCCTCTCTGAGCTGCATCTTTTACATTTTCCAGAAGGTATCTAGCAGAATTTAGAGGTTTAGTTACATTTTTTTGTACTCCACCACTTTGGTCCCTATAAACCTGTTGGCCCCCACAAGTACAGTGTGTTTCCGGTTATTGGACCCCACAAATGTAGTAAAACAAGCACACACTCACACAAACGCACTGTATTTAGCTGTGAGTGTGTGTGCATGGGTTTTCCCGTCACTGTCCGTATGTTACCCAGACTTCCACCTGTCTGTCTGTGTGTGAGTGTGTGTTGGACAAAGCTGTGGACTCTGGAATAATCTCTTTGTGTCCGTCAGTCACATCAGACAATACAGAGCGAGCAGCCCGGCAGCTGCAGCAGAGCCCAGTTCACTGACACTGGTGTGAGCTGTCTGAGATATACACAATAATCTCATCACTCATTAGGTAAATATTAGGTTAACACATTGGCAGTTTTTTCCAGGGTCAGATGTTTCAGATGGACCAGTTTTAGTTCTCTGTGTCCAGAATGAATCTCAGCCCAGATCCCACAGTTGGTTATATACAGCGATATCTGCCCACTGGTTTGGGTTATTGATCCACTTGGACAAGCTACCAGTTAATCGTTAGCTAGCTAGTTCTAGTTATCAATTAATGGAGACTGACTCACTAGTGGAGCCAGCCTCTAGTGGCCATTAGAGGAACTGCAGGTTTTGTTACTTCATTGTTTCCATTCATTTTCAGCCACAGACGTTAACGTCAGCATATTTTTTTATATCTAAATATTCCGACTAAATCTTAAATGATATAATTCTTATAAAAACTTTATTAAGACTGTGACGATGACAAGCAGCCTTCATGTTGCGTCAACCTCCGATCAGCAGCTCTGGCTGTGGGTGTAATTGACTGAACTCTGGTGTATGTAGGGCTCTGGTCCAACTGTCTGTCAGAGAAAGCCTCTGCAGCAGATTTCCAGCTGACACACACACACACACACACACACACACACACACACACACACACACACACACACACTCTTCTGTTCCCAGTTTGTCATTTACATCCAGTTTTACTTGCAGTATTCTGTGATATATTAAATATATATTGAGACATATATCTGTAATATAATATAATGTTCTGTCTGCCTCTCTCAGGAACTGACCAATCAGCAGTCAGGATGATGCCCAAGGTAAACGCTGTTTTCACTTCCCTTTGATGCTGAAATATCTGACTGAAAAGTGCCGTTGTGTTTCTGCTTTTGATGGTCGACTGCGTGGGAAGAAGTCTTAATGTCTCTGAGATTTTTATTTTTAGCAGCTAAAAGCCAAAGAGGAGAAAACGAGATATTAATACTGAAGGTTTGCTGCATCATTGCTTCTGAAAAACACCAAATGTCTTTATTTTAGACGGAGGAGTATTTCCACTCTGTACAAACCTTCAGAATATATACAGGAATAAAACTGGAAGGTTTGGTGGATGTAAGAGCTGCTGAAGTGGAGATTTATGTCCTTTATTGTAAAATGCAGGTGAATCAGATAACAGATAAAAGCTAGAAACTGTCCCAGTTGATTATTCACATTAAGAAAATTATTTTTTGTATTACAAGTTTTCTGAAATGTGCAAATTATGTTTTATCTAATGCTATCTGTGATCTTTATCTAACAGATAAAGTAGTCAAATAAACACCTAAATGTATATTTTGGGTGTTTTCTTTCCATTAGTCTGAATGAAGTCTTGTTATGGGACAAAAATAGGCCACAAATTGATAAATGCATGAAAAAAAAACATGTTTAAGCTTTAGTGTCTCGCTTTAAGCTAAATGAACAATTTAAAAACCCTCTTGGATTTACTGTAATGCTCATGTTCCTCTTTTTTAATGTGTCCAATACTTTTGTTTATGACCTAATACCTACATTCCTGTCAGCCATGCTAAATACTGAAATTAATGATAAATAACACAAGGACAGTAACAATTCATTTTTCACCTCCACTAAAGATCAAAACCTGATTTAAACCTCAGAATTTATGTTCTAATAGTTTTGTTTCTCTCTATAATGGCTGTTAAATCCTCTCTGGTGGGTAGCGAGGCCGCCGACTGCTTCTTAAAACCTCTGCACTGACTCCTCCATTAGCTGAAGTCCTCTCCCATTTGGCTGAATATCAGTTTTTGGTCGACCTCTGACCTCTCTGTGTGCGTGTGTGTTAGCAGCAGCTGGCTCAGACGTCTCCAGGGAGCGTGCTGTCGCTGAGAGGGTCCAGCGTCCCAGGATCCCCGGCTGCAGCCATCGTGGTGAGACGCACAGATCAAGTTATATTATCCTTCAGATTAATCTTGAGGCAGTAATCTGTAATCTCTGACTCTCTGTTCCCCCCCCCCCCCCTCCAGGCCAGAGTGGAGGACGGGGTGATCGGCTATAAGGACTTGGCAGCGTTACCGAGAGACAAAGCCATCCTGGATATAGAGAGACCGGATCTGATGATCTACCAGCCGCACTACAGCTACAGCCCACTGGAGGTGAGTTTTTAAGAAAGCAGCCCCGGCGCCCCGTTTCACCGACATGTACGAAAATCAGTAAACATATTTATCACATCCAGACGTACAGAAAATCCTCTTGGAGTCATTCCCCAAACTCAATAGGAAGTCAGCCATTTTTAATTCAATGTGCACCCTTTGAGCACTTTTAGGCCATTTCCAGGCAAAAATTCATACATAGTCTGTCAACATGGGAAAGTACAGATTTCATGTGCTGCTCTTGTTAAGGTTGGTCAGATCCAGATGAGATTTGGTCAGATGAACCTTAAGACTTTGATGATCACATGTTATAAATCTTATGAGTACTCGCTGAACCCTGTTGCCGTGGCAACGCGACACATTTCAGTGTTGAACAGATTCGAAAATTTGTCAAACTCACCCACTGTAAAACTGTAATCTAATTACCTGTTAAAAAATGTAGTCAGTAACTTAATCCAAGTAATCTGAATTGATTACTATTGATTACTTTTGATTATCTCAACACCAAACAGAAAACAACTGTCATACCTCACTGCAAAAATGTTTTATATGGTATTTTCATGAGGCAAAACATTTTCTTTTTGTTGGTAAAAACTTGTATTTTTACAGTAAATATGGAATAAAACTTTAACTTAAATTGTAAAATGAACAGCACTGATATCTTTTTATCATAATATTAGAAAAGCTGCCAGTTTCTTATAAATAACTTTTTTTTTACAGTGTACTTTCATGTACTACTCAAAGCAGATTAAACTTTTTCTACTATTATGGTAAAAGGATATTAGTACTGTAGAGTTTTAATCCATATTTTACTGTATAAATACATTTCAAAAGAGTTTTTCCTCATGAAAAAAGACTTTATTCTGTATAAATTAGTGTGTTCCTGTTACATAAACTGTTAATCTATTTAAAGTTTTCTACTTTTACTGTGAATGTTTGACAGTTTTCACCATAAAATCTTTTTAGACTTACATAAGAAATCTCCTGGAGCCAAACCCCCAAAGCACAACAGGAAGTCGGCCTTTTTGGATTTAATGTGCACATTTTGCACAGTTTTGGCCAGCATCCATAAAAAGTGCCTGAAAATGTGAATAACACTGCGTAGCTTAGCATTAGCGACGCAGTCAGGGTGACGGCAGCTGCAGCCGGTCTGACAGTCGGTTAGTTTGCCGGTTGGTTGGCTGCGAGTCCGACTGCGACGTGAGACATCAATCTGCTGCTTAGAGACCGGACAGCTCGTTACCACAGCTGAGACCCAGAGTGTGTGTGTGTGTGTGTGTGTGTGTGTGTGTGTGTGAGTGTGTGTGTGTGTGTGTGTGTGTGTGTGTGTGTGGATGAAGTGATAACAAGAAGAAAGGGAGACAAAGAGATCAGACTCTGTGTATAGACGCATTATTTACCCCCCAGTAAAACTGTCCTGGTGACCTTGATGCATTCAGTGTCACTGTAACGTAACTTTTAAAGGAAATTGCAGCTTTCTCTTGTTGTAATCTGGAGGTTCAGGTCACAATGATTATTAAAATCAAAAAAGAGCAGAAAATCTTCACATTTGTGAAGCTGAAACTTTTAAAAATGATTTAAAACGATTATAAAAATAGTTGCTATTTTGCTTCTTCATCGTTTTAAGTTGCCAGGTTCACAATCGCTGATTTTACTTCAATTGATTTTAATAATTTCACTACAATATACAAAATATTGTCTATATTTTTATCTTTATTTATATTTATCTTCAATGTGTGAACCTGATTAAAACAATAATCCACTTCTTAAAATGCTGTTTCTGTCGTAGAGAACTAAAGAGAACAGAAAATATTCACATTTAAGAAGCTGAAATCAGAGAATTTTATTTCTTTAAAACGGACTCAAAAGGATTAATTGATTATCAATAGTTGATCATTAATTGAGTAATAGTTGCAGCTTTAATGCATCATCAACTTCCTGGTTGATAGAGTTGAACTTTATGAGTTTGTTCTTCTTCTCTCCGTCTCTTTCTGTCTTTAATCTGATTCCATGTTGTTTCCTCCTCAGCGGTCGTTGTCTCCTCGCTCCATCTCTCCTCCTGCCTCCCCAGAGGTAAGACTTCCTCCTCCTCACGTCATCAGTTCGTCTTAAAGGTTTCTCTGTTTGCACTGTGAGCCGCCATTACAGCCGTTAGGGAGCAGGTCAAAGGTCAGATTGATCATATATTGATACGTGAATGGTTGTAGGTGATCAATGAAGTGAAGGTAGAAAGTTTTACTGATATTGAACTGATCTCAGAGCAGTGGATAAATACCTGAGAGTGAAAACACATTGACAGGATTTTTATCAGAAATGTTTATAAATGTAAATATTATATTTATTTTTATTTTATTGTTATATAATAATTATAATTATAATAATATGAATATAATTTAATGAAGCAGTCTGTAGGATTTAGTGCCATCTAGTGGTTAGGTTGTAGAAAGAAGAAAACACACAGTGTTTGGTCTGTCTGTTGTTTCCTCTCCTCTTTCTCCTCTCCTCTCCTCTCTCTTCTTTCCTCGTCTCCTCTCCTCCCTTCTTCATCTCTCTCCTCTCTCCTCTCCTCTTTCCTCACCTCCTCCTCCCTTCTTTATCTTTCTTCTCTCTCCTCTCCTTGTCCCCTCTCCTCTCTCCTCCTCGCCTCTCCTTTCTCCTCCTCTCTCCTCTCTCCTCCTCTCTCCTCTCCTGTAATAACCACCTTCTCCTCCTGTGTTCCTCCTGTGTTTTCAGAGGGAGTCCCGGGAGTGGCTGGAGAACCGATCTCCTGGAGGTTCCTCTCCTGGTTCCACCATCCCGACCAGCAGGACCCACAGCACGCACACACCGCCCACCCCAAATACCCCAAACACCCCAAACACCCCCCACACACTCCCGTCCGGCAGCAAGAGCAGCATGCAGCACTTCCACCGGCCGGGTAACCACTTCTTCTTCTCTGCTTGTATTTACTGATCAATACATTGGAATTATTGATTATATTATAGGAACAGAGTCTCCATTACAGAGTTTGTCCACCAGAGGGCGCCGACAGCTTTATACTCACACTATGAATACAGAGGAATGAATGTTACTTTTATTCTTGTAATAATTATTGACCAGTAAGATACTGATATGTTATATGTTATTCTAAATGATTATAAGCTTATTACAATACAAATAATAATAAATAAATAATAAAATAGTAGATTTTTTTTCACTATTATTCTTATTTTATTCAGTTTTTTAGCATTTTTTGCTCACATTTTCTGAGGCCCCCACTTTGTAAAACACACCTTTAAAGCTCCAGTGTGAAACAATGAGGAGGATCTGTTATATAATGTTTATAGATATGTTTTTATTAGTGTTTAATCAGCTGAATATTTGTTGTGTTTTGGTTTCGTAAATGTTTTTATCTACCGCCATACCTATGAATATTATATTATTATATTAATAATAACTAAATACATCAATTTATTTTAACTCTTTTCTTTCTTTCAGAAAACGGCTCCAACATCTATAAGAAGCCTCCCATCTACAAACAAGGTGCGTGTAAAAGCTATCGATGGACATCATCACGGTGTGGAACGTTACGGGACGAGAAAAGAAGACGTTATTTTTTCTTTGTTTAGTAATAAGATGATTAAAAATGTCTAAAATGGAGAAACAGCTGCACACACTTCGTTTGTTCACTGCACAGACACGATTTAATCATCATTTAATAGCTTTGTGTGTGTGTGTGTGTGTGTGTGTGTGTGTGTGTGTGTGTGTGTGTGTTACAGATGTGTCGTCCTCTCAGGTCCCTCAGGGGAAACACATCGAGGATCTGATCATCGAGTCCTCGAAGTTTCCAGCAGCTCAGCCTCCGGACCCGAACGTGCCCTCCAAGATAGAGACGGACTACTGGCCCTGCCCCCCCTCCCTGGCTGTGATTGGTACGACCCAAACACACACACACACACACACACACACACACACACACACACACACATGACAGAAACTTTGTGTTGCATTTAGGATATTAAAAATATGGGATTTTACAGTTTTCAATCAGAAAATTCTGTTCAGCTGTAAATAACACTCTGGTTTCCTCTCTCCTTGTTTCCTCTCCTTTCTCCTTGTTTCCTCTCCTTGTCTCCTGTCCTCCCTGTAGAGAAGGAGTGGAGGAAGAAGGGAAGGGATGAAGATGAGGAGGAGGATGGAGAGCTGGATGATGAGCTGTGGGGACTCAGAGTTCTTCAGAAACAAGAACTCAACAAGGTACAGAGACCAGGACTTTTATTTTGGTAGAGAATCAGCTTCCTGTACGGTTTATAAAACAGTCTGTCTCTCTCTGTCTCTGTCTGTCTGTCTCTCTCTCTATCTGTCTGTCTCTCTCCCTCCCTCTCTCTCTGTCTTTAGATTCAGTCCAATCTGGGAAAGATCATCTTGAAGGAAGAGTTGGAGAAATCTTCAGCTCCTCTGAGGAGGAAAACTCGCTCGCTACCGGACCGCAGCCAGAACGCCAGTACGATAAAAACCTCCTCGACTTTACTGTCTGTCCTTGTTTCCTCTCCTCCTCTATCCTTGTTTCCTCTTCTTCTATCCTTGTTTCCTCTCCTCCTCTATCCTTGTTTCCTCTTTTCTATCCTTGTTTCCTCTCTTACTCTATCCTTGTTTCCTCTTTTCTATCCTTGTTTCCTACAATCTGACTTTATCCGTCTGATATCTAATATATAAAACAGTCTGTCTCTCTCTGTCTCTCTCTCTGTCTCTCTCTCTTCTCTCTCTCTCTCTCTCTCTCTCTCTCTCTCTCTCTCTCTCTCTCTCTCTCTCTCTCTCTCTCTCTCTCTCTCTCTCTCTCTCTCAGGCTCCAACGCCTCCAAGTCTGTGTATTTCCCAGCATCCTCTAAGAGCGGCCTGTCCAGGGTGAGTACTGCTGTATTGCAGCCATCCACATATAAAAGATGCTCTTCCTCCCTCTGTAACAGATGAACCAGAATATATGATGTTTGTTTTCAGCTGCAGTCGGCAGAGTTCAGCTCGTCGGAGAAAACTCCCGCAGGTACAAAGTTATCGATTATTATTAATAATAATAATCTTTATCTGGTGATCACCAACTCTGGAAATAAATCCTTCATTCTTCAAGTCTCCAATCTCCTTTTAGTAAAAGAGTTAGAATGTTTCAACCTGCAGTATCTCAGTAAATAACACGATCTCTGTGTGTGTGTGTGTGTGTGTGTGTGTCTGTGTCTCCCTGCAGATCTTCAGGTACAGTCTCTCTCATTCAGACATCTTCTGATCAATAATTAATAAGCGTCTGTGTTATTGATGGTAATCTGATCACATGTGTGTTTGTCAGAACGGAGACTCTCGGATGGACAGAGGGAACTCTCTCCCCAGCATGTTGGACCACAAAGTAACAGCAGTGTGTTTGTTTTTAATCATAACACATATTAATGATTATATTTAAAGGGTTGGTTCCCCCACATTAACACAAACAAACAAACAAACAAACAAACAAACAAACAAACATCTGTTCTCTCTGCTAGTATCCATCCAGTCCCACATTTCTGTCACACACAACAGAGACTCTTAAAGTTCTCATGAAACAGGAGCAGAGTTCTGTTCTGTCCTCGTATTTGTGTTTCCTGTAAGAACAGTTAGGGAGGGACTCGTTATTGATATTGATTGGCGTTTATAGCATCCAATAGCAGCTAGCGGCAGCATCTACCTTCCAGTGGCCCCGGGGCCAAACACAACCTCTAAGACTGTCAGGGAATCCAGTCTCGAGGACGTTTTCTTGCCGGGTTTTGGCTCCTGGTGTCCCGGGGATGAATCAGTTAGGTTAGCTGCAGTTAGCATTTGGCTGCTGATCAATATGTCCATCAGGAATCACAGAGAGTCGAAGCTGAGCGGCCGGAAGGACGTCAGAGGGAAAACCAGGAAATATTTTATCCATAAAGTCTGATCCAGTTTCACTAAAATCCCTGAACACAGTTAGAAAGCTGAGTCTAACTAATGATGGATGTAAATCAGATAACTAGTTAGATAATTTGTTATTATTGGCCCCCGAGGGCAGGATGAGGGATTAACTACTGTTATTGATTATCAGGAAACTCTAAAATAGCATTAAGAACACAGAAAGAACAGATTAACAGAATAATTAGTTCAGGTGAACTGACCCTTTAATTCCAGAGAGAGGTCACTGCTGTACTCTATACTCTTTAATTAACTGAAGCTCCATCCACAGTCTGTTTGCTTTATTAATTGATTGATTGATTGATTGATGTCTTTAGATCTACCCTTATGAGATGTTGGTGGTGACCCACAGAGGGCGGAGCAAACTGCCCCCCGGTGTGGACAGAACCCGGCTGGAGGTAAAACTACCCATGTTCCCTCTCTGTGATGTTCAGTTTACAGTTACAGATAATGTCCTGGATCCATAATGTAACATGGGCGGGATCATTTCTGTTCTCTCACAGCTGAATCCTCTCTTCTTCTGTGGTTTTTGCTGTGATTTAATATCAATAAACGGATCAAAATGACGCCGAAACAACTTCATCGTGATGCTGATTTGTATAAAGTCTGAATTCAGACTCTGTCGGGTCGGTGTGCAAGACGACGAGCAAACAACTTTTAAAATGTTTGTTTTCTGAATGGAGTTTGGTTGATCAGAACTATGCACATCTTAATCATCTCTCTCTCTCTCTCTCTCTGTCTCTCTCTCTGTCTCTCTCTGTCTGTCTCTATGTCTCTCTCTCTGTCTGTCTCTCTCTCTCTCTCTCTCTCTCTCTCTGTCTCTCTCTGTCTCTCTCTCTCTGTCTCTCTGTCTCTCTCTCTCTCTCTCTCTCTCTCTCTGTCTGTCTCTCTCTCTGTCTGTCTCTCTCTCTCTCTCTCTCTCTCGTCTCTCTATGTCTCTCTCTCTCTCTCTGTCTCTCTCTCTCTATGTCTCTCTCTCTGTCTCTCTCTCTCTCTGTCTCTCTCTCTCTCTCTGTCTGTCTCTATGTCTCTCGCCCCTGCAGAGACACCTCTCTCAGGAGGAGTTCTTCAGTGTTTTCGGGATGTCCATCGAGGAGTTCGACTGCCTCTCCGTCTGGAAGAGAAACGACCTGAAGAAGAAAGTCTGCCTCTTCTGACGCCGCTGGAGGCTGCATCTCCCACAATCCCCTGCTCTTCTTGGATCACTGCGGGATCCTGAAAAAAAAAAAAACTGAACAAAACGTCATCATCAGCACCGCCGCCATCTTCTTCACCGCCGCCGCCGCCGCAGCAGCAGCTCTGTCAGCGGGACGGCTCAGGCTTCAGGTTTGATTCACAGAGGTTAGATTCCTGCTGCAGCGTCAACTCCACCAGAACCAGAACAACACCACGACTCCTGTTTGATACGCTTCTAGTCGAGAGAGCGATGTTTGTACGCACGGAGCGCAGAAGAGCTGCACGACTTCTTTTAATGAATAGTTTGTTTCTCCACCTGAGGAAGAGTGAAGAGTCACACCAGCATTTTAATCTGAACCTTTAGACTCATTCAATTTCAACAGAATCTCTTTAATGTGGCTGAACTTTGACGAGTAAAAATGAACACTGCACCTTAAGAACATATTTATCTTTCAGAATAAAAGCACTACAAATGAATGAAATACAAGTTAAGAGTAAATCGACAGCACATTTTATTTTCATGTGTTTAAAAGAAGGGATGTTTTCTTAAGCTGCAGTGGATTTACTTACGGGATAACTCTGAGTGGCTCCGCCCACTGTATGATTAAGCCCCGCCCCCTCCGAGTACACAATAATACAGATGATGTAGGATCACGTTGGCTAATCTCTAGAGTCTGTGCACTCTGGTGTTCATTTCAGACTGTTTGTCTTTTTAAATGACCTGAAACACTCAGATCTATAAACGATATAAACCTTTAGACCTTCTTTAGACACATTCATTTCTGGTGTGACCCGGCACGACGTGACGACACTTCCTGGTCTTTTCTCATCCGTCTGAAAACTTTAAACTGTGAAGCGGGAGCCGACGGATACGGACGAGTCCTCTGTTCGTTTGGTTGCATTCTGGGAAATGAAGTTAATTCTACTGTTCTTCTCAAGCGGAGTTTATATGTTAATCCCACTAATCTAAGCATTAAAAGTTTTCCATACAGCAGATTAAACATTAGACAGATGACACCAGCTGCAGACGCGAATCCCTGCTGGTTCTATTCCAACTGAAGGGAATATATTTTATTATCGAGCTTCCAGCTGCAGTCGGGCTTTAAAGAACAACATTCCTGCTGACTCGGAGTCAGTTCTCAGTACAGATTAGATGCTGACTGTGAGGAACAGACCTTTTCAAAAGGATCGTTCCTATTGGCTTAGCCAGCTATGATGTCATAATGACAGCGTTTCTTTCCCAGCACCTAAAAGAAGAACGAGGAGACAGTTTGATCACAGACGAAACTAATAAAGCTAATAAAGCTAATAAAGCTGTAACTCATTTGTTGTTGATGAAACATTTGCTGAAGACATCAACTTATCTTTATTGATTTATTGTATTATTATATATATTTATAATGGAAAGCTCTGCACTGGCCTGTGTATGGAAGCCTCTTTCTGCCAGTAAAATAAAAAATAAGATGAAATCATGAGAATAAAACAAATGTTCATGTTAAATCTAAATAATGAAATACAAATTGATCATTTTGATACTTATTTTATCTCATCATTTCGATTTAACATGAACATTTCTTCAAGTTTTCATCTTCTTTTTTGTATTTTACTGGCAGAAATGAGCTTCCTGTTACACAACCGTAGTCTGACACTCCCCCACAGAGGCTGGAGCGTTAGCCTCTCTCATCAGCTGATGAACTGATGAACTGATGAACTGAGCTGTTGTTTTAGCCCTCAGTTCAATAAAATGTGTCTCTATTACCAAAACAAGAGCTTAAAGTTCCGCTAGCAGCTCTGTACTGAGACACAGCAGTGTCGTTATCGTTATGGGACAAAATACTCAACAAATATTAAATCAATCTTCATATAAACAGACGCCATTTCACCCAAACTCAGCTCCTATTGGCTGTGATGAAACTGTCTCCTCCTTGTTCTTCTTTCTTCAGCAAAAGCCACTGCCCTGTTTTATCTGAACACACACACACACACACACACACACACACACACTGGGAGATAGTGTAGAAGAACAATGTGAACCAGAGCCTGAACTGCACTCTGCACAGCTCCGGTTCGTCCAATAAGCAGGTTGTAGACATTTAGCGTGGGCTAGTGTTGCTTAGTGACCAAATGATGTGCAGCTATTTTTTAACCTCCATAGAGAAGTGGCATGTTTGTTATTAAAACCTGAATGAAAATGTAAAATCATCTTTAAAAAAAAAAAAAAAGTGAATTATATCAATACATTTTCCCCATCAGAGGAGACGACGGAGGACAGAGGCATGATGGGAAATGACTGGAGATCTTTACACATTATTCAACCTGAAGTGAACTGATGGACTCGTTAACACTTCGGTGAATCTGTGACGACTTTAACACATAGTTATATATCCTGAAAGTATATTAATATCCATCAGCATCATATCTGATCTCCACAAACATGGATGAGTTCAATCTAAAGGACTCGTTATACGAACACGGGCGTTGATTCAAAGCTGAACCTCCATCTGGATGAATTTAAAGGTGCAATTATATTTTAATAAATCAAATTAATACAGATAACGTGATATAAAGACTCCATCCAGCCTTTTCTCCTCCTGCAGGTAAACCAGACTAACACGGTAGTTCCCAACCTTTTTCCTTCTATCATTAATAAACAGACTCATATTTTATGGATATTTCATTTATATTAAAAACTGTACAATGAACCCAAACAGTGAACTCAGTAACTGCAGGAAGTTTGAGTGAAACGAGACATTTGGATGAATTTTGAGCAGATTATTTCCTGTTTATGGAACTTTTTATATAATTGAATACAATACAGTAAAACCAACATCTCGACCCTGCAGACTCTGTATGGAAGCCCCTTTCTGCCAGTAAAATAAAAAGATCAATACTTATAATAATAAAATAATTGAAAAAAAACATGTAAAGTTAAAAAAAATACAATTAGTTTAATTCAAAATTGTGACTTTTATCTCAAAATCTCGATTTTTTAAATCATAATTTTGACTTTTTAGAGGAACTTTTTAAATAATACAACACAAACAAGTATTGTAACAGTTGTAGACGCTGACAGATGGTTCATCCAATCAGTATTTTTTTAAAGTGCCCGCCCTTTTCCAAACAATCGCTCCCAGACGGTTCTGTGTAACAAACCATCTGCCCCCGTCAACCCTCAGAGCGTCCGCAGTCATTACTCTGCTGTTTTTGTGTTAATGTGATTTATCGACGCTCCTTTAAATTCAGACCCGTGTGTGAGGTTTGAATTCACTCTCACCGCACGACGCCAAAAATAATCACCGCCGCCACATCCTGCATCACACGCCACCACGTCTGCCTCGCCACCACGCGCTTCCTGTACCTGTGGGGATGAATGTTTGTCGAGCGAGCGAGCATCGGTCACTTTACGTTGATGATTTCCTTTACTCTACTCTTTCTTTTCGCGAGGAATGATTCTGACGCTGTTTGATGATACTGAGAGGATTTACGCTTTGTTCTGATTGGTTGTGAGTAGTTAGAAACAGGAAGTGGGTTGCTGTGACTGACACCATGATGACACAAAGATTGTTCCACGTTTTCTTTTTCTTTTTGTATATTTTAAAGTGTTTTATTGTTTCTTTTTTTTAACAAAATTATTTGAACACGCAGGGCGACTTCGGCGAGACCCGGTCGCCGCCAACGAGTCGGATATTTGAACAGCTGCGAGCATGATGTCATGGTGATGATGTCATATTTTTATTTAGCCTTTAATTAATAGATTTATATAAACGACGCTGGCAGAGACGGGTTGCTGGCAGAGGTGCACGACGGATTTTAATCCAGAGTTAAACTGAAAAGAGGTCAGACTGAAGTCAGACTGGGGTCAGACTGGGGTCAGACTGGGGTCAGAGGTCGGACTCGTTGGCGGGGACTCACCTGTCCGCAGCCGCCCTGCTGCTGTACATACTGAACCACTGAATGACGATATAATTCTGGTTGTTGTTGTTTTGGATGCAGGTGATGTAACAGGTGAATGGTGATGTGAATGATTAACCATGAGTTACAATAAAGAGCATTTCTATTTGCTTTGAGGAGACTGTGCTCAGATTTCTTTCAGATTTTCATTCACAGAATTATTTTTAGATTCAGGAAATAACACAGAGAGTCAACAGCGAGCAGCTCAGAGGCTTCACTTACATACAGCAGGGTTTTCAGCTAAATGCTAACGTTAACAGGTTTCTACCAGGAGCCCAATGATCCATAGAGGTCTCCTCCTCTCCAACACATTAAAACCACTAAACACACTGAATAAAGCAGTTCCACCTTAACAATCACTGCTTCTCCCACGCTGTTGGACAGACAAAGGACGTCCCGGAGGGGCTGCGAGCCGAGCTGCTGCTAACGTTAGCTCAGCTTGTTTCTCTGATAACTTAAGATCCAGACGTCCGATGACTAAAATCCTTCATCCGGTTCAAATCTAGAGTTAAAAAGCACCAAGATCTAAACAGTGGATGGTAACAATGTGGCTTCACACTGGATCAACAGTCAATGTATGACAGCTTCTGGCAGACAACCACAACGCTGACGCAGGCACAAAGGGGATATGACGCCATCGAGGTACGTTGATGAAAACTTTGATTGATGAATGAAACTTGATAATAAAGAAAAACTTCATTTTAAGTCAAAATTACGAGATAAGTTGCAATGAGACAATTAGGAGATAATTATTATAATTATGACTTTGTGCACATAATGAAGGAAGAGTGTTTACTGGTTTTGGAGAGCAGTGGAGCTCTACAGAGGAAGAAGATCTGAGGCTGTGTGTGTGTGTGTGTGTGTGTGTGTGTGTGTGTGTGTGTGTGTGTGTGTGTGTGTGTGTGTGTGTGTGTGTCTGTGTGTGTGTGTGTGTGTGTGTGTGTGTGTGTGTGTGTGTGTGTGTCTGCTGTGTGTGTGTGTGTGTGTGTGTGTGTGTGTGTGTCTGTGTGTGTCTGCTGTGTGTGTGTGTGTGTGTCTGTGTGTGTGTGTCTGTGTGTGTGTGTGTGTGTGTGTGTGTGTGTGTGTGTGTCTGCTGTGTGTGTGTGTGTGTGTGTGTGTGTCGGTCCGTCCTCTGGCTCCTCCCTCCTGTCGATGTCACTCAGAGGCAGGACTCCCCATCAGAGCTCACACTGTTTCACACCGAGCTCACCGAGGACCAAAACTTCTCTCTCTCTGTTTGATGTTTGGGACTCTTCGGCGGAGACATGAGACTGAAGATCAGCTACTGACATCACAGACAGACAGACAGACAGACATGGACAAACAGAAAGGTACTGTGTTCACTTTATTATAGAAACTACAGAAACATTGTGATGATATAAGAATAATTCACACAACAGGAGATCAAACTAAAGAACAGTGAGTTTCAGTGTAATCTTGAATCTTTTAAACTGATATAAAATAAATCATCTTAAGCAAATGTGTTCATATAACTGTAAATATAAATATAACTATTTATTCTATATATCACATGAAATAAATGTAATTAATATAATAATTCACATGTTATATCTGATATTAAATGTTAATTATTACATGTTTGATAAAAACGTTTACATTTTAGTGTAAGTTATTTCATGTATGTTGTTGTTTATGTTGTTTCATTTATAATTTACAGCATGTTATCACCTCACTATAGAAAATAAGACTTTACTTTAAGTCTCCCTAATAATTTAACATTTATAAGCAAACCTTTAATAAATGGTTTATCACACTATAATGTAGTCGTACGCAGATATAATTGTTTAAAAGTTTATAATGTAGAATATTCGTTACCTACAGCAGCCTCCACAAATGGAAGACATAATTATTAGATAGTAAATAATAATTATAAGATAAAACGTCACTAATGGATTCCAACAGGAGGAAATAGAGTTGTTTACAATTACATTATAATAGTTACAATTACATTATAATGTGTTGGCAGCTTGTAAATAATATAAAAACCTGCATTAACAGATATTTATATATAGAAATATCTACATTATAACCTGCTGATGTCATAAGTTCCTCCTCGTTATCACACTGATGGTATGTTAACTGCAGCGACCATCGGAAACACCCGTCTGTCCTCTCCATCATCCTTCCTCCCGCCCCTCATCATCGCTCCCCGCCGCCCCCCCGCCGCCCTCAGGAGACCGAGAGCTAATAGACTGTTTAGATCCAGACTGCTGTGTCCAACGTCTGCAGACCAACAGTACAAACACCGACTGCTGTAGTTAACTGGAACTAAAAGGGATTCCAGTTTATCCCAACTTTAACTCTCCGTAGTAACATTATCAGGCGTAAGCTGACAGGTCAAAGGTCACAATATTGTCCCCCATCCTGATATTATGCAGACAAACAGAAGTATCGTTGTTTAGTATTGCAGTGGCGTTGTAAGTATAATGAGACAGTTTCTATGTTAAGATATATTTTAGAGTTAATAGTCTGTAGGATGTCTGCTGTGTTTGATTTATTGGAGAACAAACGTCCCCAAACATCAGGACAGACCTGATCTTCTGTCTGGAGTTAACCTCTGATAGCATCCATGTTTAATATACACCAACTCTTTGCCTTGGAAGTAATGAACTTTAATGGCACTGCTGTAGGTAGTGAGCAAGCTAGCCTGGCATGCTAACGTTAGCAGCCTATGCTCTTGTGTTTGTGGTTTAAGAACTCGTAGCTGATTGGACGACAGCAGCTCGGTAATGTAAACGTTTCTGCCGCCCTGTGTTTACCATCAGAGGATGAAAGAGAAAGCTGCTCCACCCTGACACACACACACACACACAGACACACTCTCACACACACACACACACACTCACACACACACACACACACACACACACACACACACACACACACACACACACACACACACACACACACACAGACACACACACACACACACACACACACACACACACACACACACACACACACACACACACACACACACACACACACACACACACACACACACACACACTCTCACACACACACACACACACACACACACACACACTCTTTAACCACAGTCAGTTACAGGATCAGCTGCATCGGCCAGAAAGACACAAACATTGAAACTTTTACTTTGAAATTTGTTCCATAAAATACAGAACAAACAGAACAAACAGAACAAACAGCAGCAGGGAACAACAACATCCTGACCGGTGTAAACAATAAACAGTCAACAACAAACAACAATAATAATATCAGGCCGAATATTTTATTCACACTTGAATCGAAAAACAGTTTATAAAACTTCTGTTTGTGTTTGTTTGTTTGTTCATTAGTTTGTTTCTTCTGCAGTTTGTTGATTTGTCAGTTTGTTCGTCATTTGTTGATCAACTTCATAATTTTTTTTGTTTGTTTGTGGATTTGTTAGAGAACTGTCACAGCATGAACTGAAAACAATACGAGACAGTCAACAGTCGTTCAGAGCAGATCAATAAGTCCAGATAACGAGGCTGAGTTCTGTTTGTGTTGATGTTGTTAACAGAATGAGATTATCGGCCTTTCATTCAAATGGACAGAGTGTGTGTGTGTGTGTGTGTGTGTGTGTGTGTGTGGTGTGTGTGTGTGTGTGTGTGTGTGTGTGTGTGTCGTCCTGCAGCATCAAAGCCAGGGACAGGAAGTGATGTTGATGGTCAGATTAGCAGCGTTCAGGAACACAAACTGTTTCTCCGTGCAGCAGCAGAACCTGTGAGCGGGCCGACTCTCTGTTGTTGTTGTTGTTGTTGTTGATAAAGGGGCCGTGGGTGTGCGAGCTATGTGGCGCTCACTGTTTAAAACAGCAGCGGGCTGATAAACAGAGCGACAGGATCCTTAAAGTCAGCAGAGAGCAGATAATCAGGAAGCTTTAACCTCCGTCTCCCACTCAGCTCACACAGTGAATGGACTCAGTCTGTCCGTCTCAATGGAGCTCACACGCTGTCGCATTTCTTACATTTCACCTCCTTCTCATGGTAATTCACACTGTTCTCAGGTCAGTTCAGCAGAACCTCTGCGGCTCATTCACGTCGGTTCTAAACAGGAACAGAGAACAACAACAACAACAAAGTCGATTACAGTTCTAGAAACTGATTGAGAGTCAGTTTGATCCCTTACAGTCTCTGTGGCTCCAACTGGTCATACGTTTGCAATAAGTTCTAAAATGTATAGTTCTAGGAGGTTCTGGAGGTCTTCTAGGTGGTTCTAGTCATGCTGTAGGTTCCAGTGGTCAGTGATGAGGTTCTTAAGATCTTTATGTGGCTCTACTGTTTCTTCAGCAGGGTGTAGAAGTCATTGTGTTGGTTGTAGAACTCTTTTAAAGCAGTTCAGACGTTCAGGAGCTTCTACAGTCCTGAAGACAGTTCTAGTGGTCATCAACAAGGTTCTACGGGCCTTTTAGGTGGTTCTAGTCATGCTGTAGCTTGCAATGGTCACTGAGGTGGTTCTGTTGTTTCTTTAAAAGGTTCTAGTGGTCACTGATGAGGTCCTCCAGGTCCTTTTTGTGGTTCTAGTCGTTATTGTGAAGAAGATTAATGGTTGCAGGGGTTCTTTGAGTGGTTCTTGTGGTCCTGTAGGAGGTTGAATTGGTCACTGAGAAGGTTCTAGAAAGTATTTAGGATGGTCTCTGATCTCTTTAGGAGATTCCAACGGTTCTTTAGATGTTTAAGTGGTTGTACTGTTTCTTTAGGGTTCTAGTGGTCTTTCAGTGGGTTCTATAAGTCATTCTGTTGGTTGTAGAACTCTTTTATATTAGTGAAGATGTTCTAGAGGTTCTTTAGGTGGTTCTGGTGGTCATTGAGGATGTTTTCCAGGTTGCAGGTTGCTTTAAATGTTCCCTCGACTCTAACAACACTCTCTCTTTATTCTGTGTTAAACATTAGCAGCGTCCAGCAGCTTATCACTGTGTGTCCTGTGTGAAGGCCGGAATGCCGGAATATTTGTGATGGGAAACGTCACCTGAACAGGTGCCGTCAGTCCGGTGTTCCTTCACTCATTAACCGGTTCTGTTTTACACAGACAGCAGCTTCAGTGTTTCACCTCTTTAACACTTAAACATTTAGAACAAATATCACAGGAACACGGAAGTTTCTGTTCCTGGAACCAAGAAAGACTCAGAAATACCTCTCTATATAAATATAAGAGATAAAGATGGATGAAGCAGGAATATCTGACCACTGTTTGTATTTTTAACTGTGTGTGACGGCGATAATGTGAAGTGAGAGGCGTCTCACATCGCTGCCTTCAATGATTTCAGCTCCTCTGAAGACACACAGTCAGTGTTCATTGAGTGAAAGAGAGACAACAGCTTCATTCATCCGACGGGAACACAGAGCGACTTCATGACGCTGCTCATGTTTTATCAACCTGCTGACGACCAACTCAACTCATCAGTTTCTGTTCATGAGACATAATGAGGAGGTTTAGTTGTTGTAGTTCATGTTTACAGCATTTTAAACGTAGATATTTAAAGGTTACACCAAAGTTTTAAAAATTATTTAAAACTTGAATTTAAATCTTTTAAATATTTTAGGTTAATATTTACTTAAAAGTAAAGTAATGGCCGTATGCTAGGCTACATATAGCGTAATAACCTAACCCGTTATTTCCTATAAATTTTGTTCCAAAACTCAATTATTTTATTTTATTGGCTTATTTAGATTTTTGATTCATTAATCTTTCGTGAATTTATTTAACTGCTGCTTAAATAATGTTCCTTTTGTTTTAATGTTTTGTTTTAATCCTTTTGTTTTGTTGTTTTTTAAGTTTTTGTTGGTTTATCTTAAAAATCAGAATCAGCATGTTAGCATAAGCGCAGGAAACTTAGCATGTAGGCTAACATTTAGTATATTTTAGGTTTTTGTTTTGTTACCAAATCCAGATTTAAAAAGTAAAACTTGCGTAATATGCCTGCAGTTAGACCCCTGGATGTTACGATGCTAGTATGTCAGTATGAGTTAGCATCCAATGGTTGTCTTTAAACACACATCCTATCATGCTAAATGCTACATGCTAAATGTGACATTGTTCAACAAATGTGTGAGCAGTTAATTGGTTGATGAAGATAAACGGTGGGTGGAGCTTATTCTCCACTCGCTGCTAACGAACCGCTGCAGAAGAAGACGCCACAGCGAGATGACGAGGTCATTAAAGAGATCCAGTCGAAGGTCAAACGACAGAAATCAGACACTTCTGTGAGTTTCGTGTATTAATGTGAGGACGGTTACTTCGTTAAAGTCTAATAACGACTAACGGAGTCTGTTTCCGTCGATGAACCAGCCGAGTGAAAAGAGTCTTTGATAACAAACATGACTCATCGCTTCTGCTTCTGTCAACAGTCCAACGATGACTCAGTCAGATCGAGATAAAGACAATTTTCACATTAGATTGAAGTCGTTAATGAGGCTGAACAGACGGGCGGCTGAGGGGTCTGTGGGTTCAGCTGTTTACCTGTCTGTCTGACTGTCTGTCTGCCTGTCTGTCTGTCTTTAGTGCTGGCCAAGCTGATCTGGGACCTGCAGTCCTTCCTGTCTGTTCTGGACTCAGAGAACTTGAGTTACATCGCTCAGGCTCAGAAGAAATCCATCTCAGAGCTGCTGTCCAAACTGCAAACAAACGACACTCCTGGTAAAGTGCTATTAGAGTATTAGGAAATACTATTAATGATACTAATATTACTATAATTAATGATACTAATATTACTATAATTAATGATACTTATATTACTATAATTAATGATACTAATATTACCATAATTAATGATTCTCATATTACTATAATTAATGATACTAATATTACTATAATTAATGATACTAATAATATTAATGATACAGAGAACATATTGAAGTGCAGGGCCACTGAACAGGCTGCTGTACAACCACAACCAGCAGTCTGTGGATCTGTGAACTGTAGTAACATGTTTACTGACACTGATGGATGTCTGTTGTGTTTCCAGTGGAAGATGCTGAGTACATGATCATGAGCTGTCCATCACTGTCTCCTAGCAACGAGCAGATAGACTCACCTGGGACAGGTAACACTCACATCACAGGAACCGGTCCGACACTCTGGAGGTTTCTTCTTTTTCCTGAGCTCTCGGTTTTGAATTGAAAACACATTTCAGATTATTTTGGACAATATTATATTAAAATATATTATAATTAAAATAATGTTTATAAAATGTTTATAAAATGTTTATAAAGGTGTAAAATGAAATGAAACGTGTTTTCAGTCTGAAATCAGATTTGTTTGTGTGTGCAGAAGGTGTCCGGTCCTCTGAGCTGGTCTTAAAGCGGGACTCATTGGTGTGGCTGAGGAACGGGGTGAGTCAACACATTTCTAATATCTGTCCTAGTGGAAGTAGTGGAAGAAATAAATAAATAAATAAATATTTAACTTAAAGTCCTGCATTTAAACTTAACTTTGGAAAATAACCAAAATATTGGCCTCACATTATACTCAAAGTACCAAAAGAAAAGCTCATTTTTATTAATTTACCACCAGTTTATCCTGATATTTTATTTTATTTGTTGATACTTATTTATATTATTCATCTGAATCTTTAAAGTAATGTCAAATAAATAAGTAAAAACTTTAATATTTGTCTCTGAATTGTGGTAGAGTAGAAAGATGTAAAATACAGCATATTAATCCTAATAAATAAATACATAACCTGAAAACTACTTATATCCTATACATACACCATCAAACTTAACTTAAACTAAAGTTGAATAAGTTTGAGATATATGAACATTATTATAAACGGGAACCTGCTGGAAATACGTGGTTTTACTTTAACATGTTAAGAATCAGATAAAACACAAATTCTGCTCTAAAAGTTACAGAAAGCTGCTTCACAGGTTCCTTCACTATCACCTTTGGTTGCCGAGGAAACACAGGACCAGTGGTTGAATGTAACTAACTACATTTACTCGAGTACTGTACTAAAGTCTTTCCTTCTCATGTAAAAACATTTAAAGGTTCGAGGTTCACAAATGAACCAAGACCCATACCAAATGTAACATTTGGGAAATTTCATGAATCCATAATGAAAATAATCATTAATTTAAGTCTGATTATATTTGTATTTATTGATTTGACTTTTATTTAACAGATTACTCAGTTGAGTGCCAATTCTCCTTTACAAAGACTCGAGACAACAAGTAAAACATACATAGAGCGAATGCAAAGTCCAATACCGTTAAAGAGTATGTAGAGTGGATCTGAGGTCTGGAGGGATGGACGGGAGGAATAATTGAATATAAACTCTAACTCAACCAACTACAGTTAAACACTGCTTTTACATGAATGCACGAGTCAGAAGCATCTAATGAGATCATATATAACACACACACACACACACACACACACACACACACACACACATATATATATAAAGTTTATATAAACTTTAATACATCTGGATCTGACTACTTCCTGCTTCACTGCTCAGGAGCATCCTTCAGTGTGATCCTCAGATCTGGTGTGAAATGTAAAGATTTGAACTCTTCCTGACTCCGATTCTCTGCTCACTGTTTTTCTTTACGTCCTGATGGTTAAAGAAAAGTGGTCGGGAAAGAAAAAAGAGCTTTTTTTTTAGATAACATGAGGAGGAGGTTTGTGATGTGGGTCAGTAATGACAGACCGAGTCCTCCTGAGGTTTGGGAGGAGACGGCCGGGTTACTGTGTGCGTGTGTGTGTGTGTGTGTGTGTGTGTGTGTGTGTGTGTGTGTGTTAGAGGGAGTGACAGGATGCTCAGTGTTTACATATGAGGCCATCTCTCCTCTATCTGTCGTCCTATTGGCTGAGAGCTCTGCAGAGGGAGGAAGTGGTCATTGATGGCGGCCGATTAGCATCTGGTCTACGTGATGGATGAACACACACACACACACACACACACACACACACACACACAGTAACCTCGTCTCCTGGGAGATTTTGTTCATATGCAACTCATTTACAAACATTACGTCCACTGGCAGCGTTTAGTTCCAGTTCACTGCAGTGGAGGTGAACAGCGGCTCAGAGGGTCACGTCTGATTCTTACAGTCAGATTTGGTGGTTTGAGTTAAAATGAACTACGTTAACTTTACGTTACCTCCGTCGTCATGGTTACGCATTGGTTATGGTTGGCGGACGGTGGTGGTTGGGGGTCAGTGGACTTTGCGGCCACGGATTTTCATGTTGAAATGAGAAAAACAAAATTGGGAAGCAAATAAATTTAAAACATTTAATATAAAACAAAACGAAAAAAACAACAAACTTTCAATAACTCCTCCCCCTTCCACCTGCATCACTTCCTGTTTCCTGTGATGTCATATCCAGGGCCCCATAGTGCCGCCGCCCCTCCCTCCAGGAGGCCTCGGAGGTGATGATGAAGATACGTACGAGGAGGCAGAACCTTACGTCGCTGACACAACCACATCCAACACTGGTAACACACACACACACACACACACTCACTCACTCACACACACACACACACACACACACACACACACACACTCACACACACACACACACACACACACACACACACACACAATAACAATAACCTCTCCGTTGTTCCCTCAGAGAAGGCGGAGTCCGACAGCAGTCACTACGAGTCGTACGGGGATGAAGATGATGATGATGATGAGCCGGTGAAGGACAGAGCTCACTACATCCAGTGGAGCGCCTCCCAGCCCTGCCTGAGGCCCGTCCCCGAGTCCCGGCTCTGCGGCTACCTGTGGAGGAGGAAGTGGCTCGGACAGTGGACCAAACAGCTGTTCATCATCAGGAACGACGTGCTGCTGGTGAGGATGGAAGTAACTGAGTACATTTACTCGAATACTTAGGTACAGGTACATCTGAGGTTCCCAAAATATATATATTTCTATATGAAAATCCAATTATTCTGGATTTATTTTGAAAATAAAAACAACAAAACTCCCATTTTCTGTTTATTTAAGAAAAAACTTTTTTTTTTAAATCATTTTTTCAGTTTTTTCATTGTAAAAAAATTTTTTTCTAACTTTTGTTTTGAAAATAAGAGAGAAAATTAAAAAGCAACACATTTTTTTGTTTTTGAGAATAAAAAACAAAACAAAACAACCTTTTTCCATTTTTTTGTTCTGAAAATATCAGAAAACAAAAAAACTTGTGTGTCTGTGTGTGTGTGTGTGTGTGTGTGTGTGTGTGTGTGTGTGTCTGTGTCTGTGTGTGTGTGTGTGTGTGTGTGTGTGTGTGTGTGTGTGTGTGTGTGTGTGTGTGTGTGTGTGTGTGTGTCAGTGTTATAAGTGCGCTCAGGACCTGCTGCCTCAGCTGGAGTTGAGCCTGCGCGGCTGTCAGCTCGTCTACAAGTCAAAGTGCAACAGGAAGATCCAGCACCAGCTCAAACTGGTGCCACTGGGCTCCGAGACGCTGGTTCTGGGATACGGCAGCTTCCAGCAGGCTGACGAGTGGAAGAAGGTCAGCAACACACAGAGCACACACACTGCACACTCATTACTAATCAATCAATATCACGTATTCGCGTATTTCTCAGTTACTGTCCTTAAGTAACTCAAGTGTAAAACCAGATGAGTTAATTTAAGTAAAATAACTGATTACATTGACAATTTTAAGTAAAACTAACTCAATTTTAGGGTTAGGGTTAGTTAAAAAACCTCCTTGATCTAGTAGCTTTAGTAATTTGAAGTGGCATTAAATACCTAGTAAACATATATAATCAGGAATGTTAGTTGGTGCCACTTAAAGTTGATAGTAAAAGCTGCTTAATCAAGAAGTTTGTGTAACTTAAAAGTTTCAATATAATCATTGAAACTATTTTTTTGAGTATATAACTAAAATAATCAGATTACAGTGTATGTTCTTCTACTACTCTACAACAGTAAATACATTTTACAGTATAAAATAGTTCAATTCAGCCCAAAATGCAAACCATGTAATCATGTAACATACACAGAGGTGGATAACAGTCACACATCCCTACAGTACCTCAGGTGTAACTACTGTTGTATATGTGCAGTAACTGTATGTGTTGTGTGTGTGTGTGTGTGTGTGTGTGTGTGTGTGTGTGTGTGTGTGTGTGTGTGTGTGTGCGTGTGCAGGTCATAGAGGAAGTGAGTGTTGGAGGTGAAATGGAGACTCAGAGCTCGCTGTCTCTGATCCGATCAGACCAGCTGCTGTCCTGCAGGGTGAGACACACACACACACACACACACACACACACACACATATATACACACACATATTTATATTAATGTTATATTTTGTGAGGATTCTCATCAATAACATTAAACAAAAGCATACAAATAAAGTAAAAACCAGCATAAAGTGTCTCATTAAGCTGTTTTCCCACCACAAATGTGCTCAAGAGTCTCATAAACACAATTATAAAACATAAAATGTGAAGTTTCTGTATGTTTTGTGTCTCCTGTACAGTCCAGTACAGTCCAGACTGACTCTGAGGAGGAGAAACCTTCAGCTCCCTGCAGCTTCAACAAAGACAAAGGTAACAAAGGTAAACTGATATCACTGTTAAAGCTGCAGTGTTTACTTTATAACCCAGATCCTGGTGGTAGGGTCAGTAAACTAATAACTTTTGTTCTCTACTGATACAAAGTTTGAAAGTTTGAGCTAAATGTTCTTAAAGCTTCTCTATGTAACTGTCATTAAACTGTAGTTAACAGTGCCACCAGTGGCCGTTCGGGGAACTGCAGTCAGCGACGTTAGCCAACTAATATATCTGTAAATAACAAACAGCTTCTAGTAAACAGACTAAAACTCTGTAAAGCTCTTTTAATTCAACAGGTATTAAATTATGTTGGTGTGACCTCTGACCTTCATGTTTGATTGACAGGTTTCCTGAGCGTGCTGATGAACTGTCAGTGGCAGAGTCTGCTGTGTCAGGTGGAGGCCGGTCTGCTCAACATGTTCGGAGAGGAGGAGCATGAGGAGGAGGAGGAGGAGGAGGAGGAGGGCGGGGAGGTGAAGAGGGAGCGCTCACCTCAGTACACCGTCCAGCTCAGAGGATGCGAGGTCAGAGCCGGACCCGACACCGACCACTCCTACAGGATCACACTGAGCACGCTCGGTGACCAGGTGGCTGTACTGGAGGTGAGCAGTTCGGATGAAAAGGAGCGATGGTTGAAGCTGCTGCAGGACGGAGCCAATCACAGTCACCATGGCAACAACACTCAGGAGCACACAGGTGGAGCTCTCAGGTAAGAGAGATTTTTGTTGTTGTTGTTGTTTATCCTTTAATGATTGTAATAAACAAGACTTTTTCAGATTGATTACAAAGCAAACAATCAATGGATTAATGATCAGATATAAAATATAACACAATAATATTTACTGAAGTATTTAAACAGTGTGGTATTATCTTACTTTTACATCAGTAAAGAATATGGATAAGTCTGAATATGGCTGCAACTAATAATTTTCATTATCAGTTAACTTTTCAATCATTTTCTCTATTAATCAATTAGTTCTTTGTTCCATAAAATGTCAGAAAATGGTGGAAAATGTTGATCAGTGTTTCCTAAAGCACCAGGTGACGTCTTCAAATGTCTTATTTTGTCCACAAACCAAATATATTCAGTTTATTGCCATAAAGGAAACCAGAAAATATTCACATCTGAGAAGCTGAAATCAGAGAATTTGAACATTTTCTATTAAAAGATGACTTAAAATGATCAATATATCAATCAATATTTAAATATTTGGTGATTCATTTTAAACTTAACTACTAATCAATAAATCCTCTAATTCAACTTTTCAGATTATGAGATTTGTATTGTCTTCAAAAATGATCGAAATAATGGACAAAAGCGGTGGTCCAAGAATAGAACCCTGAGGCACCCCACATGGTCTTCTTCTTCTTCTTCTGTGGTGATTTTGTTGTCTTCCCTCCTCAGTGGGCTGCAGATTCGAAAGTTTCCCACCTCCAACACCTACATGGACGACCCCTTCCATCTGAATGTAACAGGCCGAGACCAGCCCATCTACTCCAACACCTCCATACTGGAGCACATGGTACGGTCCAGCTGTGTCGCCAGTGGTGGAAGAAGTTCTCTTTAAGTTCAAATATTAAATTCACTACCACTAGATGTCGATGATGACACACCATGTGACTCTGTGTCTGTATATAGAGAATATAATGTTTAATATCTCATATACAGTATTTAACCTTTAAATAAATCTGTTGAATTTAACAGAATACAGAGAAATGTGAGCTCAGCAGAGGTGGAGGAAGTATTCAGATGTAATTTTACAATAATATTAATTATTATTATTAATATTAATGATCTGTGTTTGTGATTTCATTCATTATTTCAGTTCCAGGGCTCTCAGGATTCAGTTCACTGCAGCTCGGTGTCGTCCAGAGACTCAATGACCTACAGTAACACCATCTTCACCACACACAGTGAGTCTCAGCTCATCAATCTTTACCAAACTCAAAGGGCGTAATGTAAACTGGGGACGGACACTTTTATACTGGATTCAGGTTGATTTCGTCACTAGAATCTTTTGAATGTTGGTCTCTGCTCGGCCGCTACGGTTGAAGTTCCAGTTGAAGCAAATATCTCTGGTCAGTCACACAGAGACGTCCTCCTAGCGGTCACCAAATTTTAATGAAGGGGTCAGAAGGTCTTCTTGATTCCAAGGGATGCTAGAAAATATACAAAGTAGGCCTATATCTCAGTATTTTGTTCACTCTTGTGAAGAAAAGTAAAGTAAATTGTCAACAAATAAAAGAAAAGACTTTGTCAAAAAATACCTATAAAACTTATAAAAAATAAATCTATATAAAAATATAGACAAAGAATTCCCTAAACGGTAAATAATCTGCCCAAAATTCCTCCAACTCACTTGTTTTACATGCAATATACATAAAATGTGTAATTTAGTTTGTTTACTAATAATAGAAGAGGAACAAGGTTAGGACCCCCGGATCTATAGTGTGCACGGGACAAACAAAACCGGGGTCAATATGTAAAACCACTGCTAAGAACTCCACAGACGTGATTCTGGCGCCCCTTGTGGACAACAGCGGTAGTGTTTCTGAAGTTAATAACAACTATATATAAATATCCAATCTGCTCTCTGATGGTTTATTGTTCATATGGAGACGTCAGTATTAAACTATAACAGAAGCAGCCCTGAGTAAAGACTGTTGCGTCGCTGTGTTTCAGACAGGAAGTCGGTGGAAGTGGAGCGTGGCGTTCAGAAGCTGGAGCTGACCGGGAAGAGGACGGTGCAGCTGAGGGCGGGGTCAGAGACCAACCTGGCGTCTGCTGGGAAGCAAAACAAACGCACCTTTAGACAGTCGCTGGCCGTCTGCACTGAGCGTGCTCAGGTAGGAACAACATCTCAAAATACAGATTTATTGATATGAAATTATAATGTGGGGTTACACACTGCTCACTGGTTTCACTGGTCTCTGCTGTAACCTCTACTGGTCTCTACTGGTCTCTGCTGGTCTCTGCTGTAACCTCTACTGGTCTCTACTGGTCTCTGCTGGTCTCTGCTGTAACCTTACTGGTCTCTGCTGGTCTCTGCTGGTCTCTGCTGTACCCTTACTTTGCTGCCTCTGCTGGTCTCTGCTGGTCTCTGCTGGTCTCTGCTGTCTCTGGTCTCTGCTGGTCTCTGCTTAACCTCTGCTGGTCTCTTGTCTTTCTGCTGTAACCTCTGCTGGTCTCTGCTGGTCTCTGCTGTAACCTCTACTGGTCTCTGCTGGTCTCTGCTGGTCTCTACTGTAACCTCTACTGGTCTCTGCTGGTCTCTGCTGTAACCTCTACTGGTCTCTGCTGGTCTCTGCTGGTCTCTGCTGTACCCTCTACTGGTCTCTGCTGGTCTCTGCTGGTCTCACTACTGTCTCTACTGTAACCTCTGCTGGTCTCTTCTGGTCTTCTGATCTCTGCTGTAACCTCTACTGGTCTCTACTGGTCTCTGCTGTAACCTTCTGCTGGTCTCTGCTGGTCTCTGCTGGTCTCTACTGGTCTCTGCTGGTCTCTGCTGTACCCTCTACTTGTCTCTGCTGGTCTCTGCTGGTCTCTGCTGTAACCTCTACTGGTCTCTGCTGGTCTCTGCTGGTCTCTGCTGGTCTCTGCTGTAACCTCTACTGGTCTCTGCTGGTCTCTGCTGTAACCTCTACTGGTCTCTGCTGGTCTCTGCTGGTCTCTACTTAACCTCTCTGGTCTCTGCTGGTCTCTGCTGTAACCTCTACTGGTCTCTTCTGTCTTTCTGGTCTTTCTCTACTGGTCTCTGCTGGTCTCTGCTGGTCTCTACTGTAACCTCTGCTGGTCTCTACTGGTCTCTGCTGATCTCTGCTGTAACCTCTGATGGTCTCTGCTGTAACCTCTGATGGTCTCTGCTGGTCTCTACTGGTCTCTGCTGGTCTCTGCTGTAACCTCTACTGGTCTCTGCTGGTCCAGGCGGGCTTCCTGAACCCTCTGCTGCGACGGACGGCCTCGGCTAAAAACACTCTGAGACGAGCTCCTTCGGCGCTGTTCATCGAACATGGAAAGGTTTTCCAGAAGAGGAAGGTCAGATATTTACAGAACCTTAAATATAAATCACAGATTCTTTACTGATGTCAGCAGATGAAGTCCAACACAGCCAACATTCAGTCACAGGTTTCGTCTAACGACTGCGGCGGTGGAAGAAATATTGTTATATTAATAAGTTATTGACCAAAATTGATCAAGTGTTAAATTATCGTTTGAATTAAAATCTGAGTTTTGTCTTTAAAATAAATAACATTCAGGGCGGAGATGTAAGAGATGATGCCATTATCAGGAATTAATTATATTAATAAAATGATTAAATATTTCTAGTTCCCTCCACTCAGAGCGCTAACGTTACGCTACGGACCAAAGAGGTAACATTACATTGAAAAATACATCATCAGTTAGTCGCCACTGGGAATAATAAGTGTCTGGTTCTAGTATTTATCTATGGCTCTGTTGCATAACCCTAACAGTGATGTCACAGTGACCTAGAGTGCACCTTTACATCACTGCTGTGAGGTCATGTTGTTCAGGAGGTGTAAAGTTGCTCTTCAACAAGTTAACTAACCTTTTTGTCTACCAGCTGCGTGTGAACATAATGAACACGTGTTTCTGAATCCGTCTGTAAACTCTTTCTGTTTGTACAGGAGTGGGAAACCAAAGCTGCTGCTTGACACCGGCCGTCCAATCATCACCTCCCGTCTGCAGACTCCAGCGAGTTGTTGTTTCTAACTCCAGACACAAAGTTTAACACATTCAGTGTGAATAACAAAGATTCAGCCTTTATTCTCTTCAGGAAGCTTTAAATTTACTAAACACTCGTGATCTAAAACAAAATGTACGATTGTAAATGAACCAACATGTGAACATATCAGTAAATGCAGACTTAATGTTTCTTTAAATGTTTCTTATATCTTTAAACCAGCTTCAAAATGTGGTTGTCTTTTCAACATGCATTAGCTTAGCACCTAGCATATCTAAGTAGAGGGAAGGAGGAAGTTGACCGACGCCTGCTCAACTGTGATTGGAGCAGAGAGCAAAAGGGGGCGGGGCTTAGGACAGGTTTAAATTGTACTTTAGTACAGTATTTGAGTAAAAGTACTTTTCACCACTGGTTTCTAACAGTATCTGTTCTCTTGTTATTATAAAGATATCATTGATGGTTTATGATGGTCACTCATTTGTATCTTTTTTATAATTACTGTATTTTATAATAAACTCAGGAGAATGTTTCTTTGTTGATGTTAAACTAAACACTGATCTGTAAAAAGATAATATTAAAAACTGAATTTTACATCACTTTTGCTTTTATTTTTGTAAACGTTTGAAATGTTGACAGTAAACTGATTTTATACTGAAAGGACCTGTGTGCAGGAGGGTCGCAGGTTCTAGCAAACTGAATACCCCTCGCCTTCCAAGCGTGTCATAATAATAATAACTTTATTTATGAAGCACCAGAGTTTACAAAGTGCTTTCACAGACGAAGCAGAATGGTCTTTCCAGAGCCGAGGGGTCCTGAAGGCGAAAGCTCGGTCACCTTTAGATTTAAGTCTGGACTTTGGAACAACCAGAAGGATCAGCTGAGGACCGGAGGAGGTGAACTGGGTCATAAGGGGGCAACGTTTCTGCTACGTGGCTTTGGTACCAGACCCAGACCGGCTTTAAAAGTGATCAGTAAAATATTAAAATCAATTCTAAAACCAACAGGGAAGCTGCTGTTTGCTAATTGCTAATGTAGCTCCAAGACAGACAGAGCCAACTGGGGAAAATACGTTTTTTAATTTATTTTTAATAGAATAATATAAACGAAAAACTCAAAAATCATAAATGGCTAAATATATTGATTATTTTGACATTTCAGATTAATCAAATTGTTTTTATGGTTTATTTTATGTTATTAGTTGTGTTTTGTTTGTTAATTTCATTATATTAAGTTTACACTATAAATGCTGATTTTATAATTAAATATTTGTATGTAAGTTTATGTATTTAAGTGTTGTTAATAAAGTAAATAAAAGGAGATGGCGGCTCTCGTCCGCCGGGTGGCAGTAGAGCGCTGAACTCTCGCGGTGTTTCCGCTGTTCTCGCTGCAGAAGAAGAATCACGGAAGAGGGGAAAGGTTTCCTGACGGATCACCGGGCTAACAGCTAACAGCTAACAGAGATAACTTTCCGTCTGAAGAGCGATTTAATCCGGTTACAGTGACACACACATCCGGACCGAAGGTAAAACTACAGCATGAACAACTCAAACTGTCTCTCTGCGTTATTATTTCGCGGGTTTTGCTCCGTTTAAAGTGGCCTCCCGCTGTTAGCCTGTTAGCATGTTAGCAAGGCGTAGACACAACTGCAGCTGTTAGCCGGTTAGCTCCTGAGCTAAGCTAACAGTCAGCTGATGTTGTTTAATACCCCCCCCCCGCTGTTAGCCTAGCCGGCTGCTTCCTTTTGTTGCTCGCTGTCTGTTCAGGTTGTTTGTGATTAAACTGCCCCCCCCCCTCAGAGACAGGGTGTGACTCGATGCTGTAACTTTAATTAATCTTCTTTTTCCTGTTCCCCCCCCCCCCCCACACACACACAGCATCAAGATGACAGCCGCACCTTACAACTACTCCTACATCTTCAAGTACATCATCATCGGTGAGTGATCATTATTACTAACAGACCCTGAACGCAACACACACACTCACACACACTCTCTCACTCACACACACACACACACACACACACACTCACCTCTCACTCTCTCACACACACACACACACACACACACATACTCACACCCACACACACATACTCACACCCACACACACACACTCACACACACACACACACACTCTCACACACACACTCTCACACACACACACACTCTCACACACACTCTCACACTCTCACACACACACACACACACACTCACACACACACACACACTCACACACACACACTCTCTCACACACACACACACACACACACACACACACACACACACACACTCTGACTGAAGAATATTTAACGTTGTGTTTCCATTAAAGATAAAATACCCGCTGTGTTAATATTCAGACTCTTTCTGTCGGTTCGAGTTCTAATAACAAACTTTAAAACCTCCTTTAAGTGCGAGTGTGTAAGTTTTATAAGGGAACAGTAAAAGCTGTCGTTATAAGTGATTAACTTTAATATTTATTTAATATTAATGTGCTGTCGTTATAAGTGATTAACTTTAATATTTATTTAATATTAATGTGTGTGTTGCATTAAACAGCTCAGCTCAAACTGTGTTTGTGTCCTAAAACGTCTGATTTCTTTCTTTCTACAGAGTTGAGATGTTTTTAGGTATTTTCTTTGCATGCATTTCAATATTTGTATAATGTGTAAACTTAATATTGATGTGTGATTTGTGTAGGAAGGTGACTCATCAATAATTCCCTTTAAAAAGGACATTTATATTCTTACATTATAATTAACTCCAGATCAGAACAGCGAGCTCCTCGGAGTTCACACAGATTGAGTCTCAGACTAAAATACACTAAATATATTATATCTTGTTGTTTTCTTTATCGAATGTAGAATCCGTTCTTATTGCTCGTTTATAAAGAGAACTGGATGCAGCGTTGGAGGCGGCGCTCCGTACTTCCCTATAAAACTGCTCAGTGGTGCTTGAAAAAGAAAAAAGCCACTTCCTGCTGCTGGTTAACTTCCTGTTTAGCCCGCCGTTAACTTGAATGGACATAATTTGATTTAATTGTGAAAATCTTCCAGACTTTCCAAATGTTATCAGACTGAATGGATCAAATTCTGACAGTGATTACGAGTCATTTCTCTGGGTTGTGACGATAAAGTATTTCTCCGCCTGTTTATCTGTTTAACATTAAGTTCTTTTACACATTTAGACCCAGAAACTACAAACACTGCAGACACCATGTTCTCAATCACACCACCAGGTTTAGAATTGATTTTCTACCTTCCAGACAGCGATTGGCCTGAGAGACCTTTATGAAAATTGATTTGTGAGAGTTGAGCCGCCGACTGCTCGCCTGTTAACCCTTAAAGAGCAACACAGGAACAACTGTGTCCTGTACATATATATAGATATATAGATATAGAGATATATATATTCTATATCTGCTTCTTTTACTACAAGAAACCTGTGGACATAAAAACGTAAGCAGAGAAGTCAACTACGACTCCCAGGGTGCATTTCACCAACCAACCTCCCGTCACAGAGCTTCACTGCTGCTCTGCTGAAGACAAAGATCACAAAGTTTCTACAGTTTACTTTCTGATTCTGGATCAGTTTGGGATCGTTTCGGTAACCAGACCTGCTTCACCATAGCAACAACTGCCGAGGCTTATGGGTATTGTAGTACCTGGAACCATCCACCAAACTGACAGAAAATAACCTGATTTCTAAAAGTTTAAATAATTTTAACTGAGACATTTGTGTCAAAAGATAATCTTTTGAAGAGGTTCAACCTCCCTCTCTCATCTTCTTTTGGACATATCCAAAAACGTCTTTTATAATGTTTAAAAGTCTGTTTGTTTATTTTACCGGCCAAAGAAGGTCGAGATTTTAGGAGTAACCAAAGTCAAATTGTGTTTACTGTTGGAGATATTGAGTAGTGAGTTTCTCCCTCTGACTCTGTATATGTGACCTAATAATAAATCCTAAACCCTGAATAATATCAACATGTCAAACATTTCTTATCTGAAAACAGTCCTTTCAGAATAAAACTTAATTAGTAATCAGAGCTGCACAATCAGAAGCTGAACTGTTCTAATGAAGGTAAAATGTGACAATCAGCATTATAATAAAGTACTGACCTACAAATCTTCTTCTACAGACCCAAACAAATGTCACATCATCATGATTTTAATATTTGTTTAAGTTTGTGATTCAAAAAGGATCGTTGCCACAAACTGTGAATCATATTATAATCACAGTATGATGTTTATTAAACTGTGCTGCTGTTTCAATCAGAATATGTCGTTTACACGTGATTATCAAATGTGGAATAATGTGTAAAATAAATTTTATAAATAATATTATTGTAAATATAATCAGTGTGACAGCAGGAGCTGCTGGTGACCTCTGACCTCGTGTTGTTTACTTCCTGTCTGTCTCCAGGTGATATGGGAGTAGGGAAGTCATGTTTGCTGCACCAGTTCACAGAGAAAAAATGTGAGTCTTCTCTTCCTTCATCACATCACGTTCTTCCTCTTCATCATATCGTCCACCACGTTCTTTCAACTCTTTATTTTTTTTACTTTAAATTTAAAACAGTTGAGTATTTGTTTATACGAGCTGCAGCAACAGTCCTGTAATGAACCACAGATACAGAAACATTAATACGGAGGTCAGATCAGCTAATTAACAGTACTCAGAGATTCAGGGCCTGTCCTCACGAATATGCGGCCTCAACCAATACGATGTTTCGAAAAAAATCTCCATAAACACGCCGTCGTTTCCAGAAATATCTGCGTCCACACGGATTCACTGAAACGACTCAAAACGCTGTCGTAACAAGTAGTAGTAGTCTGCCGTTGTTGTTGTTGTTATGACGCGGCGGCGGTGGCTGAGGTTAAAGGATAGAGAGGTGGGGTCAATCCGTTTTCGCCATCCAGACGACTCCGGGCAATCCGGCGTTTTCGGATTTTCCCACTCTGGGAAATACCGTTTTCACACGCCGAAAACGCCGTATCCTTCTGGACGCGAGGCCGATACGATAAAGTATTTATCCGGATTCGAGAAAAACGTATTGGTGAGGACAGGCCCTCAGATTTCACCACAGAATCGACTGTAAACTCGATTATTTCTGTAATTTCAATTAAATTTGGTTTGTTATAAAGGCGAGATATTGAACCTGATACTGATTGGAATTAAAAAGCTATTATTACTATATACAGTAAACTATTGTATAACTTTAGTGTTGTCACTGTCTTAATGATGTATATTGTGTGTTGTGTGTGTGTGTGTGTGTGTGTGTGTGTGTGTGTGTGTGTAGTCATGGCGGACTGTCCTCACACCATCGGGGTGGAGTTTGGGACGAGGATCATGGAGGTCCACGGTCAGAAGGTGAAGCTGCAGATCTGGGACACTGCCGGTCAGGAGCGTTTCAGGGCCGTCACCAGGTCCTATTACAGAGGGGCCGCCGGGGCCCTCATGGTGTATGACATCACCAGGTATTGACGGGGAGAGGTGGGGGGTCGGGGGGTCTGGAGGTCTGGAGGTGATGTTGTGTGTTTTGGTTGAATGTGTTGGAGCTTTTTTTTCGGGTTTGATGATTAACTTTTGTCTCCTTTTGTGTGTTTAGGAGAAGCACTTATAATCACCTGAGCAGCTGGTTGACAGACGCCAGGAACCTGACCAACCCAAACACAGTGAGTGCGCACACACACACACACACACACACACACACACACACACACGACTCAAGTTTAAAGGGAGAATAAAAAAAGGTGATAATTGATTTTGAACTGAGTGTAATTTGAGCTATTTTGAAATCAACCAAATCGTGTGTGTGTGTGTGTGTGTGTGTGTGTGTGTGTGTGTGTGTGTGTGTGTGTGTCCAGGTGATCATTCTGATCGGTAACAAGGCCGATCTGGAGGCTCAGAGAGACGTGACGTACGAGGAGGCCAAACAGTTTGCTGAAGAGAACGGTGAGAACTGTGTTTGTGTGACGTTATGAGACAAACATTGTATGCGTGTGTGTGTAAAATGTTCAGATCAATCGGACTGATTGGGATCTTTACTTCCTGTTTTTCAGGTTTGCTGTTTCTAGAGGCCAGCGCTAAGACGTAAGTACACAAACACTCCCCTCATCAACTCATCTATCACACACACAGTAGACTCTCTGTGGTTAATGGTTTTCGTGGTAAAGCTTTAGTGCCACATTACAAGTTCACACATGATTTTCTGCTCGCCGAAAACAGTTTCTAGAGTTATGTGTTGTTATGGTTAATGGTTTTTGTGGTAAAGCTAGAGTTGCAGTCAGACTGTGGACATATGACGGCCTTTAGCATGTGTTTGTATTAGTGACACTAGCTGATAAGGATCATCATCATCAGCTAATTCTTGATAACTATGAAACACATAAAGAAGCAGCTAACACACACGTACACAAACGTTGTTATATGTGAAGCATTAAATACACACTCTTATCCATCTGTAGACTGTTCTCAGTTTATTTCTGTTTTTTCCTCAGAGGGGAGAATGTGGAAGAGGCCTTCCTGGAGGCGGCAAAGAGGATTTACCAGAACATCCAAGATGGCAGTCTGGACCTGAATGCTGCCGAGTCGGGAGTCCAGCACAAACCTTCTGCGCCGCAGGGAGGCCGTCTCAACGCCGACAGCCAGCCGCCCAAAGAAGGTTGCAGCTGCTAACCTCAGACAGAAACTACAGACCCATCAAACGGACGGACGGACAGAGACAGATACACGGAGGTCCCCCTCTCCACCGGGCACCGATATTCTTCTACCCAGATTGTGTCACACAGGATTTATCTGGGTTACATTTAACATAGCAGCCCGACCACCTGTTGTCCAGACCTCATTTCAGAACCCAAAACAAGATTCAACCAATCCTCCACACAATAAATCAGGACTCCAGAATCCAGAACTATCCACCTCTGGATCAGTCTCACATTTGGATCAGTGTTGGACAATATGAATCCCTCAGCATTAATCCCAACCACTCTTTGTCCACACCTGGATCACACTGAGTCTCCTTCCAGCTCACTCACTATGCCACAATCCAGTCTCTCTTCAGCCCACTTTCAGGCACGCATGGGCCAAACCAAGGCCAATCTGGACTTTTCGAAGCCCAGAATATAACAGTGTTCCACCCAGCACCAAAAACCCCTTTTTTCCAGGATTGGGCTCCCCTTCCGACTCTGGAACACTGTTCCAACTCAAGGACAGCGCCAAGGACCGATCCAGAGCCTGTGCTTTAGCTGGACCATACCTAGTCCAAATTTAGACTGCCTTCAGCCCACATCCAGACACGCTTGGTTCTAACCCAGAACCTGATATCTCTTTTCCCCTACACTGGACTAACACCCACCCGAGAACGCTCTTGGCCCGGCTCAAACAAGAGTTAAAAATGGGACTACACTCATCCAGGTTGAAGATATGAGGCTCAAATTTGGACCAAACCAAAAAGGGCGTCGCCTTACCTCTAAATCCAGATATTGCAATGGACAGATCCAGAGCCGATTCTTCAGATGGACCATCTGGGGTCCAAGTCGAGCCTTCAGGTCACATCCAGGCACAGTTGACCTCAAGGTACACTAAGCGGGAGGATCTCCAGACAACCCTTTTCCTGGACTACCTTCCAGAGTCTGGAGCCCCATTGGCTCACAGTGAATCACGTGAAATCCAAACTTGGTCCGTCCCTCAAATTTGGACTCCCCTTGTCCAGCGAGACCAGTGAAGATACAAGGTTCAAATTCTGAAATCCACATCCTTGGCTCAAGTCGGACTGCTCTCGGTCCAAATCGAGGACCACCGAAATCTTAAAACCTCGACCTCGGGGTCAAATTCAGCTATAATCTGATCTGATACAAATCCAGTTCCTAACATCCAGTTCTGACATTCATTCTTCGACGAACTTTAGGATTTATATTCGTACTTATGTCCTATACGTGTGTGATAGCCCATCAAAAATCATAAAATCTTACACAGAGCGACCGGGACACCTGGACTCGCCTCCTTCCTTCTTCACAGAAAATATTTCTTCCTCTGTTCGAGTTGAAGTTCCTCATCTCACTTGTTCCTCATCCGGGAGTTTCCCAACGACGCTCTCCAACAAAACTGGCTTCGAGCTGCCGGCCGGAGGATTTGGTCCATTAGATCAATGTGGACTTTGTCGCATTTACACCATGTGGGTATTATGGATCAGAAGTAGTTGTTGATGTGGACCAGAGAAACTGTTGTTGGATTTTGGTTAAAGGGGTGCTCCACTGATTTTAAAAATAACTGAGTTTGTAAGACGGGGGCATTCACGTCTACTGAAAGACGCTATTGCTTTATGGAAATTGTCGGATCCAGGGATTTGGATTTGAACCTGTATTAGTTACTAAAAGTCAGGATATCTCGGCTTTTGCTGCTTCAGTTTTGAGTCTCTTGTAAGTAACTAAACAATGTAGTTTGCATGACATTTTAAATCGTTGGAGTTCCCCTTTAATCCGAGTCGGAAGAAGGGGAAAAACATCGGAAAATGACGAAAGAATAGAGTTAGTACACATAAACCCACATGTAAACACACAAGTTTATACATGAAAAGCATTAATACACAGGTTACAGGTCTTTATACAGGGTTTCTGGCGGGGTTCAGCAGGTTCAACCTTTTTAAGATCTTTATGAATCCGATTAAAAACAATTTTACTGGCAAACAAAAAGTATGAACGATATGAAATCAGCATTGGTTCCATGTTGGCTTTGTTTAGTAGTTGTTACAGCATGATCAATACAAAATCTCCCTAAAAAAACATATAGTAAAGTTAACTTCAGTAATCGCATACATTTTTAAGACCTGTTAGTAATATAAAAGACATTTTTTAAAGCCTAAAATTCAGATTATTTGATTTTAGACTTTTTAAGGTCCTGCAGATACTTCTATACGAATCCAAGATCAAATTGTTCGTAAAGTATCTGAGGACACTAAGATCAATTTAAAGGACCAGTGTGCAACATTTTAGTGACATCTAGTGGTGAAGTTGCAGATTGCAACCATTTGAATACTACTCGCCTTCCAAACGTAGAGAAACACGGCGGACTCTATTATTAGGTAATGAAAAGGTGATTATACACGAATGAAAACATAACTCTAGATATTATATTAATGTTACACACTGGAGCTTTAAACTGAACATTATCTGGACCCGACCTTACCTGGGTCGTGGGTCAGGCCTCTGAACCGAGTGAACCCCCGACTCAAATCCACCGTCACTGCGTCGGCACACTTTGCCTTTTTGAAAACATTTTAACTAAATAACTTTGTCCAAAGCGACTGATTGATTATTGATCACTCTGTGGAGAGGTAAAGCAACTGATTGATTGATTGATTGATTGATTGATTAATTATTGATCACTCTGTGGAGAGGTAAAGCGACTGATTGATGAAGGTCATGATGAAGAAAGAAAATGACTTACCTGAACCAGAATGTCACTACTGGTCCCCCCCCCAGTGGATCACAAGTTCAGGATAGATTTTTATTACATTTTTCTTGTTATTGTTGATTTTATTTTTTTTCTAACGTGTTTCCAAATATATATACAGTATATTTCCAATGTCACAGCTCCCCCTAGTGGCCATTTCTTCCTGGTTTAGTGCCGATTGAGGGCAAGAAAAATGGCACCAGTGGAAGCAACGCAGATTCTTTTAATTTATTACTGCCTATTTTTGTTTTGTTTGTTTGTTTTTCTTTTTAATGTTAGGCCGAGATTACACTTTACTTGAATGTGTTACTCTGGTGTCTGGTTCATTACTAAGCCCCGCCCCTTTTTGTTATGTGCTCCAATAACAGTTGAGCTAGCCTCGGCCCACGTCCTCCTGTCCTGTACTTAGATATGCTTTGTGCTAGGTTAATCTTTTGTTGAAAGGCCACCACATTTTGAAGATGTTTAAAAGATAAGAGACATTTTAAATGGTCACATCTTAAGTCAGCTAATGTTAGCATAAGATGGCTAACTAGCTAATTAGCAAGGGTTGTGCTCTGTAGCCAAACATAAGTTAACTAGTTAAAGATTTATGTAGATTAACCAGCTAGTTAACTGTGGGTTTTGTCAGCATCCTCAGGTACAGGAAAGGAGGAAGTTGACCGAAGCTAGCTCAACTTTTATTGGACCACAGCAAAAAGGGGCGGGGCTTAAGAAGGCTCAGTTGTTGGGAAGGTGTCACACGTCTTACGTCCTCGTAGTTCACGTAGAAACTAAACTGAATATCGTTTAGCTCTGCGTTAGGAGACACATTATTACGCTCGATATCTTAAAGAAACAGAAACATTTTGCCTTCCAATCAAACGTCAGACTGTCTCCGGAGATCCGGTCCAACTCAAAATGTCCCCGAGCCTTGTTATCCTGAAGTGCTTTAACATTTCCTCCACTGTCACTGTTAATCATCAGCTAACAGTAATTCATGTGTGAGACCTCGGCGCTACATGAACCAGTCGAACAGGATCAGTCAGTAAATTTAATTCCTTAAGAAGCATTCCAGCACAAAACAGGAAGACCGACAGTGTAAACTTTATTTAAACATATTTAAAGTTGTATTTACTGCGTTTGTGGTCACTAGAGGAGAAAGGAAAAAAAACCAAAACAAGCTAACGGATGCGCACAAAGAATAAAATGTAATATTTCATTTGATTCAGTGTTTTAAAAGAAATCAGTTAACGCAGATATTATATGATTCTGCTCTTTCTCTGATGGATTAACGTCAGATTTACACTAAATCGATCAGCTCGAGCTTCCTGTTGGTGTTCAGGGTCTCTCAAACATTCAGTGATACTTTCACTACCAAGAGGGAGATTTTTAAAAACCCTGAGAAATGTTTCCCCCTCGAGGTCCAGATGAGTCTCAGAAGCAACAAATGTCACCAAAAAACTGTTCGAGGAATCAAAATATAAATTACTACACAAGTGATAAAAGTAGTGACGTAAAAATGAATCAGTCGGCAGTTTAATCTTTTATCTGCGTTAAAGTTTCTGTGTTTATAAAACTGGGAGAGAGCAAAGTAAGAAATATATGAATATCCAGTAAAATGTAAATGTTTGTGTTTCAGTGTGGAAAAAGTACAATTCAGAATTATAAAAGTTCAATAATGAGAAATTAATTCACCAATAATCATGATTTAAAATCAACCTTTAGTATTTTTTGTTAAAGATGATGATTTGAATGTTTTAATGTCATAAAGTCTTAATTTTACTGTCGTTCATTGTAGTTTGTGAAGGCCTTGATGTTTCTCAGTGACATTTGTCTCCTCTGGGACTCCGTACTGTCGCTGTGGTTGTGTTTGACACCCCCCCCCCCGTCCTCTGTGATACCGCGGTTCAGATTCTGGTCTGGTGAGTCTCGCTCAGATCCCGTGTACATATCCAGTCCGAGGACTCCTGGACCACGTTTACCTGCGTGTCCACATCTGTCTGAACGGGGAGTGACCGCTGTGATTTTACTCTTCGCTGTCCTCTGATTGGTCGACAGCTAGCCGCCTTCTTCTACTGTGATGCTTGATTTCTGAATGAAGCCCCTCCCTCACTGTAAAGCTCAATACATCGGACTCACAGTCTCTTCTTAATAACCTGCACGCTGCGTTTGCTGGGGGTGGGAGAAGAAGTCAGTTTAATTTCCTTGTTGATGCTTGTGTGTTTTTAAAACTTTACTCTGGAAGATTTTAACAAGTTTCCAGAAACCAAAGGGTCACAAAACGACTAATTCCCATAAAAACCTTCACGTTGTGACCGCCGCCTTAAGCTTCTCTCGCCAAAGGAAAGCAAAATATTCAAAAAGTGATTAAAAATGCGACAGGAGAGCGAGCAGTTGCCATAACTGTAGGCGCCAAAATCTGTCGGTTTAATTATTCAGTCCCTCCAGGAAGTTGCAATTAACGCGAACTCAACCAATCCTTGTGAATTCTGAACGACTTTGACCAGTTACAGCAAAAACATTGAGCCAGACGTCACACATTTGTTAAATTTTCACTTTTCCTCACAATTAAATTGCAGAAAAAATCTAAAAATATCGTAACGTGCAGCTCAGTGTTTGAGTTTTAGGCCGCAACAATCCCAAAACGTTGATCCGTACGTCACCATCATACGTGTTTGTTGCAGTTCTCACAAACAATTTTTCACTTTTTCACACAGTTTAAATGCAAAAAAAAATGCCTTAGAAATATCGCAGTTTTTTTTTAGAAGATGCCATAAAATCTGGTATTTTCAGCTGCAACAATCTGCCGTAAACATCGTGTGAAATCCTGGAGGGACTGAGCGATCAATGACCTGGAACATCTTCAAATAGACTGAAATTGTAGAAAACAGCTGTGCACTGAGGTTTTAAATTATTCACTATGTTTGTAGCATTTCAAACCCTGATAGTGATCGGCCAGACGGAGGCGCTGTAATCAGTTCGACCCCCGCTCGCTGGCTGGAACATGACTCTGTACATTTATTTTCTTTCTGTAACGTCTGTTGATTTTCTGTCTGCTAAAGTAACAAACATGCTTTTTATGATTCTTTGACTATTTATATTCTAAATCTGTGTTGATTTTCTTCAGCTGTACGTTGTCATTGTACGACCACAGGGATTCAGTTCTTTGTAAATAAAGTATATATACTGTATATACGCCGACGACTCGCTGTGGTTCCTTAAAACTCATCTGCAGCCTGGTCGAGACGCTAACATGCCAATGATGCTGTCTTTGGTTGTTTCTTGAGTTCGGTACGTACAGTCCACTCAGCTTCTGTATATTACTGAAGTAAAGTTCAGTAGTTCTTTAGTTTAGGATACAGTTTTTGGTAGTTGTGCTTTATTTTCTGAGAGAGGAGGGTGACGTGAGGAAGGGCTCATGGTTGAGTCATGTTTTTAGTTAAAATTAAAAGTAGCTGCACCACAGTAGAAATATTCCCATTATAAGTAAATCCTGAATCCAGACTGTCTCAGTCAGTCCCTCTGATGCTTTTTTGGGGGGATTCTTGAAGCCTAAAAAAAACTGATTTTACAGCAGTTTTATGTTTTGGGGTTTTTTTGCCATTAAATTTTGGGACAAAGTGAAAACAGTTGTGATTCTTATTGTATTATTAATCAAAAATTGAAGGCAACTTGTTCCTGTGAGAATAACATCTAGGAGTTTGGTGACTTGTGGCTCAATGTTGTGCAGGGGACTGCTGTGATTGGTCAAACTCGAAGGAAACTACAATATTTAGTGTTAATTGTTGTGATCACAACTTCCTAGGGGGACTGATTTAAGGACCAGTGTGGAACATTTAGTGACATCTAGTGGTGAAGTTGTAGATTGCAGCCAGTCTGAAGTAATCTGAGTAAACTTTAATTTGTCCTCAGGAGTCGATCGAGCTCCTGAATTGTTTGAATCAGTTGAGAGAACGTTTGAGAACGTTATAGGAGCGTTATTAGGGGTGAATGAGTTTTGCGGAGCACAACTTCACATACATAATTGTTTATTGTAAATATTAAACACAGATGAGATTATCATTAAAAATAGACCATCAGTCATATACTTTATATAATTTAAATCCATATATTCCACATGGTTTGTGAACTAAACAACCACTCTGTAGATTCATATATTCCTCAGTTTAAGTAAAAGTACAGATCCACCAGAGATAGAAGATATTTAGAGGCAGGACAGGCCGACAGATTCTTTTTTCCAAAGTTCATTTATTGACGTTTGTTCATTTACACATTTAATATTTAACAAAACAGACAGAACAAAGCCGGTTTTTTTTAAGCAGAAGAAGAGTTAAAGTCACTTTGGGTGATTTATTCAGAGCCGATCTGATTCCAGGTCAGATCCGTCCCGTGTCTCCAACATAGAAAATGTCTCTGTATGAACAAAGAGTTTCTCTCGTCGGACTTTCTGAAAAGCTGAAACATGATTCTGTTTAATGTTCACCGTATCTCCCAACACTTCCTGTCATCTGTGGAGCCAAATCTCCTCTGACTGACGCTGAGTCTGCACACGGTATTTTATTTTGAAAAAGCCGCAACCCACTTGCATCTGGAAGGCCACAGAGACTCTGGTAAATTTTCAAAATAAAATACTGTGAGCAGACTTGAATTTCACGCATCAACAGAGCAGATAAACACAAACAACAACGTATGGCAGGAAGACGCTCTGGATCTGGATCACAGAACCAAACTGTGGCGTTGTGAAGCCCGGTGGGAGTTCGGGGTCAGAGCGGCTCGTTACTGAAGAGAAAAGGTTCGGCTGCGGAGACGAACTCCAACGTCCGTCCGAGCTCAGAAAGCTTTAATAAAAACACGAACAGAGTTTCAGAAAGACTGACGGAGAACCGACGGAGGGGGCGTGTCCTCAGCAGAGAGTCCGCTGACCTCACAGGCCGCTCACAGTTTGACTGGCGGCGGCGGCGGCTGTGACATCACTACGTGGTTCTGCTCTTGGAGGCGGGCTCCGTCTCCTGCTCGTACTCGATCTCCACGTACGCCCGCTTCTTCCTCGCCGCCGAGCCATTAGCTGGAGATTTGCCTTTAGATCTGGACGCCTTTGTCTTCGTCTCCATCTCCATCTCTTCCTCCTCTTCCTCTTCCTCCTCACTGGACTCCTCCTCTTCCTCGTCCTCCTCGTCGCTGCTCGTCCTCAGTTTGTTCATTTCCTGAGAGAAGAAACAAAAAAATGTTCAGATTAAAAATCTTCCAGCTTTCTGTTTTAAATTAAAGACGAGTGACGTCTTAACTTTTTTAAACATGATGAAGATGATTTACCTCGAAGTCGCTCAGGTCGCTCTCCTCCACCTCTTCGTCTGCTACAAACTCCCTCTTCCCAACGTCCTGCACACACACACACAAACACACACACACACACACATTTAGAGACACTCAAACACTGTGTGTGAACTCTATGTGAGTTATTATCACAGTGTCCTTCATCACCTCGTCATCCACCTCCTCCTCCTCCTCCTCCTCCTCTGACTCCGACTCGCTCTCTGCGTCCTGTTGCTCCAGAGCTCTGTCGAAGGCGTGGACCGGGAAGTTGTAGATGTCTCCGTACTGAACACACACACACACACACACACACACACACACACACACACACACACACACACAACACACACACACACACTTAATATAAGAAACTGCAGTGTTCATCAGTCTGAGCTAACTGCTAACATTAGCTCACAGGCTGGAGAGAGAACATCTGTGGCATTACATCAGAAAGTAATTAAATTAAATTCCTGTTAAGTTTCTGCCTCCGCGGTATCAGAAATGGGGCAGACGCACAATGTAGTCCCGGTTTCCTTTTAAATGATCCTGCAGACATAATGCCCCCCCGCTGGCTGCCGCTCACAGTGCAGTTTAACAACAAGTAGAACTATTCAGAGGTTATTGGGGCGGTCCACTTTAACTCCACATACTGTTGTGTTGATGGAGCTTATTGTCAAAACGTTCTCTTTCTTCCAAGTCGACTATTAAACTAACAGCTCCACCAAAAACGTCACCGCGGTGGGTCCGTTTTAATTGGACAACGTTCAACCTGTCAGTTCTCAGCTCAACGTCCTGATATCAAACATCTGGAGACATTACAACGGTAAGTGAGCCTCTAATATAATACAAATTGGAAATAGTCTATAGATGTACTCATAGATGGAATGATGTTAAAGTAAATAGTTGTGTTATATTACACAGAAATGTTTAGGTTTTAATGAATTAGGCTACACACACGCACGCAGGCCACAAGGCCGAAACGTTTGTTACCTCTGCTGCTAAATGCTCCGTTTCTGAATCATAACGCTATTATTCATTGCTTCATCTTCAGATGAGTTTGTGACGGGGGGGTTGTTCGGACAGGCCTGCCACGCTAAAAGATCCGGAACACTATACTCCCTTGATTAAAGGGACTGCAGAGGTCAGTGGGTGTGGCGTCGTACCGTTCCCTGTTTGAGTCTCTCCAGCAGCTCCTTCTCGATGGCGTTGTCCAGCTGAGCGGCGATCAGAGCTTTCTCCTGCAAACACACAGCAGACGGGTTAACACACCTTCACCTTCATCACTTCAGAGTCTTCATCACTTCGTCAACAGTCGACTGTCACTCACCTCTTTCCTCTTCTCCCTCCTCTCCACCTTCCTGCTGAGAGGAACCAGCTTCCTCCTGAAAACACACACACATTAATGAGCAGGGCTGCTGTGTGTGTGTGTGTGTGTGTGTGTGTGTGTGTGTGTGTGTGTGTGTGTGTGTGTGTCAGAAGAGGTCTTACTGTCTCTTGAGGACCAGCTTGCGCATGCGGATCAGGTACTGGGTGATCTTGGTGAAGCGCTGTTTGCATTTGTGTCGGATGAATCGAGGCCAGTAGATCAAATTCTCATCGATCTGTTCCAGAGCTTTCTCATAGTTCTTACTGAGCTTCACCTGCACGCAGACAGACAGGCAGACAGACAGGCAGACAGACAGACAGACAGACACAGAAAGAGTCAACCTACAATCTTCTGAATAAAATAAGTCCTTCAGTATAACGTTACAATCTGATCAATCCACAGATACTCACCTTCTCCCACATCTTGGCAGGAAACGCTGCTCTCTCAATCACCTTCATGTAGAGGAAACACTGACCTACACACACAAACACATTATTAAGTACTCTGATAAACTGTAATTACCTCACAGCTCTAAAGGTTGGCAGCAGTTTCATCTGTCAGACTTCTGTAGGAACCACTGAGGATGCCGACGTTCGTCTACATTAATGTCGGCTCTTCCTGCCACATAACGCTCCCCCTCTCTATATTCCCCCTGAGAGACGACCTCCATCATCAGCTGTCAGTCTGATATTCAGTGAAATACTCTCGTTCACATTGACACCACTAATGTCTGTACACAGGAAGCTCCAGCCAGCAGCAGGCTCAGCATAAAGACTGGAAACAGCGAGCTGTGTCTGTCTGAAGGGAACTAAAGCAGTGTGGATCACAGGAAGCGGGACGATGGCGAGCTGTGAAAGGCGTGTGCAGCGTTTACCTTTCTCCTCTCTGATGGTGGCGTACTGGCTGTTGGCCAGCGGACACGACGAGCGGTTACACAACCCCGTGATGTTGTATTCATTGCGGCAGAAGCCCTGACTCTTCGTCCTGAACGCGAGGAAGAGAGAACATGTTACTCAGATTATGTCTGAACAAACACATTACTGTACATAAAGTGTGAAACAGAAGTTAGACAAACAATTTAAACAAACTGATGAGGAGCTCTGTGACAATAATATAATAATATAATATAATGTAATATATCAGAGACACACACTGGGGCTGTGACAAACTGCTCGGAGTCAGAAAATAAATTAAAATGTGGCCTCACTTCACTCTGATATTGATCACTAACAATAACATAATAATAATAATAATAACAATAATAATAATCAGTGGCTGAAGTAAGAACAGAGAAATCCTCTGAGAGCTTTTAATGATATTTCTACATTACAGTACAACAATCGTACTGAATGAATGAATGAATGAATGAATGAATGAATGAATGAGGAGCAGATTCAGTTTCAGACTCACTTGACTTTGAAGGAGCAGAACTGTTTGTTCCCGATAATATCCCAGATCACCTGCAGGGAGCACATTGAACACATTGATCACATTGAACACATTGAACACATTGAACACATTGATCACATTGAACACATTGATCACATTGAACACATTGATCAGGAGCCTTTTGAGTTACAACAGCAGAATAATGAGAATAACTCACACTCTCATATTTACATGTTGTTGTCATTAAGTTGTATAAATAGATCTAAAGAGCTCTTCTGTATTCAGATATTCTTCCACACTTTTATTTGTAATCTAGAATCAGAGTCTGTCCGCATGCTGAGAGCTCCAGGACACATTTCATCTGTTTGTCAACACGTGTTAATAAAAAGAAGAAGATGATGATGATGAGCAACATGTAGCCGAACTGAAGTTCCCACAGGACCCAACCAATGTGTGTACTGACCCCGGTTCTACCGGCTGTGGATGTCCGCAGAGAACCGGAACAAACTTTAAATGGACCGTTTTCTAACGGAGTCTGGTCACAACTGACACTTCGGTCCTTCTAACGCGGTTAAAACATCACATTTGTATCCGGATGTAACTAATATAACTAATAACTGATCAGAAATCAGTCCACCTGATAAACAGTCGATACAAATAAACCGGATTGATCACATTTTACACAGTTACCGGTAAGCTACCGTTAGCACATTAGCACACTAACTTTACGTAACTTACGTCGTCGTGTTGCATCGTGAGTTTGTGTCGGAGCTGCTCGCAGCCTCACCGCAGACTCTCCCGCAGACTCTCCCGCAGACTCTCCCGCCTCTTTCTGCGCTATTTAATCTCTGAATGTGAACTTATGGAGGAAACTGTCTGTCTGCGGAGCCACATGGACGGTCAGGGAGCCACCATCTTTGTTTGCATGGACGAGATCTCGGAGCCGTGAAGGCAACGTGGGGAAGTATCGCGATACTTGGTGATTGTCCCGCCTACTTTAGTTTTAATTATATTAACAAAAATATTTTTTATTTTCACTCATCAGGCGATAAAGTCCAGATCTGATTATTTGTGTTTATATAAAGTCTGTGAGGAGATAAATAAATAAAATATAATAAATAAATAAATAAATAAATAAAATATAATAAAGAATAACTGATTATTAAATCATTAACCTCCACAACCAGCTACCAATGTTTGTAGTTTTTATTAGTTTTTATTTTTAATCTTTGTTTTAGAGTCAGTTTAGATTTTATTAGTTTCTATGGAAACCCAAATCTGTCGTTATAATGAGAATCTCAGTTGTTCTTTATTATTTTGAGGTTTCTCATTTTAATGACAAACAGGAAGTTTTAATTATTTGTTTCACAGCAGAAAGGTTTTTTATTTTCACTCATCAGGAGATAAAATTAACATAAAGTCTTTAATTCACCCTCAAACAACCCGCCATGTTTGTTCCACTCTGACATTGATCTATAGTAATGATCAGGTATTTATTGGTTGTTGAACAGATAATCAATAATCAATGACTCCCGGTTCAGGATCAGAAGGGCTGCGGCGCAGAGCGTAACAAGGTTGGGCTGCACCTTTCACGGATTGTCCGTGAACGCACCAATCATCATTCTCATGAACCAGAAAGATCATGGCGTCCAACATGGCGCTGCCTGTGTGTGTACCCGCCGTCCGTCGTCCTCACTGACGGTGTCACTGCTTCATCTTCAACACGTCATCAGATTCATCTCCCGCCATCGGTCCTCAGAGCGGGAAACCTCCCGCCGCTCCGCGCGCCCGTTTATAACCGCGTTAACCGACAGCAACGTAACGTTTTATAAAGCTAAACGGAGCGGTGCATTCTGGGAGCGACCGCGGTTGAATGAACAGCGACACCTGGCGGCGCGGAGGGGAACTGCACCCTGTAATATTCACTATATATAATATATTAAACTTTATCAGACAGAAATCTTACATTAACATTAGTTAGATACATTATAGAAACTCAATAAAGTTTGCTTTCTTATTGTCACAGATTGGAATTAATGTAACGTATTGTTTGATGTATTTGTTAGATTTAGATTTGTGGATGTTGGATTCTGTAAGAAATTGATGTTATAATATTAATTTCTTTTGGTAGAAGGGTTAGAAAACAATACTTTTTCATATAAATGAGCAAAATAAATAACATAAATGACTTGGAGGGATTAAAGTAATTAATTACTTTTTAAAGTCACTTCCTTGATCTTATTTAAAATAAAATGTTTAGAAGGTAGACACTATATTTTCCTCCGGTCTGTATGGAGGTTATTTCTGAATGAGACGACATTCGGAACATTTCTTTTTGACATAAATATATCACATTATTATTCTTTATGGAGGAGACACAGATCCTACAGCAGTAACAACAGGACGCAGTGATTCCCTCGGTGGTATTATGGGAATAACATACCGTCTAAATGTTCAGAGTCTGTCTCTGTGGTTCCAGGTGTAATATCTGTGAGGAGATAAATTATGCTTTTAATAAAGAAAGAAAGAAACAGTTTAATCTAATTTATCTTAATTGTATTATTAATGGTGGAAAGTTCAGGCCACCATGTTTCTATAATTAAAGCTGCAATAACTGATTATTATGTCATTATCCTCCACAACCAGCTACTAATGTTTGTAGTTTTTATTAGTTTTTATTTTTAATCTTTGTTTAAAACTCATTTAGACTTATTTTCCAAAGTGAGTTCACTTGTTTCAGTTTAGTTTTTATTAGTTTCTAGTTTCGCCAATGTGATGGAAAATAGGATCCTGTAAGTCATTATTTTGAGAAAGTTTCTTATTATAATTACCTTTTTCCCATCACATTGGTGGATTTGAGCTTCCATTACTTTCAGTGTTAAGTTTTAGTATAAAATTAATATATATAACAACCTTTATCTCCACCTACATATTACGTACATTTTATTCTATACTCCATATACATTCCCTTTATATAATACATGATATATATAAATACAATAATACATATATTATTTAATACATAAATATACATACATAAATATATAGTATAATAATTAGTACAATGCTACACAACATTTGTATTCAATAATCTGTGCAATGTTCCATCAATCATATATAAAAAGGTGTATTTAGTCTACATATAACTCTTATATATCTCGTATTTTCTCATTTTATGTGTTCATCCATTGTATTGTATTTGCTGTAACCACTGCGGGATCAATAAAGTCTATCTTATCTCTTTTATTAACATTAACACATCATTACCTTCTAGATAAAAGGTTATCACTCTGATATTTATTATTATATAATTACTTATTTCCTCATTCAGCAGTTACTTACGGAGCGATATGATCAGGTTGTGTTTGAGTATCCTGATGAGTCCAATATTCAGTCTTCACTATTTTCACCAGCTCGTCTCTAACTGTCTGTCTGCTCGGCCGATGGAGTACGGTGGCTTTAGAGAGAGATCACAATACAACCAACCTCATCTTTGTTGTGTTGAAAGTTGACAAGTCTTATTTTTCTGTCAGATAACTGAAATGTTTTTTCACAGCTACGTTTACTTTTTACTGTAATAGTCTGTCAGTAACGTCTCCTCTCGTTGAGACCCCGAACTGAAGATCTACTTGTTGCTGCGACTTCTTTTTAAAAGTTAATTAAACTTTAACTTTAAAACTAGAAAGAACCAATCAGGAACCTCCGTGGTTGCAAATAAAAGCTGCAGTTCGTCTAACGACCACTAGAGGCTCCAGCAGTGAGTCTCCATAAGGCCTCACATTAAAGCAGCAGACATAAACACGTTTACATCCTTTTGGTCTCAGGCTGTTTTCACTAACCCGGCTTCATTCAGCTTCATCTCTTTGCCCATTTCTGGATCAGTCGGGAGCCGGCAGAGTCAGGACCACCTAGATGATGGCCTGTGGGGGGGGTCGTCACAGAGACTATAGACAGTTTCATTATAGTGTGTGTGGAAAGAACTGACAGACTCGTGAGTGAAAAAAACAGAGAAATGGTTTATTTTAGTAAATAGTGTGAGCTTTTCACTGCTGTACAACACTGGCATCTGTAGTTGGCACTCTTTAAAGGGACGATCCACCCAAAAACAGAAATCTCACACCCGTCATCACTCTTTAAAACATGATAATAACTGCTGCCACTTCTGTTTGTCGGGGGATATTCTTTTCATTTTTCTCTTTTGCTCAACAAACCCCAAAAAAACAGCAGCCTCTGGGACACACGGTACAAAATAAAACAGGGAAAGAAAAAAACAGAAATGAAACGAAAAGGCACCCAAAGCCACAACAGACAGCCGAACAACTGAAAACTACACGGACATGCAACTCACATCGATTTACACGGAGCTATATAGGCATGCAAAAACAACACTGCTCTGAACAGGGGCTGGTACACACACACACACACACACACACACACACACACACACACACACACTCTCTCACACACACACACACACACACACACACACATCGATGTTTTTCTGTAAAATACGAACGGCGTGTCGGCTCCTGAACAGACGACTACTGATGTCCACATCATGGAGGCTAAAGATCCACCCAGACACTGGTTTTTGTTCCCCCCCCACCACCACCCAGGAGTCTTACTACGGTCTAAACATCCCGTGGTTCGTCAGCCCGAAGCCAGGTGCGTTGTGGGTAATGCCCCCCAAAACATCCAGGTCAACTGTAACAGATGCCAGCGGCTGATAGCGAGCTGAGTGGGACTCGGAGTGACGGCAGACGGAGGACAGACCGGGGAGCGACCTGAACTCTTCTGAAACAAAGATCTTCTGCTGGAACCGGAAACGTTTCGCACTAAAGAACCGAACTACAGTCTGAGTGACATCTTTTGTTTCCTTGTGATCAGAAAATGGTTTGGTTTCGATAGCTTTGAGATCTGCAGAGAAACTAAACAGGTTCTAACATCTGGAAAACACGTTTGTTACGTTGAGATCAGAGTAATTATTCCTCTCTGGAATGAGTTTGTCCCAAACAGAACTGTTCTTTAATCAGAACGTGGACTTTGAGACGTTCTAGTCTCCGTGTCCTGGAATTAGTATTTTAGGAAAAAACGACACATATTCAAACCAGATTTCTTTACAGTTTTCGAAACAAAGCGTCTCTGTGCTCGAGAACCTGAAGCTGTGAGTTCTAACGGGTTCTCGGTGTTCTTCAGAAAAAGGTTCTCGTAGGAAAATGACTCACATTTCGACGGGATACTGATTCTAGAGCAGCTACGAATCAGTGGAGATTTAAATCTGAGTGAAGTGTTCTAGAACCGGGGCGTGTTCCGGAATCGGAGCGTGTGCGTCACTGTGTTCTAGAATCGGAAGCTGGAGTCAGAATGGGTTCCACGGAACCAAAGGACAGATTCTAGAACAGAAACGCAGAAACATGGAGACTCGAGTCAGAACAAGAGTTTTACAAAATTGAAAGAAATGTTCTGGAACACCTCAGCATGAGAATCCATTCCCCACCCGGGTCCGGTTCTAGAATCGGGGACCAGGGGGTTGGTTCTGAGATGAAAATGCATGTTCTACAATGTTCTAGTCTCTGTGTTCAAATCTTTTATTCTAGAATAATATAGTAAAGGAAAAGTGTTCTTCCTTCAGAAAAATGTTCTTGTATAAAAATGGCTCGAACTCATTCTAGAGCAGCGTGTTTAAAGTTCTGACTCCAGAATCAGAACAAGTGTTTTAAATCTGAGTGAAATGTCCGACCGGGCGTGTTCTAGGACGGGTACGTGTGGGTTCTAGGACGGGTACATGTGGGTTCTAGGTTAACGTTATGAGTTCTAGAGTCTGAATCTGTCCACAGAAAGATAAGATGGGAGGGTTCTGAACGTTCCACACATTGTGACGGGACGCAGCTGCTTTAAGTTCTACATCGTTGGATCAGAACAACCCACAACGTGGACCGGAACCCGGAATGTTCTAGGTCGGGATCCAGAATGAGATTTACCTTCGAGTCCCTTCAGGCACACGAGATGTGGATCAGGCAACATGGCTGTTTATGCAAATGTCACGAGTGATGTCACCTCCTGTGGTGGGCGGAGCTACATCAGCTAAGAGCACGGCATTGTGGGAAGTGAGATGAATGAGAAATATCTTTCCAGCACCCTCCCGACTGAACGCCGTTAGAGCGCCGTGAGATGACTGCGGGGAGGAGCGCCGCAGTCCAGAGTCACAGAAAGTCTTACAAACACCCGGCGGGTCAATGGAGCTGCAGCTGGTTCCTACAGGAGACCGGGTCGCACACAGGAGACCGGGTCGCACACAGGAGACCGGGTCGCACACAGGAGACCGGGTCGCACACAGGAGACACAGGACAGAACATGAGGTGATATAAAAGCAAAGAACAGATAACACACAAAGGAACCGGCGACCTGCCAGCTGATACCAACATATAGACACACAGCGCGTCCGCCGGAGAGCAGAACATCTTTTTATAAGAACACAGAAACCTTAAATCCATCGGTTGAAGCGGGTTTGGTCCGTAACGAACCACAAGGAGAGTCCAGCCAATCAGAAAACAGCACTCAAGATAGGGGGGCGAGGCCACTGCTACAGTTTAACCTTCACGCGGGTCCAGTGATTGTTTAGGATTGATTGTTTTCGAACCGATCGATATCCGATCAGCTGTCTGAGGGAAGACGGAACATTTGGATATTCTGGGAAATCTTTTGTTTCCAGGCTTTACTCTTTATTTTTAACCCCCAACATTTAACATTCATAAGTAAACAATGTGTAATAAATGGTTTCTAACACACTATAATGTCAGTTTAAGCAGCTGTGAGTGTTGATTAATGTATTAGTTAACAACTTTAACTCCTCCTGAGTATAATAATGACAGTAAAACACCGATAATATAAAATATGTCGACACAGGAGACGTTATAATTGTTAATAAACACAAACACTTGCCTTCGATCTGCTTACAACTACATTATTAAATAAACTGCTTATGAATGTCAAATAATAGGAGGAGTGCTACCCTGACGCATCCTGGACATACAGTATCAATAACTGATATTGATCTTTTTATTGATCTCATCTGACAAACAAGAGGATTTCCCAAAATGCTGCTGTGTTTCATGAGAGAAGATATTTCTTTAGTGAGTTATTATCTTTTATCATCCTGGTTTATCTGAAACATTTAATACTTTTTGGCACAAACATAAAAAATATTGATTACAGGTGAAAAACATCAGAATCCGTCAAAGCTTCATTGTTGACATTTTGTTTAAATAACTAGAAAAAGCTAAAACTGCTCAACAGAAAAGTTTCCCCAACAAATGAAACGGACTTAATGCTCTTTAATTAAACTTAAACAACAGCTCGTTAGCATCATTAGCATCCCTACTCAAACTCAATCTGTGCGGCAGCCTCGAGCGCTACCTGTGACCAGCAGTTAGACGGCTAACGACGCTAACAGGCCATTCTGGACCAACTGATGCCTGATCACCTGAGCCTCTCCAAGTAAAAGGCATTATGGGTAATGTAGGAATCAACAGCAACAGGAAAAAGACAAATGATAAAAGAATGGAAGAAGAAAAAGAGTCTGTGTCCTCAGTCTTTGTGGGTCAGGTGACCTGCAGGGAGGCGGGGCCAGTAAGATGCTCTGTGATTGGACACGAGCTCCTCCCGCGATGAAGAAGACAGACGAGCGTTCAGCTTCATCTACGGGGGGGGCTGTATTCCTGAAGTCCCATCCCTTCATTAACCCCGGCAGACTCAGACCCGTCCACCCCCCTCCCTCTGACAGCGGAGGTCTCCAACGGTCTGACAGGGTTTCAGGAAAAAGGGGGGAGGAGGTCTTTCTGTGGTTCCAGACCTGCTCTGACTCTGGAACGAATGATCTCGGGACGTCTCAGGTTGTCGAAGTCAAAACTCTCAAACTGAACCAGATTTCTTTTTGTGCGATTTTAGTTTCAGTTCATCCAAATAACCAGTTTTTACGTTTCAGAAGGTGTCGGAGGAAAGCGTCCTGAAAGAGTCTAAAGAAATCTGGATAAAATGATGATGATTGGATCCACCGCAGTGAGTCTAGGAGCTGGTCTCGGTCTTGGTGACGGGGCTGAACTTCCATCGTTTTTCTTGTTTTTAAGGCGTTTGATAAAAGAACAAGTGAAGAATGGATATCGTCTGTCTCAGGCGTCTCCGTACATCGCGGGGAGTCTCAGGATGTTTTAAACCCTAGCTGGAGTTCTTCACTGGGGGGTTCTGGTGGGGTGTTCGGTGGGTCTAGGCAGGTCTCGGTTAAGTCTTTTTTTTCGGGGGTCCCGGACCGGGTTTTCGGGCCTTAGGAGGTTTTGACCAGGTCGTAGACGTAGATGTGGAAGTCGTCGTCGAACTTGATGAAGTAGACGGAGGGCTTAGCCTCCACCTGGTGGATGACCATACCCGACCGCTTCCCGCCGTCCTCTTTGGCGTACTCCACCTGTTTGCCCACCAGGCTGTCGACCACCTCGCCGGGCTCCCGCTCCGCCGCCACGGTGTCGTCTGCGAGAGAGAGAGAGAGAGAGAGAGAGAGAGAGAGAGAGAGAGAGAGAGAGAGAGGTGAGCAGGTCAGTGGCTGGTACTAACTCACGTAGACACGTTGGTTGTAGATATTTCTCCGTTTGTGTGGAGAATAAAAAGCGTTGGCAGCTCGGAGAAGAAGACTACGATGAGGTAAAACAATGAAAATACTACATTTTCTCACATTTTCTGTTGAGTAAAACTGAATCAGGTGCTGAAATGAACTCTGGTCCAGTAGAACCGGTAGTCACTCACTGGAGTCGGGCATGATGCGCAGGTCTCCCTCCTTGTAGTCGTCCAGGAGCTGGTACATGTAGAGGACCGGGTCTTTCTCGTAGGTGATGTAGAACCAGGAGGTCATGATGGGAGCCCGAGCCAGCACCATCCCCCTCCACTCCTCCTTCGGCCCGTCTTCCGTCTCGAACATGTGCTCCACCGCTTTCCCGATCATCGTCTCCGCAAGCATCGAGTCGCTCACACGGGCCGGAGCTGGACCAATCACAGAGCGGCAGAGAGGGCGTTTAAACTGACATCATCACCTCAGCGGTAAACAGAAAGGTTCGGTCCAACGAGGAGTGAATATGTCATCTATACGTTGCAGAGTGCGGTGTATAACAGTGTACTTTTTAACTGAGCTAGCATCAACGTCTGCCTTCCAGTGAACACAGCCCGACCCGGGACCGAACACAATCTCAGAGACTGACAGAGAATCCAGCACCGAGGTGGTTTTCTTGCCGGGTTTGCCTCCTGGTGTCGGTTAGGTTAGCTGCACGGCTGACCGAGCTAACAGCAGTTAGCGGTTGGCTACTGATCAATCTGTCCATCAGGAAACTGTGAATGACCTCGGTACTGTAACATTATTCTCTGTCAGTCTCCGAGGCTGAGCCCGGTTCTGTCGCCCGCTCACGGCAGATACAGTTAGCAGCAGTTAATTAGTGGTTAGCTACTTTAGCTAAAGCTATCTGTCCATCAGGAAACTCTGTAAATCTCAGAGAGTCGAAGCTGAGCAGCCGGAGGACGTCAGAGGGAAAACCAGGAAATATTTTCTCCATAAAATCTGATCCAGTTTCACCAGAATCACTGAATACGGTTAAAAAGTTGAGCTGCAGTTCCTCTAACGTCCACCAGGTGCTGCTGTGATCAAACTCTGAAACACCCCCGACTTCCTCCCTTCCTCACCCACTCTGTCGGGCAGGACCTCCAGCCCCACCACCCGCTCGTCGCTGTACAGCTCCAGGCCGTAGATGCAGTCGAAGCCGTCGTATTTGATCAGGTAGAGGGAGGGGTTGACAGGGACCTGGTCCAGGACCGTCCCCTTCCACTGGGACGACTTACCTAAGAGGACACACACACACACACATTTATTGGTTAAACATGAAATGAAGTAGAGTTTTAGGTCGACTCCCCCGACACTACGAGCACGAAGTAATCCAACTCACTGCCTTCCTTCCAGATGTGCTGGATCCTGCAGCCCACTATGTTCCTTCTGGGCTGAGCCAGAGTCTTACTGGGACCAACACTGGTCCTCTGTTTCCTGCAGGGACACAGAAAGAGGAAACACATGAGAGAAAAGGATGATGAGAAGTGAAGGTGAAGGACACAGAGGGAGTTCAGACACCAGACTTACTTGTGCGAGTTCTTTTTCTTCATCATGTTTGCAGAAACGCCGGAATGTCCTGAAACACAAACACAACATTCAACCATCGTACTGATAGGCGGTGCGTTCAAGGACACTCGGGTTAGTGAGTCAGGAGCAAAATCAACCATCAACATTATTATTTCAGACGACCAGTTATCAGCAGTGACTCACCCCCGTCTGCTCGGGGCCGCGGGGCCGCTGGGCTCTTGAAAGGGGTCTTCATTCATCCACCTGTAGGGGGGCAGCCAGCAAGGCCGCCGGTCCGGGCTAAACTCTGGGAATCGGTGTGTGTGAGACACCAATCGGGGGGCGGTGTGTGCGTGTGGAGGGGGGGTGAGGATGGAGGGAGGGGGGCAAGGGGGGGGAGGAGGGTAGGGAAAGGAGGGAGGAGGAGGTGGTGGGAAAGAAGGAACACCAGGAATCAGGCCGGGCCCTGGACAGGCTGCATACAGGCCGGGTACGGACTATCACCTGGAGACTGAGGCGACGTCACAGCTGATGGACTCGATGGGGAGACGGTGAGTTCAGCCTGAGGACGGAAACCGGAGAGACCAGACCTTTAGAGAGTTAAGATCTTTATTCTGATGTGTAAGATCTCTTTTTTCATCCAGGATAGAAAGATAGTTTTATATTCTCTGAACCGCCGACTGTAGAATAATCGATATTTCTAACAACCTTATCTCGGTCACGAAGCCAAAAGCTGATTATTTGATGGCTGCTGAAGGTCTGAGTTGCAGTCGGACTGCAGATTAAAGAACAGACACACATTCACTCCTCTGTAATAAAGATTAAACTGAGACTCTCTCAGAAAGATAATTGGCAGCGAGTGGTTTCTCTTCACGAGTGCTTCAGCCGTCGGCCATCTTTCCTCCTCTTCACCTCAAATCATCCCGACAAGAGGAAGCGTCTGAGCTCCGTGACCGACCTGATTACCGTTTAACTCCTCAACACAACCGCAGGACACCGGGTCAGAGGTCAGAGAGCTCTCCACCCTGCTGCTCGGCGCTCTACGGCACCAAATTATACGTCATTAAATAAAAGTAGAGCTACAGCGAACAACGATTATAAATTATAAAACCAAGCTGCAACGATCGGGTGATTGATCGGGGATTTTGATCATTGATTGATCGCTGAATTGAGTCTGAACTAAAACTAAAACTAGGATAAATTAAGAAGTTAAAGATCTGGCTTTTACTTTAAGTAATGTAATAAGCCTCCGTTTTTAGGTTTTAGTCTTAGTTTTGTTTATTTTTATATCCTCTTTCACTTTTTTGATGTTTTACATTTTATTGTTTTCACTGTTTTCATTTTCAGCTGACCAAAACTGTATTTATTGTTTCAGTTTGCTAGAAAGGTTTATATGGATAAAGTGGACAGGATGTGACAGCAAACTGTCCTTCAGACAGAATAAGACAAATAAAGACGTTAACTTCAGAATCTGTAACTCACTATTTTATGACTCCTTAAAAAATAAAAAGAATCCTAAATTGCGTCACTTCCCGTCTCTGAAGCTCAATGAACTCAATAAAAAACAATATACTGCATTATTAAAGGTGACCATTAAGTACAAACCATATGAATAACTATTATATATTATTAATTATTTAAAAAAGTGGTTCTCGAGGTCTTCTTGATTTTAAGGCGTGCTAGAGAAGTCATCCGAATCTCTAGTTTTACACAAACTTCCTGGAGTTACTGAGTTCACTGTCTGAGTTCATCGTTCAGTTTTTAATATAATATGAAATATCCATAAAATATGAGTCCGTTTATTAATAATAGAAAAGGCTCCGTGAAGGAAAAGGTTGGGAAGCAGTAATTTAACACCAAACTGCCAGTAAAAATCCAGATAAATAAACTCTGATCCAACAGGCAGCAGAGACACAATCCCCTGATAAGCAGAGATATTTTCTGTCCCACAAGGTCACAGACGCACAGACGGCGGCGGCACAGACAGCAGCAGCACAGACGGTGGCGGCGGCGCTGGGAAGCTGCAGCGATGATATGAACAGAATGAAGCTCACAGACACACTGCTGATAAAATCACCCAGAAACAGAAAGGAGTTCTGCAGAGCTGCAAGCTGCACGACAACAACCACAACAAGTGCAACACAACCACACACTGCCGCTGCACACAGCGCCGCAGCAGCAGCACGGCAGCGGCTCAGCCCAGACCCGGATCAGACAGGGATCGCACCATACCGAGGAGGGAGGAAGATGAAAGCCAGGAACCCAGCGGGGGGGCGGAGATGTGATGTGAGGGATTAGAGCTGTAGTAGTGATGGTCAGAAGATCTGTGTATGATTTATTCCATCAGCTCAGATCTGGATCCACAGCAGGAGGTTCTGACTGAGACCAGTTCTTCTCAAAGAACCTGAAGTTAATGGTTTTAGATCTCTAATGTTCAAACTGAATACTGGAAACTATCACAGACTGAACTTTAACTGAATTTGGACTCTAAACTGAAATAATTCTCACCAGTTGAAAGTAATAAGATTTAAATTCAAGTCAGATTTTGCTCAGAATATTTTCAAATTTAAAACTAATGAACTCAGATTGTTCTGCCTTTAAAAAACCTCCATACATTAAGCAGAGCAGCAACCATTATTTATTATTTATTATTTATATTATCAATGAATCGTTCTCTATAACATCAGAAACAGGAAGGTACGACCGCATTGATCCCGGTGAACTCAACGACCACATCATTGAAGCTTCCTGCACAAAACTCAGGTAAAAAAAAAAATAGTTTTCTCTCTTTCTCCTACAAACTTCCCAGCATGCATTGCAACTTCGTATAAAAGCTGCTGTGGAATCAGACAAACACAAAACCAGCCTGAGACCCTGAAGCACACGGTGATGCCTTCAAGTGTCTCACTTTGTCCACAAATACTCAATTTACAATCATTGAAGTCCAAGAAGAGCAGAGAATTCTTCTTTAATTGTTGAATCTAATAATCAGCTGATCGAGAGACGGATCAATACTGTAAGGATTAATGTTCATTGATTCACCCGTGAAGTCACCAACCACACAGGATGTTGATAATCAGGGTTTCGGTGCTGTGGTTAAAATCTGGTGAACACCAAAGAGTAAAGCAGCTCCTCAGTCTGAGACAATAAGGCAAATGTTAACTTTTAATTAGGGAAGCAGGATGATTATCCATTTTTATAAATGATCAGATCAATAAATTACAGCCGATAAGTGATTGGTGGATAATAATAATAATTTATTTTGAATATGCAAATCGATAGGATTTAACTTAGAAAGAATAAAGGAACATTTTAAAGAGTCCAAACTGTTTGTTTGTTTGTTTGTTGTTATAGATTAAATCCTCCAGCTTTGTTCAAACCCTCAGGTGAGTTAATAATTGAGACGCAGGTAATTATTGATTATTGTGTCGTTAAGATTAATCCGCGGCAGTCGTTTAATAAGGATTCTCAACCCGTCAATAAACTGATCACTTTCTCTATTAATCGATTCGTCGTTTGGTCCAGAAAATGTTGATCAATGTTTCCTAAATGTGCAAATATCTTCAGTTTCCTGTTGAAGAGGATAAAGAAACCAGAAAATATTCATTTAAGAAACTGAAATCGATTAAATATGATTTATATTTGATTAAATATCTAAACTAAACCACGTCCCAAACTCGACTTTACACGTGATTTGTTTTGTTCCGACACTCTTCCGACCTCTTGAAGTCGAGTTGGTAGCATTGTACGAACGACTTCCAGCCCTCGCTGTGTCGACTTTACACGTTACGAGATGTTTTACTGTTTAATTACTAATCAGTTAATTTGTGCTACAACATTTTGGCGATAACTTTAAATCTCTAACGTGAAACATTTCCTCATTAAACAGTCCACAGTATTAAAATATTATTATTATTATTGTTATTAATATTAGATCAAATGGACGGTACACTGACCGATGCCCTGTATCTACAGCACTGGCCTCTGCCCTGTATCTGCAGATGCTCCTGGTAGAAACCTCCTGAACGATCCTAAAGGCCAGGACACACCAAACCGACGGCCGACTGTCGGCAGAAAAGTGCCTCCGAACGCACCAAACTAATCGGTGAAAACCGGAAATGACGGATCACTGTAGACGTAGTAAACACAGAGCACGCTGTCGTCAGTCACTGTTTCCATCAGAGAGTGTTGATAGTAGTCAAGAAGGATCGTTGTTGTCATTACTCGCTGAACGGAAAATACGATGGCTAATAAAAACAAGATACTGGCGTTGGCGTAGTGTGTTTACCATCGTCACTTCTGGTTTTCTCCTGATTCGCTAGTCAAGGGCGAGCACTCCACCAATCAGATTGGTCACTGAGGCCGGCGGCCACTGGACGATTCTACATGTCGAATCGGCAAAAATGAACGCCGACTCCAACTGATGGCGGCACGGGACACACCGAACCGACTCGAGCCACCGACCTCGCCCAACTGTCCGATGACGTCCGACGGCCGATAATCGGGTTGGTGTGTCCGGGCCTTAACCGCGACCACGACGTCCAACTTCCTCTGTTGTTATTGTTTTGATGCGAGAGGCCCCCTAGTGGCAGAAAATACAGACTGCACCTTTAAAATAACATCATCACATATTTATAACTCATAGAAACACCAAACTGTGGAATCTGCATCGGTACGTGGATCGGTGGTCTGATATCCGATATGGGAATTATGTCTATATCGGCAACTCGATACCGATGATGGATCAGATCGGTCCCAATCAATATATCAATCAATACATTCCCAAACAGTCACAGACTGAATCATCTTCACGTCAAACAACATCCAGAGCTCACTGACGCACACAGGAACCTCACCTGAGTTCACCTGACAGCCGCACATTGTTCCCCATTCACTCACATTGTTTATGTGTTTGCAGAATATTGATCATCCCTCTGAGTGTGTGTGTGTGTGTGTGTGTGAGAGAGATCATCAATATTCTGCAGGTTACAGTGAGAGCAGGCTGCCATTGGTCAGTAAACAGCTGTTGTGCAGGTGAGTTGTGCAGCTTGTTTTGGCTGCTGATGAAGAAGAAGATGAAGATGCAGAGGTCACAGATGAGCTGACCACCGCGCAGACACACAATACTTCACTATGTGCACAGAGACAACCGGTCAAACCCTCCTCTCGGCCGCCATATTGCGCCAGTATTTACAAAAAAAACCCGCATCGGTGCAAAAAAAAAAAAAAAAAAAAAGGCGCAAGCGAACAAAGGGAGAGGGGGGGGGAACACGGGCGCTGCGCGAGCTGGTTTGCGGTAAACCGTGAAAGCGGACAAAGTGCCCGTTAAACGGCTCGTTCGGCGGTGCCGGAGGCCGCAGGTTCTTACCGATGCAGCAATCAGTGTCGCCGCATAATCCCGATCAACCGCCGTGGCTCCAAATTGATCCGCTCTGCCTCCGTTTGCTGCTCCGCTGCGTCAAGCCAGCGGCGCTAAGATGGCGGAAAGGCGGAGGTGAGGCGGTGCGAGCCTTCAAAATAAAAGCGAGGGTTTTTGATGCAATGTGATTTTATTTATTTAGAAATAAAAGAATTGAATTATATGGAAGCCAATTTCCACCTATGTAAAACTGTAAGTCATTAAACTAAGAATCATTCTCAAAATATTGACTTAGTATCTCAAAATAATAACTTTGTGATACTAAGTCAAAATAATAAGACACTAAATAATTGTTTTTATGTCACATTGGCAGAAATGATATAAAAACAACCACAAAATTATAAGAATATAAATCTATTATAATCTATCAGTTATATCTTTTTAATTGCGTTATTGTTTCAGATTGGTCGTATTGATTTCTATATTTTCTGGCATGTTTTAATGTCGTCCTTAGTTTATTTTATAGGATTGTATTAGAACATTTATTCATGATTTTATGATCTATATAGTCCTGATTTGACTCACTGCAGTTTTTAATCATTAAACGGTAAAAATTGTGTCATTAATGGAGGCAGTTTGTTGTTAAGTTTTTGTTGATTTAAAGAAATGTATCTGCAACTATTTTGCTTATCGATTCATCGTTTAAGTCTCAAGCACAAAATGCCACAAATGACCTGGTTTTAGCTTCTGAATTATGAGGATTTGTTGCATTTATCTTCTTATTGCTGGATCAGAATTATTCACAGTTACTCAAATTTGTACAGACAAAACAATTTTTTATTAATCGAGAAACATGTGGCCTATTATTCAATAATATTATTATTAATTAATAATACAAAATCAGTTTATTACAAAATGTGGTCAAAATGATTTAAAAATCAGAATCAGAATTTAAAAAATAGTTTATTGATATATAATAATAATATTATAGAACATCAAAATTATGTATTATATTACAATATACACACATATATTTATACACATCTGAAGTATGTACATAATAATAATATAAATATTAATATATAGAAGATATTAGTGTCTGTATGCTACAGTATCTGATTTCAAAGTAAATGTCTCGATCTCTCTCTCGTGATACATCAATTAAAACCATTCAATTAAGCGTGCTTTTATTTTCTAGCCGGAAGTGTGATGTATTATTCGGGCTGTTGTGACGCTGCTTGTTGTGCAGGCCAGAAATTCTTCCAGTCCCGCCTTTCTGCCTCTTGCCAAATAGTGATCCATCCGATTGTTGTTAGCGCGATTTGCTGCTGGTCCTTCCTGCCAAATACTGAGACTCTCCGTTGACCCGTTTTTGCCTCATAAAGATCCGAAAGAGCAGAATTATTTAAACTCAAACAACATTTGGCCTCTGCGCTGCGCGGCCATCTTAACTTTACCGCCGCAGTGAACTCGATTCGTCGTTAAATTAATAAACATCCTCTGCATTGTAGTGCGCGCGGCGGCCCGGCAGGTGGCGCGCTTTCTACCGGACATACAGAGGGAGTGGATGTATGAGCCAGACCTTTAAAGTCAGGGTACGTTAGTTCGGTGAGGCGTTTTTAATTAAAGTAAATTAATTCAATATTTAACATTTAATTTAATTTTTATTTTGTGTTTAATAACAAAGTAAAACCCGTGTGTACATACTCCGGTACAGTAGGGGGCGGTATACACCTTCGAAGTACGTGATTGCAATCCGCCATAAAATGAACAGAAGAAGAAGAGCTGACCCAGAGTCAGTCTGTTGGCCATTAGCTGCGTTTTAGTGGCGAATCGAACGTGAAGAAGAGCTGATCTGAGAGCAGCTAACAGTTAACGGACATACGTTAGAGGAGGCACCTCGCGCCGGGGGGGAAGAGCGTTCGATGTTACTAAAGAGACGACCCATTGGGGCGGTGTTTATACCGTTTTAAACGGTAATAGAGGAAGAGGAGACGACAGCGCCGCTCACCCGGAGAACCCCGGTGATAAAAACAATGCGACGAACTGTTAACTTACAATCAGAGCGGAGGAATTTCTGGTGAAAACCGAAAGCCGCCCTCCGCACACACACACACACTCACTCACACTCACACACTCACACACACACACACACACACTCTCTCGGTGTTACCGCGCCGTTAACGCGTCCACTCTTTAGCTCCATGGTAGCGCAGACACGTAGTTATAATCCACTCAGCGGGACACCCTGGAAGAGACGGAGTTACCTCAGGAGGATGCCGAGCAGCGGGGTGTCGGTGTGAGGATCCTTCCGCCAGGATGTGAGATGAACCCGGAGAAAGCAGCGACCGAGGCCAACATGATGGTCCGGAGCTCCGTGAGTAACCGCGCTAGCTCGGTTAGTTAGCACCGGGGGGGTAAACTGAGGTGTCATGGTCACCTGTTAGCTGCTGTTAGCCACATATGGATGCTAACGGCTCAATCAGTGTGTTAAGTGGCTAACGTTAGCTCCAATGTGAGCTAACGCCAACCGGGGATCTGTCGGTAGTTCGGCTGATCACCGGTTGGGTCGTCGGTAACCGGCTGATCACCGGTTGGGTCGTCGGTAACCGGCTGATCACCGGTTGGGTCGTCGGTAACCGGCTGATCACCGGTTGGGTCGTCGGTAACCGGCTGACACCGAGCTGCTGTTCACCTGAGGGCAGCTTGTTCACACCTGGAGACCCTCCGCTGTTTGTCCACACAGGTAAACACAAGGTAGAGCAGCTCCCCGACCTGCTGTCATCGATCACTCTGACTCAATCACTTATTGGAGCAGATACGATGCTCCTGTATTGATCCTCCTTAAAGGATTAAAACACTGTAACATATAATAAAACTCTAAAGTGTGGTCCAGATGGATAAATGTACATGTGCACAAAAATATTAATAATAATAATAATAATAATGGATATTATATGTTTTATAAATCAATAACAGCAGAGAACAGCTGATAACTAACTGCAGGAAGTTTGATTATTTCCTGTGAATATTGATCAGAGATGAGTTTTCCTGATATTTAATTTAATAAGATTTAATAATAATACTTTATTATTGGTTGTTTTATCAGAGACTGAAACTCTGTGAATATAAATCAGTGTTTCCCAAACTGTTTTTAAAAATGACAAATCACAGTTTTTACTGTTTCTGCATCAGGTCATCTCTTAAGCAGGTAAAGCAGCCATTCAAAGAGATATATGTTCAATAAATCACATCTTTGTTTTATGAATGCGTTATTGAAACACACACGTTAAATACTTTATAAATGAGACCTAATGAATGCATTTAAGTTTTAACAGGCCGTCTCATTGTTTTCACTTCCTCTCATCAGTAAAACAATGAACACATTTTAAATACTTTGTGCAGGCGGAAGAAATTCTGCACTTTTATTTTTGGGCCAAATAAAACCTCCTGCGACCCAAAATCTCTGAGTATTAATAATATATGTATGTGTGTATGTTAATATAAACTGTGTTCACATCTTCAAAGATCTTAAATAATCTAAACTTTAAAAATAACAATTCCTTTTAGTTATCGGCTCACTGTGTATATTTTTCTAACCCTTTCAAATCAAGAAGGCTTTGTAACCTAACTAATGTAACTAATTATTAACTGTAATATTATTACTGACATGTATTAGTAGTTAGTTACTGGAGGAAGTAATATTATTACTAGTAATGAGTTACTGCCCAACACTGTTGATTCCTCCGCTGCTCCTTTGTGTTTAGTTTTAACATTTTACAGCCGATCATGAGCGTAATCAATAGAAACTGATTTCCATGGTACTGACCTTTCAGTGTCTGCAGTAACGTCTCATCCAGGTGTCAACTGATCAAACTCTCCTCTGGACTCACACAGGATCGAACAGATATCAATATAAATGAGTGAAAACTGACGCAGACGTCTTCAGATATCTTCAGGTGAAGAGAAAGAAAGAGAAAGTTTACAGGATATAAAACAGATAAACAGACACCAAAGAATGAATTAGAAAATAGTTTCAGATTCATTTTCAGCTCAGGAACAGATTCCAGACATAGTTTCTTTTCTCTATGCAAACACTTATGTTATACTTCTGACTGCTGTTGTCTGTGTTTGCAACCGTGTCATATTTCCTGTGAAGCACCGGCTGAATTATTTTGGAGAGTGAGAGATGAAGTGAGGCTGATTGTTGTCTTTGAGGTTCAGATGTGTCGACAGACCACAGACGGTAGATAAATAGACTCTCTGACACTGAACTCGATCAGTTAGTGTGAACGTTGTGAAAGTGCTCACATCTTTTTATACACCGGCTCCTTCACACTGTTTATGATGGTTTATTAAAGCTCTTCCTCTGTCACTCATTCACTCGCTGCTCTATAACGAGAGCAGGAAACTGAGAGCATCGTTTAGCATTGTCACCCCGCCCTCTATCTACAGAGTGTTTGTCTAGTTTGAGTCAGAAATCTACGTTTTCTACAACAAAGTCAACCTGTGCTTTCCCCAATACGAATGGTTTAATGTATTATAGAGCTGCAGCTATTGATTCATTAAGGAATCGACTATTCTACCGATTTATTCCCTCGAAAACTCCACATCACGTAGTAATCTCCTGTCTCCAGGATCATTGATCTTCAGTTTATAGACTTTGTCTTTACCCGCCGCCTAATCGGCACTGAGCATGTGCAGCTTCTCCAGAGAAATGAGAAGGAAAAAACAAAGTGTTTTCATTATTCTTTTAGCGTTTATCCGAGTGGTTAGGTTTACAAACCCAACAGGCGTTTTACTGTATGTATCTTCTGTGAAAACCTGGCTGTAGCTGTGGTTTCACAGCGTGAGAGTAAACTGCAGGCTGAAGGTTTCAGAGGAGACGTATGTTTGGATCACATCGCACAGGAAGTGAGGTGAACTCCCACAGATGAATAGTTAATGTTTGCGCCTCTTTTCCCGCCGCAGCACGGCCGAGGCCGAGCCAAAGTGACTCACGCGGTGGTGGTGATCTTCCTGGAGTTCTTCGCCTGGGGGCTGCTGACCACGCCCATGCTGACTGTGAGTAAACACACACAGGACATCAACACACACATCATAAAAACTGGATGTTTACACATGTCTCTGTTCAGGATCCTCTAAAGTCGACATGTTTTCGGTATGGACATTGAAATGGTTATTGGTTGCTGTTCCTGCTGTCAGTCCGTGTGACAGGAGACAAAATCAGACAAAACCAAATCAGACTGTAGAAGCCTCATGTTAGTTATTGACAACCTTTATGATAAATCATTTTGTGTTTATCAGTTGTGTAAACAATATCTTATAACTAGAAAAAAGATATGTTGGTATATTTATCAGGTGTTTGTGTTGAGAGCCTTTATCTATCACCAGTGAACCACAGGGCGTTACGGAGGAATCAGAGATGGGTATCAGGCGTTCATCCTCTGTTGAACAGAAACATCCCAACTCGTACTGTAAACAGGTATCAGGATGCGTGTGCCGCTGTATTACTGGAATTCAGGCAACTTTCAGACTAACAGTAGCTCACAGGTAGAGTTGATCCAGGAAGTCAACAGAATGAATTCCCAGAGCAGGAGAAACACTCTGAGACAGACTCGTTTGTTTGCACAGACTACTGAAGCTAGCCAGTGTAGCTAACCTGTATCTGCTATTTGGTGAGTCTGTTCACTTCGTCGTCTGCTGGGATGGAAACTGCGGCGCATCCTAACCGATAAAAGGAGAGAAACACACTGAAGCTGATGGTGGAGTGTTGTCAGACCCGGGGTAGCTGGTCTCTAGCAAAAGAGAAACTGGTGTCGTTCAGGAACTGGAATCAAAGTCTCCGTCTGATCGGCCCCTTAGACTTTTTGTCAGCCATTTTAGAGAAACTTCCTTGGAATGAACTTGAAAACGCCCTGCCTCCAGCCTTTGTGCTGCACCGCTCTCTCTACAGGACACGGATGAAAACTATTCCTCTGAAACAGACTTTAGAACACAAGCATGTTCAAACTGTCTGAGTGTCCCTTTAGGTCGTCTGCAGAGTGAAATGACTTTAATAAATTAAGTGAACAATGTGGAACCTCGTCTGTTCGTCCTTCAGCAGCCTGCAGCTCTCAGTGCTGCTGTGTCACTGTATCATATGAACAAAAGAGTGTGTGACAGGCATGATAACTAATGTGTTTCCTTAATCAGTCACACAGCTGAGTCATTTAAATGCCCTTCAACGTGCTCTAGGGTCATTTGTGCCAAAAAGGTGTGTGTGAAAATTAAATGTGTGAGAGGTTGCAGACTGATAGCGACGAGTTGTGTGAGAAGATAAAACTGTATAAGCAGCTTTTATTCAGGAGACTGAGAGCTTGTGTTGCTGTTTCAGGTCCTCCATGAGACGTTTCCTCAGCACACATTCCTGATGAACGGCCTGGTTCAGGGCGTGAAGGTAAGACCAACACAGCAGCAAATACTAACAGGACATCGGAGGAGGTACATAATAACAAATGTTAAATATTTAATAGATAATAAAAGACCTGTGGTGGAAACCTCAGTGTAGAGCAAGTAGTGTACACTGAAACAACATGAATACAGTGTTTGTGCTTTATACAGCCACCAGTTAATCAGGATTAAAAAAATGAAATGTGAAACTGGTTCATAAAGTTGAGAAACAGAGCTGCTATCAGGGAGACACCGAACTCTCTCTCCCCGATTCTGACACCAGAGCTCTTATTGTGACACCATTTACAATCTGTAAACCTCTCTGACACCGGTGTTATGAAAGGGATGCTGTGGCCCTTTGTGCCTGAATGAATGAAAGGAAACAGAAGAAAGAAACTCTTATCAGGATCGGGAAACCTGGAAATTTAGAGACTAGTTTTCCCGTCATAGAAAGACCCGGGAATTGAGTTAAAATGACCAAATATCCAGGAAACGATCTATGTTTTATGTTGTATTTTAGTCCCTCACTCACACTGTCTACGTATTTAGTCTGAAACTGGACTGTTTGTCGGGGAACCTGCAGTACGACACATACAAACACTTCTTGTTGTTATGGTTCATAAATACACACAGCAATGTTAATTGTACGTGCAACAACAAACGCTATTAGACACACAGACACACTAATAAAAGCAGAAAATGTCCCAGAGCCTTAAATAATTACTGATTAATCATTTAGTCCATGAATCATCAGTAAAAAATGTCCATCGCAACATCTTACAGAACAAGGCTTTAAATGTTTTATCTTGTCGTCGAAATGTTGAACCAGTGGTTTTCAAACTTACACACTGGACCTTTAATTCATAACTTTGTATAGTTCATATAATGTATAATGCAATAATAATATATGGTAGTCACGAAAGGGAACCGCTGTATTATACAATATATAAACTGTTTATTAATCAATAAATCTTTAATAGACAGAAACACATGAGCACTTTGTTACATGTGAACGTTGTGTTGAGGTTTGGTTGTTAACGTTTTCTCTGTTGCTGTTCAGGGCTTCCTGTCGTTCCTGTCGGCTCCTCTGATTGGTGCGCTGTCAGATATCTGGGGCAGGAAGTCTTTCCTCCTCATGACGGTGTTCTTCACCTGTGCCCCTATCCCCTTCATGAGGATCAGCCCATGGTGAGACAACAGGGCTCAACGTTAATGGGTGTTAGGGGGGAGTTTTTTCCACTTGCCCAGTAGGGGAAGACTCAGAAATCTACTCAAAGTCAGTTCTCTTTTATTTATCAGCCATAAACAACAAACACCCTCGTAGCTGCCATGCAAGCGAGATGCTGTCAGCTCTTTTTTTTTTACTTCCTTTCCAAAATATTAAAATTAATTAATTAAATTTTTATCCTTCAAAAAAAAAAAAAAAAAAAAAAAAAAAAAAAAAAAAATTTAAATATAAAAAAAAAAAAAAAAAAAAAAAAAAAAAAAAAAAAAAAAAAAAAAAAAAAAAAAAAAAAAAAAAAAAAAAAAAAAAAAAAAAAAAAAAAAAAAAAAAAAAAAAAAAAAAAAAAAAAAAAAAAAAAAAAAAAAAAAAAAAAAAAAAAAAAAAAAAAAAAAAAAAAAAAAAAAAAAAAAAAAAAAAAAAAAAAAAAAAAAAAAAAAAAAAAAAAAAAAAAAAAAAAAAAAAAAAAAAAAAAAAAAAAAAAAAAAAAAAAAAAAAAAAAAAAAAAAAAAAAAAAAAAAAAAAAAAAAAAAAAAAATATATATATATATAAATAAATAAAAAGGGAAAAAATGTACTGTGACATGGACAGGGATGGAAGATGACCTATAGTTTGTTGAGAAACCCAACAGCTGATGGTACAAATGATCTCAGGTATCTGTTAGACCTGGTACGTTTTCTGGAGGTATACCTCCTTCCTGATGGTAGGAGGCAAAGCTCAGAGTGTAGTGGGTGAGTGATGTTAGCCAAAATGGCCATTGCCCTCTGTGTGGCTCTGGCCTCATACACATACCCAATGCTGTTGAGGTCAGTGCCAAATATTTTCTGACATATGTTTACAATTTTACACAGTCTGTTTTTGTTGATTACACTCAAATTGCCAAACCAGCAGATCATAGCAAAAGTTAAAATTGACTCAACAAAGGATGAATAAAATGTTTTCAGAAGTGATCTGTCAACATTAAACCCCTTCAACTTTCTTAAGAAAAACAATCTCTGATTGGCCTTTTTACATATATAGTCTGTATTGGTGTCAAAGTTCAATTTATCATCTAAAATGGTGCCCAAGTACTTGTATTGGCTTACCACATCCAACGCTGTGCCGTTAATCAAAGTTGAAGCAGTGTTGGGAGGATTGCGACGAAAGTCAATACACATCTCTTTGGTTTTAGAGACGTTGAGTTGTAAATATGAGTCTTTGCACCATGAGATAAAATAGTCCAAAACTGGGCCATGACCCACCTCGTGATCCTGCAGAAGACTAATTATCACAGAATCATCAGCATACTTAATAATATGCCTTGATTCAAACATACTCTGACAGTCATTGGTGTAGAGTACTAATATAAGTGGTGACAGAACACACCCCTGAGGTGACCCTGTGGAGCACATGAGGGCCTTAGATAAAGTGTTATTTACCCGGGTTCTCTGTGACCTCATAGTTAGGAAATCAACCAGCCAGCATATGGTACCAAAGTCAATATCAGAAAATTGCAATAGTCTGTGAGCAAGGATATGGGGCTGCATACAGTTGAATGCTGAGGAGAAATCAACAAAACACAGGCGTGCATGTGTCTTCTTGCCCTCTAAATGTCCAGTAACAAAGTCCAGCAGTGTTGCTGTGGCATCCTCAACTCCCTTACTTGGTAGATATGCAAATTGGGGTGGATCAATCATGCCCTGAGTCATGAAAAATAAACTCCTCTTTACAATACACTCAAAACCTTTCATCACCAGAGACGTCAGAGCCACGGGGCCATAGTCATTCAGCACCTTTTGAGATGGAACTTTTGCCACTGGAACCACTACTGATTCTTTCCATAACCCTGGGACTTTCCTTTGTGATAGCGAGAGTTGGAAAATAAATGTGAAAATACTGCTCAAGAAAAGAGCACAGTGTTTAAGCAATCGGCCGCTGATGTGGTCAGGCCCCTGGCTCTTCCTTATGCTCGTCTGCTCAAGGGTCTTCCAGACGTCAGTCTCAAAAACAACACAGAGTTGGAGTTTCGGCCACATCCTCCACTCGATCAGGATCTATCAGGACTATTCCCTAGTCGCCGTGTTAATGAGCACAGCTCTCTCATTTTAAAGTGCCAGTCTGGTTTTCCTGCTGCTGTGTGACGCTGCAGGTATCGGACACACAGCCAGCAGATATTACTGTTGGACCTCTATGTGTGCCCACAGTTTTCATTACGGAGCAATCTCTGAGCTGAAACACTGGATACGGCTGCAGAAGCTCTAACAATAACTTTAATACATCAGTGATTCCTTGCAAAAATAAAAAGTCTGACCCCAAATCACAGAGATGCCAGTTTGACATAAGCCCTATTCGCACGGGACTAGTATTACCTGGGGACCTCATGTGATTTAGTAATTACCCCACCACGTCTGTGTTTTGTGCGGCGCATTTGCACGGGATAAGCGAAGTCTGTGTTTTAACTCAAATTTACTGACATTATCCCCCGGATATGATGTCAAGGCTCTGCGTAACCTATGCGTAACAGTCTGTTACTGATCTGACGTTGCTGGTACCGTCGGGCCCGCGGAGCACCGTGCACTCCTCTATGCTGCCGAACGGCTCGAACATCTTTCTCACATCAGTGTCCGTCTGCTGTTTTCCCAGCATGCCCACAAACATCAAAATGCTGTCAAAATTTTCATTTATAATTGCCAACGCAGCACAAAAACTTAAAAAAAAACACAAAACTACCCCAAATCACAGAGATGCCGATTCGCAAGGGTCTAATATTATTGCATGACCTCTGTGTTTGGTGAAATATGGTAGGTAATTTGCGGTGGAATTTTTACTTTACAAATTATGGACATGGCAGATTTGCACGGGATTAAGATCACAGACGACCTCCGCAATTATTACAAATTACTAGAGGTCCCCAGGAAATACTAGTCCCGTGCGAATAGGCCTTAATATTAACACAGGACCTCAGTGTTCAGCAGTCATTTGTGAAGGAATTTCACTTTACCAGTTACAGACGGATTCACACAGGATTACGATCACAGACCTTCTCTGTAATTATTACAAATCACATGAAGTCCCCTGATAATGCTGCTCCACTGTGAATGGGGCTTAAATCCTGCTCAGTGTGGAAGTCATTGATTGAGGTTTGGTGAACGTTGAACTGTTGTTCTGTTCTTTGTTCCTGGAAATAATTCAGACTGCTCCACTGGCATCAGATCAGGTTACATTTCTGCTTCTTCTTTTCTACTAAGAAGTGACATGTCTTCAGTAGAAACTAGATGGGAAATTGAAACCGGTGCCAGTTCGTCTAGTTAACGCCGTTAGCTCACATTCTACCTAGCTAACCGTCTGACTTAGCTATAAGCATTTACGTTAATCTAACAGCGAACAGGTGAACATGAAATCTCTGTTGTTTTACATTTGTCTGTCCTCTTCCATCAGCTGTTAGATTTATTTTAATGGATGTTTTCTCTGTTTTATATCACAGTGAAATTCATCTGTTTCAGTTTATATTGTTGACCAGTAAAAACAAGACATTTAATGATGTTTTGGACTCTTGGAAACTGAGAGAGACATAATGGAGAAGATGATGAACAAATGAATTCATACTGAACACGATGGTTAGTTTCAGCCCTGCTCTGTGAGTCGGTAGAGCAAGCGGAGGGTCTGCTGCAACCTTTTGGAGTTTGAACAGTCACATGTTGTTCATGTGAGCGATGAGGATCAGCATGAACGCTGCAGATCAGAGAGCAGCCAGTGAGGCAGCAAACGGCCTCTGCTCAGCTTCAGAGTTCACAGGTTCTTCATGCAAAGTGTATTTGCTGTATGTATGAAACATGAGCAGAAGCAGAGTGTTTAACATCCTTCTGTTCCCATCTGTTTGGATTATATAGTATACAATATAACTACACCACAGCCTTCTAAAAACATTTAAAGATTATTTTGAGTTTTTAAACAGTTCACTGCAGCACAAGATTAGCTGACACTGGCTCTCTTCATGATGCTGAAACTCTCCATCACGCTCCACAAACCCTCAGTTCAGAATAACTAAATTAAAGAGTTGTTTGAGATCAGACGCAGGCAGCAGGAGAAAAGCCCTCTCTGCAGATCATCACAAGATTGTCCTTTTAACTTCATTATTGTAGAAGAAGTGAAACCTTGCTTATCCGTGAACACACAATCCATGAGGTTATTATAAAACCAGCTGTAAAGTGTAAAAATATTAAATTTACTGTAAAGTAAAGAAATCCTCCCACATGAGAGCCTCCGGCCATTAAATGTTAAAAATGCATTTAACAGTTACTTGATTGTTCCTTTTCAAATATTTGTCTGTAAGTGGAAAAACTAAAGGTTTGATGTGGTTCAGGATCTCCTTGAGCCAGTTATTGTGTAAGAAGATCAGACGTCTAGCTAATAGAGTTGTAAAGGCCAGAACACGCTGTTTAATCATCGTGAGAGGTTCAGGTTTAAGGGTCAACCAAAGACTGAAAGTGTGCAGAATATTTGACTCCTTAAGATTGTAAAAACTAAAAGTGGTGATCTTTTTAAAATAACAAAATGTGAATCAGTTATCTCAAATATCGGTAATGGTATCAGCGGGGGAAAAATCCATATGTTGCGTCCCTAAACATCAACATCAACCTGTAAATGATCAACCCTCAATGTGAGTCAGTGTCAACATAATACAGCACTGAAATCCCTGCTTCCTCATCCTGAGACGCTTCCTGAGTTACTGTGTCCCCGCAGCTGAATTTTAATTTTGAAGAATCTTTTGAGGAAGAATTTGCATAATGATGCGATGATGATGATGATGATGATGCATGAAATGTCCTCTGACAACCATAAACACAGGAACTGACTGTGAATGAACCTGTTGTGTATAAAGTGTCTCTGAGCTGTTTCCTGTCTGTTCCTGTGTGCAGGTGGTATTTCGCTCTGATCTCAGTCTCAGGGATTTTCGCGGTGACCTTCTCGGTGATCTTCGCCTACGTCGCCGACATTACAGAGGAGCACGAGAGGAGCACGGCCTACGGACTGGTAACTACACACTGCAGATTTTATCACTACAGGAAGTGAGTTTAGCTTTGAAACAGCTCAGTGGTTTAAAGATAAAGCTGCTGTTGGTGTACCTGAGTCAGTGTTATAGTCCTTATAGTGGAGCTGCAGACTATGTGCCTACTCTGATAGCATATTGTGTGTGTGTGTGTGTGTGTGTGTGTGTGTGTGTGTGTGTATGTATGTGTGTATATATATATATATATATATATATATATATATATATATATATATATATAAATGGAGTTCCTGTTTCCTGCCATTATGGAAATCTACAGTGAACCAGGGTCACAGGCAGGACAGGAAGTGCAATAAAAATGGCCTCTTTGAGTTGTCTGTGGTTTTTGTGGAGGTGTAGAGATAAGCAGTGTCAACAGATTTTATAGCTGAGGACAAATGAAAGATTCAGGCTGCCACAATGCATTCTGGTCCTGCTGTGGGTGTCTGCTTGCTCTTTTCTCTCATTTCACTTCAACCTACCAAAGTCTGCAACAGTAGCAGATGATGGATAATTCTCCTCACTGGTTGTCTGCTTAATACGTTGTGGTCAAAGTGTATATTATAACATTGATTCATTGATTAAGTCCATTCCTCTATTTTTATTTGTAAATCCTCAGTTTACATTATTATTATTATTATTATTATTATTATAATATGATATGATGATGATGATGATGATGATGATGATGATGATGTGTGTGTAAAGCAACCAGAAACAGATTGGGCGTTTGCACGTTGCAGTGACGCGTTCATTGATCAGACTGTTAAAAATAAACAGGAATCAAAATCTGGATCTTGACCTGAGCTCTGTCAGAATGTGTGAAACCCAGTTCTGCTGCTTCCTGTTTGTGTGACAGTTGAACTCTTCGATCTGTTGGAGTGTAAAAGTCGGTCACGTCAGTCAAAACCGAGTCGATTAAGGCTGCTCTGATTGATCGTCCACCGACGGTTATTGGCCGATATTTATTCCAATTAGTTTGATTAGTTGAGGAGCCGATCAGTGGACGCATTAATTCAGTGTTTGTCACATAGATTTACTATGTAAATGTCTGTTCTACAATGACTGGATCTGTATGTTCCTACATGAAAATACTCATTTTAATATGTACAGAACGTTATTTATAGTCAGTGACTCATTTACTGACAGATCTACGACCACAGACACACACACAGGGTCTGATCCACTGACGCTCGCCTGCAGTTGTATTAATCTGTGTGCACACAGGTCATGTGACCGCAGCATGTGAGCTCTCAAAGCTTCACATAGTTTGTTGTATGAGGAGAAAGAAGCCGAGCTGCTGCTCTCATGTCTCAACTACTGAACTGAACAAATGTTTCCAAACGCAGTTACAGCTCGACTGACCAGCTGGCTGAACATCAGATCCAGAGTCATATTTGGTTTTTAGTCGACTTCATGCACCTTTTATTTTATCTGTGTCTATATTTATCCTGATGAAAAGGTAAAAATATAAACAGGAACTGAATCATTCAGTGTTTTTATAGATGATCCACAGCATCTTAAAATCCAGTAAAAGGCTCAAAAATGAGACATAAATAATGACAGTTCACTAAAGTTTACCTTTATCATTTATATTCTATATAAAAAAGGTCACTAATTGTCATTAAGGCGACCCCCTGGGTGCTGTGGTCTTCTCTGAATCTGTGGTTGTTCACACTAAAGTTCACAAACGGATCCAAACAGGTCGGATGTGAACCCTCAGTAAAGTCCTGAGCTGGTTCTGGTTCTTCACGTCTGATCTTGTGTGTTTTTGTGTCATCAGGTCTCTGCGACCTTCGCAGCCAGTCTGGTGACGAGCCCGGCCATCGGGGACTATCTGTCCGCGCAGTACGGCGACAGCCTGGTGGTTCTGGTCGCCACGATAATCGCCGTGGCCGACATCGCCTTCGTGTTCTTCGTCGTCCCGGAGTCGCTGCCGGACAAGATGCGGCTGACGTCCTGGGGCTTCCCCATCTCCTGGGAGCAGGCCGACCCCTTTGCAGTGAGTTCAAATACCTTTTCTCAGGCTGGTTCCGACCCAACATCTACTCTCAGATCAGTTCTTCATGTGGTTCCAGAGCAGCACCAACCAACGCTTTGCTGTTCTATAACGAAGCACTGCTTACATCAGGTGCTGGAGGCAGGAACTGGATGACCAGCCACATCTAGCGTAGCATCTAGTCTACCTAAAGAAGAAGAACCAGAGCTAGAAGTTAGAGGGAGTTAGAATAGACTAAAACCACTTTGTGACGTCCCTGCTGTATGATTGATTGTTTTCATGCTCATCAGGTAACTTATAGTTTACTGGTTGAGCTCACTTTTCCCCTAAAATCAAGTTTGAATGAATTTGAACAAATAATCTCCAAACACACAACTTCAGGTACCCAGAAACAAACAAATTAGAAAATACTAATAATAGTTGGCCAACAAAAATATTGCTAGGATTAGTAGTTTAGTTTACTGACAGTCAGTAGGTAAAGCTGATAGTGGAACAGTCTGTTACATTCAAGTCTGTATTCAAACATGTCATGACACAGTTACAGATAAACCAGGTTCAAACTATTTTAAATAAAAAGAAAAAAGAAACAAACATTGATTATTTTTTAGTAATAAATGGCTCCAGATGCAGCCAGAAGAACAGAAATAACTGTTAATATGAAGAGAAGAGAGAGGGTTGAATTCCCAGTGTAGAAATGTGTCTGCCTGCTGTCAGCTGAATGATTGACTGATTGATTAATGGATTGATTAATGGATTGACAGTTGTGTGTTGACAGCTGATTGTTTTATGTGTGTTCAGTCTCTGCGTCATGTGGGCAAAGACACCACAGTGCTGCTGATCTGTGTCACAGTGTTCCTGTCCTACCTGCCTGAGGCCGGACAGTACTCCAGCTTCTTCCTCTACCTGAGACAGGTAACACACACACACACACACACACACACACACACACACACTCCACATACTCCACATACTCACTGAGCTGTTAAGGAAGGGAAACTGACCTTCAGGGTAGAATCAGGCCGACCGCAGAGAGACTGCCGGGAACCGCCGACTCCTCCTGCAGTCGGCCTCCTGCTGGCAGATCCATCGAGCTGTCTGGTGCTGATACTTTGACAGGGATCCAGATCGGTGCAGGAACATCTGATCTTATTTCAGGAGGGAAAACCAGCAGATCTTTTTCCCAGCAGCCATTTTGATATCTTACAGAAGTAAAAGCACATTAAATGATCAGATGAAGGAGGGCTGAACCACATTAGTGTTTTATTGTGAAACTTCTGTGAGGTTCTGTAAGAGGTGAAACGTCTTCAGTGACCCTGTAAGAATGTTTCTGTGTTTCAGGTGATTGAGTTTTCTCCTGCAGCCATCGCTGCCTTCATCGCCATGGTGGGAATCCTCTCGATAATCGCTCAGGTACAGAAACAACCAGCTGATGCCATCTTGAAGCATTTGTTAGAGATTTGGAAAAGGCTAAAATACTGAACTTTATTCCAGTCGGACCTTCAGATGTTAGAACAGTGTTTTATATATCAACACAGGCTGTATTCAGACCATCAGCATTACGGCGACTAGCAACCGCTGACACAAACAAAGGAAGCTGCTCGGTATCTGTTTTTCTGCGTAGACTGAAACACAAGAGCAAGTATCTGATTGCCCACCGCAGCGTAACGTCGGTTACACTTCCCTAGTTGACTCTGTTTCAGCCTTTCCGCCTTTTCTCAGCACTTTGAATAAGATTAAATAAAGTTAAGCTTGTGTTACTGAAATAGTGGCGTATGTATTTAATCACTTTATATGATATAAACTATAATCTCTCTCTCTCTGTCAGACTCTTCTCCTCAGTGTTTTAATGAGGACCATCGGTAATAAGAACACAGTTCTTCTGGGTCTGGGCTTTCAGCTCTTCCAGCTGGCCTGGTACGGCTTCGGATCTGAGCCCTGGTGAGTACAGTGTGTGTGTGGCTGTGTGTCTGTGTATGTATGTGTGTCTGTCTGTGTGTTGGGGGGTCTGTCTGTCTGTCTGTCTGTCTGTGTGTTGGGGGGTCTGTCTGTCTGTCTGTCTGTCTGTGTGTTGGGGGGGTCTGTCTGTCTGTGTGTTGGGGGGTCTGTCTGTCTGTGTCTGTGTGTTGGGGGTCTGTCTGTCTGTCTGTCTGTCTGTCTGTCTGTCTGTGTGTTGGGGGGTCTGGAGTCAGTGTTGTCACTTTGGTTCATTGGGTTTCCTTCCTGCTGTTTACAGGATGATGTGGGCGGCAGGAACAGTAGCAGCCTTGTCCTCCATCACCTTCCCAGCAGTCTCTGCTCTGGTGTCACACAGTGCATCACCTGACCAACAAGGTGAGTACACCTGTCTGTCTGCCTGTCTGTCTGTCTGTCTGTCTGTTGAGAAGGAGAACCGGAGTCATGGGAGGAAGACACTTGTCTTTTCTTTTGGCTCGCTTGTTCTTCTGTTTGCATGCTCCATCTTTCTGTGATGGTGTTTCTTTTTGATGCTTGTCAGAAACTTTCTTAACTCTGTCTGTCTGCCTGTCTGCCTGTCTGCCTGTCTGTCTGTCTGTCTGTCTGTCTGTCTGCCTGCCTGCCTGTCTGTGTCTTCAGGTGTGGCACAGGGGATGATCACAGGTATCAGAGGTCTGTGTAATGGATTGGGTCCGGCTCTATACGGGTTTATCTTCTTCCTCTTCAACGTGGAGCTGAACGACATGCAGCCGGTGGCAGGAAGACCGGCACAGACCACGGAGGTACACACACACACACACACACACACACACACACACACACACACACACACACACACACACACACACACACACACACACACACACACACACACACACACACACACACACACACACACACACACACACACACACACACACACACATATTTGTGTATAAATTAATGTAACAATAATAATTAAATGTATAATTTCTCTCTCTGTGTGTAGAAGTCTGTCATCCCCGGTCCTCCCTTCCTGTTCGGAGCGTGCACCGTCGTGTTCGCTCTTCTCGTCGCCATCTTCATCCCCGAGCACCACCGGCTGGCCGACGTCAAGACCTGCTCCGCCCGCAAGTCCAGCAGCGCCTCCGCCGCACACGCTCAGAACGCCGGCCCTCTGGCCACGCCCACCAGCGACGCGGAGGACATCGAGCCGCTCCTGCAGGACAGCAGCATGTGACTGACAGCCAGCCCCTGAGGCCTGAGCCCGGTCTGCTAGTCCCGCCCCCTTCAGAATAAACCAATTTCAGCTTTTATTTTTTTATTTCTTCAGACTGTTCGGACGGAAGAGTCGGGGGACGTTGGCGCGGCAACCACACTGACGAGCTTTATCTCTTATTTATAGCCTTTGATTCGTTTAGCTGCCGTATGTTTGTCAGGTTTCACTTCAGGTTGCTCTGAATGTGGACTTTACAGGACTGGTTCTGGTCCTGGTGGTTCTGTTTCAGACCCAAAGAGACAAACGGGTCATTTTCTCTCTGTTGTAGCTGTAATATAAATCTTAGTCATCGTGAAATGAATGTAAAGGAATTAATGAGAAAACATTAACATTATTAATATAACATCTTTTATTCAAAGAAGTTCTGCCTCATTGTTTAAAGACCTGCAGCCATTATTAACACCTGGTCCAGGTGTGTTTGGGCTTTGAACCTCTGGCGGGACGTTCTTCAGTAAAAACATTAGCTCTAAGATCTAAGTACTGGAGCTCACAGACCATAATGCCATTTGTAGATTAGAGTTTGCTGAAGTTCTGTTGCTGTGGTCGGTTTCAGAGCGTTTATACTGTCGCTCTCTGATTCGCTGCGTAGTTTCTCTTTTTAAGGCCGTTTTTTATAGTTTGTATGAATATCGACAGGAAGAGAGGAGGTGATGACACCATGGTTCTGGCTGAGATCGGTCCGGTTCTGGTCTTTAGCTCCTCTTTTGAGAAGGTTGTGAACCGCCATCTTTGTTCCATATCTCAGTTTACAGTCAGTCTGGTTGCCGCCTCGACGCTCTGGAGTCAGTTCGCCTTCCCTCTGCGTGTGTGTGTGTGTGTGTGCCCCTTAACTCCACCCGGGGAGGCCTGCAGAGATCAAACGCTCCTCGCTGTGCGGGACCGAAGGGACCAGCAGGTGGAGGTGTGTTGAGTCCCAGAAGCTACAGACTGTTTTAACTGGAACTTTTCACGGCGACGGAGAGACGGGGAGAGGACGGTGAGGTCAGAGCTGCTCGGGATTGTGGGATATAAACACAGGAGTGGAAGTCGTCGCCTGCAGGGGGCAGCGTTGTTGTTGTTGTTGTTGTTGTTTTTGTTGTTGTTGTATGATCCAGTCTCTCCGACTGTTAACTGAGAGGAGAACGTGGCGGTCGCTCTCACTGAGCATGTGCAAGCTCCGGCCAGCTGTGACATCATCGTCCTGTCCAGAAACATTCATTTAAAAGGTTTGAAGTTCTTCTGAGCCGGGTGGCGTCACGGAGGAAAAATAACAAATCATTTATCTCAACATCCAAATCTGACTGTTTCTCTCTCACATCCAAACATTAACAACAAGATAAAGTGTGATGGTGGTGAAGCAGTGTGGGATCATGGGAGTTGTTGTCTTCACCACCATTGGCGTCATTGCAGTCAGCTTCTCCCGGTTAGGATTCCTTCAGTGTTCATGGTTCAGGAGGTTTCTACCGGGAGCCCAATGATCCACAGAGGTCTCCTCCTCTCCAACACAAACAGACCCGCTGATTAAAACCACTAAACACACTGAATAAAGCAGTTCCACCTTAAACACACTGAATAAAGCAGTTCCACCTTAAACACACTGAATAAAGCAGTTCCCTAACACACTGAATAAAGCAGTTCCACAATCACTAACAATCACTGCTTCTCCCACGCTGTTGGACAGACAAAGGACGTCCCGGAGGGGCTGCGAGCCGAGCTGCTGCTAACGTTAGCTCAGCTTGTTTCTCTGATAACTTAAGATCCAGATGACCCTGAAGGTCTCACACACACACACACACACACACACACACAGTGTTTTCCCTCCGTGACGTCTCCGCTCTGTAGTTTCAGATCGACGTCTCATCTGTTCCTGTTGTGTTTTAAATACTTGAAGTGTGTTCAGCCTGAAAGTGCTCCGCCCGCCCGCCACTCCAGACAGAACAAATCAAGCGCTCCTAGTTACTGACGTACCTTGAACAGGTGTTCCCGCTGCGCTCCCGACGTTCCCGCTGCGCTCCCGACGTTCCCGCTGTGCCACAGTTTGAACTCTCAGCAGGTTGTAGAGAACCAAAATGGTGCCATGCTTTTATTTTTCTGTTTTTATTCTTTTGTTACTTTCATTCACAAAAAGGTCAAACCACATCAACCCCCCCCCAAACCTGTTACCATGGCTACAGATGGAGGAGACACAATGTCCGACCCCACAGTGCTGCCTTCAGGTTGCGTTAATGTGTGGGAATTGCTAGCTTCTGACTGTGGGAGTTTAAAGTCTCCGAACAGACGACGAACAACCGAAATGTTGTCGTCGTGTGTTTTTCTTTTTTTTTTCTCCCAGCGTGACTTGAATGCAGCACCAGTGAGGTCACAGCTGCAGAAACACCTGGCGGGCAGGTAGATGATGGTGTGTAGAAGCACAATCACAACCTTTCGTTTCCGCCTCCTGATTCAGTCCACAGCTTTCGAGCTCTCCGTCGGCTCGCTGAAGCTTTTTGTTTTTGATTTTTCTCTCCGTCACTTTGTCGAAGATGATGTCATACAGGAAGTTGGACCTACAGTATATTTTTCTACAGTCAGAAACCCTGCAGAGTTCTTACTCAGTGTCCCAGAATGCACCACAGTGTTAGGAACTACATCCTGTATCGTATGTTGTCATACCGGACTCTGTCTCTTTATGTTGCTGCTGCGTTCACGTCTCATCGGGAACTTTCTCTCATCGCTCCTCCTCCGGATTTAAAGATTGAACAGTTGAATTAATCGATCGATCGATTGATTTTACATATTTTCCAGCTTCTCAAACATCTGGATTTATTGGTTTTCTTCGTCATACGTGATAATTAAACTGAGTATCTTTGGATTTTGGGCTGTTGGAATGAATTAAAGAACAGTATTTTTCCGTCTCTACTCTAAGAAAAGTGAGTTCAGAGTTTTTAGTGACTTTTAAGGTTCTGATGAGACGTGAAGCGACAACATGGCCGCCAGAGTTTTACGGCTTTAACTGACGACTGACGGACGACTGAAGCTTTTTCAAACAGTTTTTGTACGTCAGCACTTGTTACTGAATATAAATCTCTACGTTTACTGAGAAGACTTTTATTGTAGCTGATGATAATTATTAGAAGAGATCAGTAACTTATATTCTCCTCCTCCTCTTCCTCCTCCTCCTCTTCCTCTTCCTCTTCCTCCTCCTCCTCCTCCTCCTCCTCCTCCTCCTCCTCTCGTGTACATGATGCAGAACATTTGCAGATTGCTGCACTTTAGTTTCTCTGAACGTGTGCCTCTAATCATTCTTCATGTTCATATCTGTTTTTATATATAAACAAAGAGACGCTGAATGACGTCTACGTGTTGTGCATTTGCAGTTGCTTTCTTTTATCTTGTTAAGAACATAATTTTGAATAATATCTATGATAATAAAAATAATAAGAATAATAATAAAGAAATGTATGAAATTTGAAATGTGCACTTGTTTTATTTGATGACTGACCTCTTAAGATCATATGGAAGCCCATTAATGTCGAATCAAAAGTCAAAATTGAACGATCACAGAATTATTAACTTTTATTTTACTTAATGTTTTCCTTTGGATTTTTTTCCCTGTCCAATAATTGATAAATACAATCAATCAATCAATTAAAACTTTTTAAATAATTTTCAGCTTCACAGCCTGAATTGGTCATGACAGAATCTACGGAAGCTCTTTGCTGCCAGAAAAAAAAATACTGATAAAGATTTTAAAATTATGAAAATAAAAAGAAGTAAAACATTTGCGATATTGGAAACAAATCAATATGTCAAAAGTCGGATGCTCTAGTGTTTAATTGGTTAACTAAAGTAATTAATATACCAACTAACTTTATTTCTCAAAACAGATTAAAGCTCAAACACAATTGAAAAATTGTTAAACATATTTTGAAATTAGATTTTTTCTAAATATTAAAAAAGTTTGTCAAAGTCACAAATAAATTAAAACGTTTATTAAAATTAAAAATATTTCACAATAAAACCAGACACAAAGCATCACAGAAACCTGCTTCAATTAAAATCAACAAACATTATAAAAGAAACGGGTTGAATCAGGAAACGAACCACTGAATTTGTAATAATTTGTTTTTAAACATTTTAATACACAAATTAATCCTCATCCATAATCAGATTATAAAAAATCTGAATCTTAATTGTTGTATATTTACATTTGTTACTAGTTGCAGCTCAACTTTATCACAGAAAATGAACAAATTCACAAACTCGTCTAAAAAATATTAAACATACTGTAGCACTTTAATAAAACTTAGTCGGTAGATTCAACTTCATTTAAACGAGTTTTTCTTGTTGAATCTTTCTTTGCATTTTCATTTGGTCACAACTTTCACACCTTCAACCATAAACTCCAGTTCATCCCAAATATGTCGAGTTAATGTGGCGAAAACAAAATCATCACACTCACGGCACAGACAAGAAACACATTAGAGCAATAATCCAATACCTGATATTCAAAGATCAATATCTCTAAAACATTAACAGTCTGTAATATGGGACAGTTTGTGAATACATAATATCTGAGTTCATGTTATAATGATTATTACGTCACATATTGTTAAAGGACCAGTGTGTTTTAGTGGCATCTAGTGGTGAAGTTTCAGCTTGCCACCAACTGAATACAGCTCAGCCTTTCCAAGAATGTAGGAGAAACTACGGCGGCCATGAAAAGCTCAATTTTAGAGCCAATATTCCCACAAAATATTATATTCAGTGTCTGACAATAAATCCTCGTTAATGTTACACACTGCAGCTTTAAATGTTGGAAATCTGATTTAGGAATGAAAAGTTATTTTTGAAAATGTAAAACTATGAAATCAATAAACTTTTGTGACGTTTCATTGGCTGAAAAATATGGAAGTTAATTTCTGCCAAAGACAGAAAAGAAAAGATGAAATATTTAAAATGACAAAAGCAAAAATCTGAAGTACGTTAATGTGCCTGAATTTAGATTTTAATGTTTTTGTGTAATTTATTTATTTTATCTCAAACTTCTCCTATCCTCTAATCTTGACACTTTATATAAAAACTATGACTTTAAGTTTACGTACATTTACTTTTGGTTTTTAACTTTTCTGTCTTTCAAGCAACACTTATCTTTAAAAACTTTTCTCAAACACTTCCTGGACGACATTTCGACAAAACCCAACGAATCCTGATTCTTTCTCCTCCTCTTAGCACGTTACCTCGGTGAAACTGAACCACGGCTGCGTCTGAAAACATTTCCTATTTGCATCGTAGTAAACTGCTGCTGCCTTTCAAAAACTTACATTAGAATGAATTAACTTCTAACATCCATGTAGCTGCTCGTCTATGCTAACAATCGACTCAATGATTAGAAAGTATCTGAAAGTTACTGATCACTATGGTGTAAATATTGTTTTCTATGGATGAGTGAACGAAGGAGTGGTTTCAGCCCCACCCAGTGGTCACTCACTGTACTGCAACTGAATCTGAAGCTCAACCTTCCTCTTCCTCTTCCTCAGAGCAGGCAGGAGATGGACACCTTGGTGGTGGAGTAGGGGACGGTGTCTGGTGTGGGACAAACAACACGTCAGCTGGTTTATCGTACATACAAATTATAGATCATTGATTGAATATTGATTGATAAAGATTACAGTAGGTATCAATAAGTAGAGCTGCTCATTTAGAACAAATAATAGGCAAAATAAAAATGTTATGAGGTCAAAATATAATAATAATATATTTTATATGAGCTATATAGAGATAAAATAATAATATATAAATATTTTATTGACAATGTAAAATGTGGCATAATTATAATTATTGAAACCTTTAAAATATTGTAAAATCTTAAAATACGCTATCATAAAAAAATATATTTTCTCTGCTTTATATTACGGAGTAATTTTTTTAAAAAGTTTTTTATTTTTTAAATGTTTTTTTATCAAAAATAAATATTTTTCTTAAGCTCATTTCTAAATAATTCAAACATTTTCAAGTTTAAATTTTTTTTCATCATAAAAACATGAAATTTCTTTTTTTCAGGATGCTTTTTTTGATAAAATGTTTTTACTTTGATCAAAAGGAAAATAAATGAATTTGTGTTTCAGGGCTTCTGTAGAATATAGACAAATAAAAATAAAGATATCATGAATAATCTTTAGCTGGTTATAATCAATAAAGCTTTAGAGAGTAGATTCTCACCTCGGTCCTTCAGCGAGTTTATATACGTCTCGATGAACTCCTTCTCTCTGCTGTCCTTCACCACCTCCCCTCTCTGCTCTCTCCACCTCCTCCTCTTCGCCTCCTCCTCCTTCTTCTTTTTATCCTCCTCCTTCTTCCTCTCTTCATTCGCAGGGTTGTCGTACAGTCGAATGAACCTGTCGGGGAACAGCGTTCGATAACGTGAGCGACGTTAGCAGGTAAAGACTCTGTCTGTTGTCGCCGCCCTACAGGCAGCGAGTGGAACTGCAGCTGTTTTACATTCACTGGATGTTTACAGGACAGACTGTAAAGAGTTTCTGTGACAGTGAGTTTGTTTACTTGATGCTCGGGTTGCTGCACAGTTTGGTCGGTATGCAGTTGAGCTCGTCGCCGCTGACGACGATCATACTGAGCGTGGAGATGTTGGTGAGACAGTGAGGGAGGTAAGACAGGTTGTTCTTATGGACGAACAGGGTGACCAGCTGCTCCAGCCTGCACACACACACACACACACACACACACACACACACACACACACACACACACACACACACACACAGTGAGTGTATTCAAGTCATAGTTTGACACTTATTCTGTGTCAAGGGATTGTTAGCCTAGCTTAGCATAAAGACTGGAAGCGGAGGGGAACAGCTAGCCGGGACTAATAATCTCTAAAAGTAGTTAGATCAGTGCAGAGTTGTAATGTTAATGTTAAACACAACAAACAACTTGTACAATATGTTGAGCTTTGCTGGAGGCATCGGAGTAATCAGATTACAGGTGGGCGATGACGTCATGGGTCACCTGTCCATGTCCTGCGGGAGGTCGCTCAGACTGTTGTTGCTCAGGTCCAACAGCTGCAGGCGGCTCATCCTCAGCGCGCAGATGGGGATCGACACGAAGCGGTTCTCCGCCACGTCCAGGTGAACCAGCTGCTTCAGGCCGCTCAGCTGACAGAGAGTGACATCATCAGCGCAGTGACATCATCAACGCAGTGACATCATCATCAGTGCAGAATAGAATATGTTGAAATGTTGACTGATCAATAATACAGATTGTTGCTCTCTTTACATTATTATTATTAGAAATGTTATTAAAGGGAGCAGTTTTAATAATCTAGTCTGTGTGTTCGAGAAGAATAGAAGAATAAAATGCTCTAATCAATGAATGCAAAGAAGAAATATAAATAAAGGTAATTTAACTATTAAACAGAAATAATGAGGATAAAATATGAATTACTAAAAATATATATTTATACATAAATGTTGCTTTTTATAAACATCAAAAATGTATTTTTGTTTTGTTTTTCTATTCGTTTTATCATGTGAATAATTGAATAACTAAGACCCGCCCCTACTCTGCCTCCCAGCCAATCAGAGGCAGCGTACACATTTAATAAAGGCCTAAAAACATTATTTAAGTTTCCTTTCTGAATCAGCCTGAAGTTCAGTTTCTTGAGATAAATGTTGTTAAATTTTGGGGCGCCGTCTCCTCTGTGACACCGACCATATTTGGAAGTCCACCTTCCTTCACATTGGTGTTGCGGCTGCAGGTGGATGTACTGAAACACCTGCCAGCAGCTCTAAAGGTATCAAACTGTTCCTTTAACTCTTACAAATAAAGAATTCAATCTTTCAGTGTCTGTGAAATGAAGCAGTCTCGCTTCCATCCTCTCTGTCTCACCTCAAACGGCAGCTCGGACAGGTGGTTTCCTGTGAGCTCCAGTCTCTCCAGGTTCTCGCAGTCTCCGAGCTCTGGAGGAACTCTGGACAGACGGTTGTAGCTGGCGTTTAATTCCCTCAACCCCGTCAGTTTACCTGCGGGCGGAGGAGGCCGATACGTTTGTTTGGTAGTGTGCGGGGGGGCAGTGTGTGTCTCTGATTAAAGATAAAATCTGACCGATCTCAGGTGGCAGCTCGATGATGGTGTTTTTGGGGATGTCGAGCACGGTGAGCTGGGTGAACATGGCCAGGTAGTCCGGCAGCTGACGGATCTTTGTCCCTCTGACGTGCCACTCTCTCAGGTAGGTCATCCACTGCAGCTCTCTGGGGAAGTCCTGCAGACAGATTCACTTACTACCTGTTGTTGTCTTCCAGGTGAACAGCGAGCGACTGTTAACTTACCGTCCAATGATCTCCATTCAGCTGGAAGATCAGCTGGTTCTGCTCCGGATTCTCGTGATCCTGCTGGTCTTTCTGGTCCTGCTGCTTCTCTTCTGACAGACAACAACATGATTAAATACAGTATCTACCTGTATGAGGCTAAATCTACCTGTGTTAGGTTGTATCTACCTGTATTAGGCTGTATCTACCTGTATAAGGTTGTATCTACCTGTATAAGGCTGTATCTACCTGTATTAGGTTGTATCTACCTGTATAAGGTTGTATCTACCTGTATTAGGTTGTATCTACCTGTGTTAGGTTGTATCTACCTGTGTTAGGTTGTATCTACCTGTATAAGACTGTATCTACCTCTATAAGGCTGTATCTACCTGTGTTAGGTTGTATCTACCTGTGTTAGGTTGTATCTACCTGTGTTAGGTTGTATATGTTGTACATCAGTCAGTGTGGTTCTCTCCAGGTATTGATGCAGCAGGTTGCGTTCACTGGTCTTCAGTCTCTTACAGTAGATCCGATACTGCCACTGCTGATCGATCCTTCACACAGACAGACGTGTTAATGAAGAATCAGCAGCTTCTTTCTCTCATTATTAGTAATAATTGTTAATAATAATAATAATAATAATTATTATTATTATATTAATGTGATATTTCAGCAGACTGGATGTTCCCGTTCGAGCGCTGTCTGCTCTCTGGAGGTCAGACGTTGACCTTCTGTCACTGATGTTGGGGTATAAATAGACGTCTGTGTTCATATTACTAAAATCAGCTCTGACTAATAGTTATTATGAGTCTGAACTCACACGTTCAATAGTTTAAAGTTTAGACTCACGAGAGGCTTCGAACTGTTTCTGTGCAACTTACAAACACATTTCAACTAAAAACTGTTTTCACCTGGAGAAATCTGATGTTCAAATGTTTATGTTTTAAATACATAATTAGCTCTTCAGCTCCACGACAACATCAGTTACTTTACAGATTCAGATCATTAATTCAGAATATAATCAATTTATAAATTAGGATTTAATATTATAGATTAATCTACAAAGTAATTATAATAAGCTGCAGCATTATTACAATATTCTGCATAATAAGCAGCGTGGGAGAGAGCCCCCCTAGTGGCAGAAATAACGTACTGTACCTTTAAGTTTAGACATGACTTTGGAAAAATACAAGTACAGTTTAATAATTACAGTATAAGTTGTTACTGAAGGGACAGTGACCGTCTCACCTGGCGAGGGCGCTGCTCTGGATCCGCTCCTGCTCCTTCTTCTGTCTCTGTCTCTGTTTCTTCACTCGGACCTCCCACAGTCCTCTGATCAGGGACAGATCGTAGACCGGGACGTCCACCTTCCTCTCCGAACGCATCTCTGCTGCTGGAGAGAGGAAGAGGGGGAGGAAGAGGAGAAATTAATGACATTTTGATATACAGGCCTACTGTGCATATTTTTTAAGTTTTTTTTTTTTTTAAATACTATTTATTTTATTTTTTTGGGGAGGTCGAGCTGCTGGGTCTCAGCCTTGGTACAGGCTGTGAGACATAAACAAATCCCTCTGTGACAACCTCCAGAATATATATAGGAATAAAACTGGAAGGTTTGGTGTCTGTAGGAGCTGCTGAAGTGGAGATTTTCTGACTCAGAATATAAGAAAATGTTATGTCTAATATATGAAAATGAGACATTATCTGATGTAAACTGTTGGTTAAACCTACAAACACAAACAGATAACGGAATAAAATAAACACTAAATGTGTATTTCGGGAGTTTTGTTTCCATTAGTCTGAATAAAGACCTGTTATGGAGGCAGAACAACCTAAAATATCTAAATGTACCAGTTTTTACAGTTTTTAAACAACCATACACAGGTAAATACAACGACATACAGGTAGATACAACCATACACAGGTAAATACAACCACATACAGGTAGAAACAACCACATACAGGTAGATACAGTCTTTATACAGTCAGTTATTAAAACGTGATCAGTACCAGAGCTGCTCTCTGACCTACATGCAGCAGAGAGTCTCATCACTCAGACATTAATATGTCAAACAGGGCGCCGGCTGGAGGCTGTTGATGTCACTCACGTTTTTAATGAGTCAGACAAGATCGCAGCAAGATTCTTTTATTTTGAAAAAATAAAGAATCGTTTTGGCCGAGATAGCCTCACACAGATAATCCCTGTCTAGGTGTCTTTGGACCAGGTTCTGACCCTGAACCAGGCTCCGACCCTGAACCAGGCTCTGACGCTGGACCAGGCTCTGACCTGACCAGGCTCTTACTCTGGACCAGGTTCTGACTCTGGACCAGGTTCTGACTCTGGACCAGGTACGTCCCCTCTCAGCCCTCCTCCCCTGCCCTCAGCAGAATTTCTCTGGATCGTTTAAGACCAGGTCCTCCAAAAGCTCTTGTGATTTCTCTACACTGGCTCCTGATCAGGTTCAGAGTCCAGTTCTTGGGATCACCTTTAAAGCTCTGCAGGGTCAGACAGCAGGTCTCTGAGGTCCTCAGGTCAGGGTTCTTTGGTTGTTCCAAGATCCTTAAAACTAAAGGAGACTTTGAGGTTGTGGATTTTGTGACCTCCTCCTCTTAAAAAGGTGATACAGAAATAAAACTGCTCACTTAAATGGATTTTTTTCAAGTCCAATCAGTGACTTCCTGGTAAAGAAAAGGAATATTAGAAAATGAACGAGCTGTGAAATGTGTAGGAGAAACTACGTTGGCTGTAAAACTCACTAAATAATGTGAACGCTCGTATTTAGAGAAGAGGAGCCGCTCCCTCTGTAGATAAAAACGTCTCATTGTAACAAACACAATGATTCTTATTATCAGCTGATTAAACACTAATGAACACAAACTTATTGATATTATATCTCTGACAATAGATCCTCCTCAATGTGACACTGGAGCTTTAATCCAACCTGGAACATCTGTCACAATTTTACCTCAAGCGACAGCTATTCTATCGTTGACTGACGACTCCTCATTATATTTTATAAATATTTCATATTATATTATATATATTATATATATTATATTAACAGAACAGCTGATCTGAGCATTCTGGATGAATATTGAGCAGATTATTTCCTGTGAATATTGATCCCAGATTAGTTTTCCTAATAATTTTACACACACTTCTGTGTGTGTTATGTATTTTTTACACATTTTAACAATCATAGATAATTATTGGCTTCTTTATTGAACGTTTTCTTACGTCTCTTAAAATCAAGAAGGTGTTGCGACCCCCCTGTGAAGCTTTGGCGACCCCTAGTGGGAGTCCTGACCCACAGGTTGCTGGCATGCTAAATATTATCATGTTACACTGAAATATTACATGTTAAAATGCAAACACGCTAAATATACTAAGAGATTAAGGAACTCGACTTCCCGGGAGTCCTCGGTCATGTTCCTGCCGGCTGTTTATGAATCGACTTCTTCACTTTAAGAGCTGCTAATCTGTCTGTCTGTCTGTCTGTCTGTCTGTCTGTCTGTCTGTCTGTCTGTCTGTCTGTCTGTCTGTCTGTCTGTCTGTCTGTCTCTCTCAGACGTACTTCCTGTCAGAATGTGCTGGAGATTCGAACCGACACCCAGCTGTGATAAAGACATTGTGTTCTTACCTGTGAGTCTCTGTTAACGTCCTGCTCACGTTCACCAGCTTGTTTACTGAGCTCTGACTCTCTCTCTCTCTCTCTGTGTGTGTGTGTGTGTGTGTGTGTGTGTGTGTGTGCTATTTTTACCAGCAGAGATGTGACCCCTGCTGTGTGTGTCACATGATGCTTCCTCACATACGAGCTCTGGATCACATCATGTTCTTTTTTTGTGTAAAACAAATTTAATGTAACAAGATAAACAAGTCTCTGTTGTTGTTGTTGTTGTTGTTGTTGTTGTTGTAGATATTACACATGATTTTAATTGAGCTTCATTCTAGTTTCACTCTGATCTAATTTATCAGACACAGTCAGCTCAAGGAAGCCAGCTGTATGTGTAGCTTTTATTCTGAAAATAAATACTCTGTTTATTTGTTTATTTATTTATTTATCACATACAAGTAAAATCACAGTCCTGCATTCATATTTTATTATTAGCATCAGAATATCCTTAAACTATTAAAAGTACTAAAATGAATGACCTATTTTTATAATAATATAATGTTTCTACTGTGTTTATTACTTTTTGTTGTTGTTGTTGTTGTTGTTGTTGTTGTTATTGTTGTAATACTCATTTTGGCCACAAGAGGCTGAAGTGCACAGAACTAAACGCATTAATTATTTTCCTCCAAGTGAGTTTTAATTTCAGTGCTGATTAAAATATATTTCACAGGTTAGATTGAAGCTCCAGAAAATAAGCTGTACTTTTATTCTGAAAAGCCAGCAGTGGAAGAAGGAAAAAGGTTTTTGAAGTTTTACTTTAATAAAAGTACTAATACCACAGTGTGTGTGTCTGTGTGTGTGTGTGTGTGTGTGTGTGTGTGTGTGTGTGTGTGTGTGTGTGTGTGTGTGTGTGTGTTCTGATGCAGATTTTTTTTTTCAAGGTTACAAATGTGAAATATTTGTTTCAGGAACAAAAAGCAGCTGTGGTTGATGCTGTTTGTCCGTCTATAAATATCTGTGTGACCTTTACAGTCGACACAGTTCAACATGTGTGCTCACCTGCTTTAAATACACACAGTTCAGCTCAGTAACGTAACGTCTGTTCACAGCAGCAGTTTAACATCCAGAGCTCAGATCAATACGATTGGAAACTAATATAAATCTATACACTGATACTGACATTATTATTTATAGTGAAATATTATCTTATTACAATAAACTTTAAATGTCTTTTACGGGTCTTAAAGGTTGTTTTACAGATTTTATTAGTATTCATCATTTTATTTTGAAAGGGTTTCCTGAAGCATCATAAGCTTTTATTTCAGTAAAAGTAATAATTCCAAATATTCTAATTACAAAAGTATTGGCATAAGAATGAACATAAAGCACCAACAGTTAATGTACTTATTGTGCAGAATAATATATTATTGTATTTTAATGAATGAATCATTAATGTGTTGCAGCTGGTGGATTAATATACTTTATATAGTTTATTCATTTTCTAAGTGTAAATAGTTTTTACTTCTGTGTTTATGATTTAAGAAAGGTGAAATGTTGAAATGTGTTTTCCTGGATAATTAAATGTGTCTGTTTGTTGTTTGTTGATCACGTTCTCAATAAATCTAAAATGATTGATTTTTTCTTTCATGTGAGTTTTATTTTCTCTTTGCTCCATATTTTATATAATTATATAATGTTTTCTTTTACTGTGTTAATTTGGTTTATTAATGTTATTATCTTACTTCAAGCCATCAAACACACAGATATTAGTGCAGTGATTAAAATTACATTTACAGACAGAAGATTTTATTTATCAGTAAAAAATGTATTTTATTTGCAGAATAAAAACTTTTTCTTTTTTATTTCACTTGACAAACAACCAAAACGTCTACAGCAGCGATTATAATCTGTATAAATAATAATAATAATAATAATTTTATAACAATTATAATAATTATGCTTCTATTGTTTCTATCCGCCTGTGAACTTGTTGATTGAATTATTTTTATTTGATAGATTAACAATATTAATGTTATTAGTTAAATCTTGTTATTACATTATATTATTATTATTATTATTATCATCAGAAGCATGTTGCAGTTCTGCTGCTCCTCCACATGGGGGCGCTGCTGCACAGACAAACATGAAGAGAGTAATCAGATAATCATTTTCCATCTCAGTAAATTATTGATAATAGTTAATATAATAATTTCATAAACTTTGTTTCAATAAAGTTTCTGATCACATATTTACCTTCATATTTGTAAAAAAATGATATGAAAAGAAAGTAAAGTAGTCAGATAACTGTAGTAAAGTAAAAAGTACAATATGAGATGTAATAGAGTACAACGACTCAAATAAAGTATAAATACCTTTAATCTGCAGTAATTTACTGAGCAGCACCAGAGGTACAAATACTGTTACATCACTGAAATATTAGTAAAAGTAAAAGTTCTCAGAGTTTCAGTTACTGTTGATATTTAAAACAACAGCAGATTTAATATAAAGGAGAAATCAATGTAGAAGAAACCTGCAGTTCCTCTAACAGCCACTAGAGGCTCCACCAGTCAGTGAGTCTCCATAAACTGGCACCATGTGTACGGCCCAGGCCCGGAGGACCCTGCTGGTACTCTGGGCCCACCCTGCTGCATTCTGGGGAAATACAAAGTCAGCTTCTTCCATCAGGCTGAGAGTTTAATTCTTCCTCAACATGTATAATGTTTATTTTTACTTTTATGACTCAATCAATATATATTTTTATTCTTTTAAAAGTAGCATAAAGGGAATTTTATCTGAGTGTCGTCCTCCGACTCCTAAAGACACAAAAACATTACACAACAAACATTAAACATAAAGCGAGCTCAACCTTTAAGATGAGACAATAATAAAGATGGAAGATTATTGCAGTCAGAAGGACCTTTATTTTGAAATTCTCTAGAGACAAAGGACCCAGGATAATCAATAATCGATCGTATCACCTGAGAAAAGATTCCTTCCCTGACCTGAAATGTAAAGCAGTGAAATAAATAATATAAATAACCTTGAACCCTCTCCAGTGTTTCACTTTATGCTAAGCTAAGCTAACTGGCTGCAGACGCGAGTGGAATCAATGTGAAGACTTCACATCAGTTGGTTTAAGAGTCACATAGCAGCAGCCGTGTGACGCTGGCGTGTTGGAATTATAACAGACTGTTTATATTAGTGTGTGTGTGTGTGTGTGTGTGTGTGTGTGTGTGTGTGTGTGTGAGTGTGAGTGTGTGTGTGTGTGTGTGTGTGTGTGTGTGTGTGTGTGTGTGTGTGAGAGAGAGTGCAGTGTGTGTGCGTTTAACACCTTGGGATAGCATCATATCACGCCCCGAGAGGGTTGAAATGTCAAACATGTGTTATCACCCAACTGCACACACACACACACACACACACACACACACACACACACACACACACACACACACACACAGACACTCATAAAATGTGTTCTGAATTTCATGACATCATTGTAAAAGCACTTTCTGTTTCTACACACACACAGCGGCCTTCATGGTCTACAGGATATATATGTCACACAAACACTCACACACACACACACACACACACACACACACACACACTCACACACACACACACACACACACACACACACACACACACACACACTAACATTGTGCATGATATCATTATAAACACAGTTCATTCGTCTGGGTCAGTTTTCGTGCATAGTGTTGAATAAATGTTAACACACACACACACACACACACACACACACACACACAGAACATACACGCACACACAGAATACACACACACACACACACACACACACACACACACACACACACACACACACACACACACAGACACTCTGTAATGATTTGGGATGTGACAGCTGTCAGTGAGCACACACACACAGTGATGACAATGCGTGTGTGTGTGTGTGTGTGTGTGTGTGTGTGTGTGTGTGTCCCAGATGATTAATATCTGATCACTGTACCACGCTTGTGTTCCGGAGCTTTCTTCAATCACATGATCTTCATCCAAAACTAATGACCTAATGAAGCTCATGTGATTTGACTGAAAGACCTTCAGTGGTTCTGCAGGAGACCACGATCCCGTGGAGAACCCGGTCTGACCTGAACCCGGTCTGAAACCCAGTAAGCTGCTGAAGCTCGTTAAAGTTTACAGGAACCACAGAACAAGCTGCTGACCGCCGACCTCTCATCACTCGTCTTTAAGAGACCACAACGCCGGTTTTATATGTTTCAGGACGTTAACGGGAAATGTTGTGCTTTTATTTTTGAACCAGTCTGCAGAGAACTGAAGATAATCCGACAAACAGCCTCAATCTAACGTCACATTTCCACATTAAACACTTTACTATGTTAAACGTTCAAACTCAGGCGTCATCTCCCCTTTGTGAAGCTGTCACACATTGACTGTTGATCCAGTGTGAAGCCACATTGTTACCATCCACTGTTTAGATCTTGGTGCTTTTTAACTCTAGATTTGAACCGGATGAAGGATTTTAGTCATCGGACGTCTGGATCTTTGTCTGTCCAACAGCGTGGGAGAAGCAGTGATTGTTAAGGTGGAACTGCTTTATTCAGTGTGTTTAAGGTGGAATTCCTTTATTCAGTGTGTTTAAGGTGCAACTGCTTTATTCAGTGTGTTTAAGGTGGAACTGCTTTATTCAGTGTATTTAAGGTGGAACTGCTTTATTCAGTGTATTTAAGGTGGAACTGCTTTATTCAGTGTGTTTAAGGTGGAACTGCTTTATTCAGTGTGTTTAGTGGTTTTAATCAGCGGGTCTGTTTGTGTTGGAGAGGAGGAGACCTCTGTGGATCATTGGGCTCCCGGTAGAAACCTCCTGAACCATGAACACTGAAGGAATCCACCACCATATAACTTTATCTTGTTGTTAATGTTTGGATGTGAGAGAGCCCCTAGTGGCAGAAATCTTTACTACAGAGAACCTTTATTGTGTGTTGATTCTGGCTTTATCATATATATTTATATTTATTTATGATAACTGGGTCACTTACAGAGAGGCTTCAGTATTAACTCGGGTTAATGTTAACAGAGTATTTCTACACTGTAAAACATCTGAGTACTTCTTCTGCTGTCTATAAATAAGTTCATTCACACCTCCGAGCTCTCCCTTCATCTTCTGTCTATCATTCTCTCTCTCCATCACTCCATCTCTCTCACTCTCACTCCCTGTTCGTTCATATCTCTCACTCCCTGTTTGTCCCTGCAGTCCAGTTCAATCCCAGTACAGAGAGTTCACTGGGAGAGAGAGAGAGAGAGGGAGAGAGAGAGAGAGAGAGAGAGAGAGAGAGAGAGAGAGAGAGAGAGAGAGAGAGAGAGAGAGAGAGAGAGAGAGAGAGAGAGAGAGAGAGAGAGAGACAGAGAGAGAGGGAGAGAGAGAGAGAGAGAGAGAGAGAGAGGGAGAGAGAGAGAGAGAGAGGGAGAGAGAGAGAGAGAGAGAGAGAGGGAGAGAGAGAGAGAGGGAGAGAGAGAGAGAGAGAGAGAGAGAGAGAGAGAGAGAGAGAGAGAGAGAGAGAGGTATACTGCAGTTTACACACTGACGGACGCTCAGCTGAAACTGAACGAAGGTTTGTGTTTATTCTTTTTTTGTGTTTTTAGTTAAATTTTAAATAGTTCACCTGTTTGTCATCAAGTGTTTTCTTTACCTTTAACAGATTTATCTGTTGTTCTAATGTTTTTAACAGCTTTAAATCTTAAAAGTTCATTATAACATTTTACAGTGTGTGCAGTTATTATTATTATTATTACATTTGATATTTCTTTTACAGCTGTAGATGTTTTTACATTATCAGTTATTAGTATTAGTATATTAATATAAGTTATTTCAAACCTTTAATTGTTCAAACAGATTACATCGAACATTTAAAGTAACACAAACTCAGTTTTTAAACTTTAAAAAGTTTCTGGATTAAGCAGCTTTTACTTTTAATTTTCTAAAAGTTACAGAAACATTATTAAAGTATTTTGTACAAATTAAAATTACTAAAGCTTTGTGATCCAGAATGTTTTTTTAACTTTAAAATTTAGTTTGTTTTACTAATGTTTCAACCATGTTTTTAATTAAATGATCCGATCAGCTTCTACAGTGTAAATAAAGTTTATCAAATTATTTCCACCTCAAACAGCCACGACAGTAGAACAATAATAAATAATAATAAAACAGGAACATACTGATGAATATTTTTATGCTTTAAGTACATTTCAGAACTAAACATCTGCACATTGAGCTCAGCTGCTTCCAGGGGCGGATCTAGAGAAGTAAAGCACTGAATGGAAATATCTGAAGGTGGCATTAGAGATCAATACATCTGATTTGTAAATGTCTTTTCTCATTGAACTCGAGTCTAAAAATGTGGCTGTATAACACATTATTTTAAAAATGAATCAAAATGAATGTGTTGAGACCAAACTGGGGTCTAAACCCTCTACTTCTGCCGTTACTGCAGCGGCCCTTTAATTTACGTCTTCTCCTCTCTCGCTTTGGCCTCAGCTGGAAAGGCAAAAAAAAAGCTCACAAATGATATATTTAACATTTCTTCTTCTTCTTCTTCTTCTTCTTCTTCTTATTATTATTATTATTATTATTATTATTATTAATCTCTGTCAGAATCAATGAATCGAGCCGGTAGAAACACAAACTACCACTTTTGTCCATAGGGGGCGTCAGAATCAACACAAAATGAAAGACAAACAAAACCAAAATTTTTAATGCAATAATTTTACTTTACTTTCACGACGTGGTGTTGATATTTTTACTTAAGTAGAAAATCTGTATACTTCATCCGCTCTGGTATAATCAGTATTATTTTGGTGTAATGACGTCATTGCCTTGTTTCTGAAGCCGGCAGTAAACTGAATGTTTTTAGTCCAGCTTGTTGCTGCCGGTGAGTGAATGTAACTGAGTACATTTACCTAAATCCTGTACTTAAGTACAATTTTTAATACTCCTCCTCTCGTGTCTGTTACTTTACTTCCTCTCGGCTCTGATTAGTTTCACCTGAGTGTAGTTGTCCTCCGCTCACCTGTGTATTCAGTCTTTGTGTTTCCTCATGTTTTTGGTTTATTGGGTTCTGGGTCTGTCCCTGTTGGATTTGTTTGCCTGTTGGACTGCATGGCGAGGGCGAGTGGTGTTCAGTTGGCTGCAATCCTCCACACTGGCCCTTAAGTCCATCTTGCTGCTAACACACTTCAGTAAGATATTGAATGCAGGAATATTTCTGTGTTATATTGTAACTCTCACTACTAAAGGAGTATTTCTTCCACCGATGGTCGTTTCTGAGCGGAGGCTGAAGATTGTGGGCGTGGTCAGTACACTGTGACATCACTGTTGGGGGTGTTTAAAGGCTTTAATCCTTTAACCAGAAGAGGGCAGTGAAACAAAGCTTGTCTGCAGACTGTATTATCAGTATTGTGTTGTTGTAGATGAACGTGGCTCTGATCCATGACAGACTGCACATTAAGACGTTCTGGGAGAAGAGGATTAACAATGATTGTGAGCACGCTGAGAGCGAGGAGCAGCGGAAGGAAAAGAGTGCGCTCAAAAAGTGAGTAAAGTGTGTAAACCTGGTTTGTAGAGTCCCGTTTTTAAGCATTATGGTCTCCATCTTGGTTTTTAGCAGCCAGTGGAGGTGAGCTGCTCTCATTGGCGTCTCTCCTGCTCACACAGGATCTGGTATTCCAGATAAACAGTAAAATGTGTTTGTGAACAGATTTGAGGAGAGAAATAGTCAACAACAGAATCTGGATCCATATCTGATCAGCACTGTTTGACAGTTTGATCTGAGTTTGGTTGAGCTGGACGGACTCACTGAGAATGAGCTGTCAATCACAAGGTAGCCCCGCCCTAAAGCATACCCTGCTTTATGGTCTGTTTTACTCTAAATGGGACCATCAGTTACTAAATGAACATCATGCTGTATGGAAGAAGACTGAAACTAGAGACTGAGACCAGAAACTTATCAGGAAACATTGTATGTTTAGTATAGATCTTGTGTTCGTGTGCTGTAGTGTTACAGTGAGAATTCTGATCTCCTGCACAGACGTGAGTTGAGAGTCAGAACACAGTGAATGAAAAAGCTGTATCCTCGTCCACGGCCTCTCCAAACTCTTAATGAGAACACCATGAATGTCTTCCAGGAGAGATTGTCCTTGTACATCTCCCTCAGCAGGCTTTTCGAAACAGACATTAACACGTTTGACTTCCCACGTGTTCCAACAACACAACCTGGGTTGTTTGAAACCTAAAGGCCAACCACCCACCAGCTCACCGCCCAGGAGACCCTATTCTGGGCAAAGCGTCTCCTTCCTGAACGCCGATCCATCGAGGTATTTCAATGTCTGTGACCAAACGCAGAGTGAATCTGGCGGTAGACATGTGACTGTCTGACAAATAGACACATCTAAAAACAGATCCTCTCATTACAAACAACCTCTCGTCTCTCAGCGAGCTGGAGGACATACCAGGACAAACGCACGCTCGACCCTCGCAGACGGTGCGGTTGTTAAAGGTCTCAGTAATGATGATCACTAACAAGCAGAAACGTCAGCCAGACTGTAACCTGAACGCACCTCGCCTTGTAAACTGACAAAATGTAAATGACCTCAAGAGTCCACACGTAGAAAAACTCCCACAGAGAAAAC